GATCCGTACCCATCAGTGTACCTATAAGAACTTAGAAAATTATTGAAAAGGGTAAAATGGAATTCCAGAATTATTTTTATGCAATTTGAATCTTTATTAAGTATACTTTCAACAAATTACAAAAATAGAGTGGAAAAAATGGTAAAAAGGTGTTTTTTACAGTGATTCTTAACACATGTCATGTTGACTCTTCAAATGATTAATTTTGACATATTTTCACAGAAACTTGATTAAAATCTTGAGTTTTGTAGATAGACTTAATTTCACTTTTCAATATAAGAACTACAATGTGTCCTAATCTACTAAGCTTCATTTCATGTACCATTCATGCATAAATAGTTAGTAATCCTATTGTATTGAAAGACACCCTATTGTGTTTTTGTTGTAAACAGTAAATGACCTTCTCCATTCATTGACTGATTGAGGTACTTCCACAAACCAGACCCCCTCTGAATTTACCTTTATTGTTTAGTATTGACACTATTTTATAATTCAAACATGAAATAAGAGAGGGTCCTAAGTGTGGAAGATACACAATATGAAAGTATAGCAAAAATTTTAGTTTCAAAAGGGAGGCCATATTGAAATTGCCATTATAGTCAAGAATCCATTCTGCCTTGAATGTATTGCTTAAGGTAGGTGCAACATAGAACCATGGGCTTTCAATAGCAGGGGGCGAGTGTCCGAAATCGCCGTTTGTTTTCGATAATTCGCCGTTTGTTAGAAGTCAAATGTTGTCTAAGATTTGGGGGAAAATGAAAGTCTTCTATAGACTATCCTTTATTTTATTCAGCGATCTTGTTTTGCACTTCCTTGTCTATGATTTGTACCTCAGTTTCGAACTGCAATGGAACTCACTATAATCGTAAAGATCACTTGATCTCAACACCGTCCAATTTTGTACCCGTTTGGGCTATGCATTTTAGATCACTATCTGACCACTATCATGTGCATGATAATTCAAATTCGAACCTTTGGTATGATCAGACTTGGTTATTTTCCACTGGACATGCAGTTACATGTATGATTGATACAACTCTGTCCAACCAGTCACAGTACAGTCTACCCTGCGTGCAAAGTCTAGTTAAACTACTGAAGACGAAGAAGCTCTCTTTTAAGAAGTGAAGTCAAACGAATGCAAAGGGTAAGTACAGTCCTTCCAATGGGTGTAAAATTGTATAAATCAGTTAAAGGCCCCATATAAAGTTTAAACCACTCTGGCTTATATTTTTGTCTTATCCAATGTTATCAAAGCGTGAAATGTGAAACTTTTTATTAATTTCAAAAATGTTTTTGAAGGACTTTTTGTTTAAAATATCGTAAATTTATTCAAAACTAACTTTAAGAGGTCACACTTATCCTTTAAAGCGATAATTCACACCGATGCATAGCAATCATCCTCACTTGTTTTTTTTGCCGACAAAATCAAGAAAATTGGTTGATAGATGAGCGAGCAATGAACTCATCCATGCATGAAAGTGGTTCAGGGAAAGATGCATTTCAAAATTTTAATTCTCATAGAAACCAATGGTAAACTGATATTAAAAACATATTCATCCTTTTAACCTGGTTAGACAGTCAAATTGGTTTATTTTTTAAGTTTAGCATATTTAGAAAAGATTGACATTGAAAAATGTTGCCACCTTAGAAGTGATGTCACGATGTGATCACTTAGGTTGAAAATATTTTCGATATGCTAAATCATTAAATTGGCACATTAGATATAACATTCTATTTTTAACAAAGTGTGTCCGTTATATATTGGTGTTAAAAAGATATAGAGGTTCTTCACCCTGGGTATAGTCTGTCACGTGACTTCATGGATGACGTGTGCGCGAGTGATTCGCATTTTCTTTCGCTTGAGGTTTGTAATCACACTTTTTACATGTTTTAAGATTTTGTATCTCTGTGAAACTTGTCCCGTACCATCAATGTCTGAAGACGATCTAATTCACCAAATATCTCATCCAAGCGTGTCCCGGTTAAACGGTCAAGCCAAGTAACTTAGTCAACATTCGATAATCGTATGTTCATCAGTATTTACTAAGAATGGTGCCACAATTGAAGTAAACCTCTGGTTAATTATTTTCAATAAACCTATTAGCAAACGTGTAAATGATAATTTTGATGTTCTGTTACATGTTGGTGAAGCAATCTTTGGGATAAGACCTAAATTTCTGATTTTCCACTGTGTCCCTGTATACCCCTACTTCAAAAGATGTATGTTATTTGTCATTTTTCATAATGAACCAACCATAAATGTATTTTTTCTTGTCTACATACAGAATGAACTTTCTGTTTTTAAATATTGCAAGATGGTACTGCATTTATTTGTTCATGATAAGGAGCAAACAAATGCGTGTCAATTTACACTGTAATATCCTACATACTTATATTTCAAGGGTAGTATTGAAGCATAATCAAGAAAATCCATGTTTTCAAATGGATTCATCCTTTTCAAAGAAGGTAAATGAGGATATGCGGTTTGAAAAACTAACAACTTGTTTCAAGTTCTTACAATTCTTGGTTAAAACAAATAATTTGAAAGTTGTGATTTCGAATGTAATATCCTACTCAATGAAATTAGTTGATATTTGTGAATTTTTTCTTTCGGAATGCACATTGCTGGATAACAGAACCTTGCCTTGTTCGAGATGCACGAAAAGTGTAATTGTTAATACTTGACGTCGTTTGGATATTTGGATGTGATTGACGTTTTCGTTAATCTCCTACCACTGTAACTTCCAACTTAATTTTTGGAAGCCAAATGTGATAGTCACGAATTGTTATTTTAGTCACACGTTTATGCATACATCATGTGTGTACATTAACTGTCGAATACATGCCGACTTACATTTTTATAAATATTACAGTTAACTCAAATCATCAATTCTCGAAACGGTATATCATATAACCTGGTGAGTTTAATGTTTCATTTTAATTTATAATTATGGTATCAGATTTGAGTATGATATAAGTCGAGGCTTGAACGAAGCAATAAAATTACGTGAAACCTTTTGTGAAAATTCGAATGATTTTTCAAGAATCCTCTTTCAAAGTGTCACCAAAGTGCTCCCCGGGAGTGGAAATTTCGTCTTGTGTAATCAAAATTATAGCGGGTGGTTTGAATTTTTGTTTGAGTTTATTGCTTACATCTATAAATTTAAAACCATATCGCCTAATCAAAAGCTACGTGCAGATTTATCGGGCGATCTATCATTATAAAAGGCTAAATATTGTGCAAAAACAGGAGTTGACACGCTTTCATTTGGAAATGAAATTTCCTACATAATCGTCGGCTCATGCTTTAAAGTCATGAAAACAAGGTGGAACACAAAACATTGACCCAATTACTGTCTATTTAGCATGGGATCACTAAGGGAAATGTTATAAATGACTTAAATCGTTTACAATTAAGTTGTATTCCAAGACACTTATCAATTTAGAAATGCAAAATGTTCAATTTTGTTTTTCAATTATGAAAAATGGCACCTGTAGAAAACGGCGTTTTCAAAATTATTTAAAACGGAGATATTTACTTATGTAACATTCATTGGCATGTGTCAGGGAGTAAATAAGAAGAACATGCATTTGATTCTATGTCTTGTTCCCAAAGGAGTTTGTTAAGGAGCGGTATATCTTAACGTACTTTTATAATCCCGAACTCAAACATTTCGAATACTTATTTCGAGAACGCTTTGTTGAGAATGGATTCGAGATGTACTCAAAATTAATACGTTAAAATGTGTATTACCATCTTAATAACCACCTCACAAATTATTTTGGAAATCAAAGATGTACGATTTTTGAGATTTTTATTTTCGAATGTTGACTTACTTACTTGGCTTGACTGTAAAGAGAAATTCGCACTTTTGTGTCTCGCAAAATGACGTGTGCGCGAGTAAATCGAATTTTACGAAGGATGGGTGCGCGAGTCTAACATATTTATATTCATTTTAAACAATTCTGCAAGCTAAGGCAGAATACAACTCACGTGACATTTGTTTTTGTCATCTTAAAGTAGAAAAAGAGAAACAATGTTCGCGTTGGTGGAAGTCTAGGAGGCCTGCTATTTAGAGCACATAAAACAATAAGAGGTAATATGTAAATGAACTACACGCTCATATAGGCATACAAACAAGTCTTTAAGTTAGCCTTTCTTACATGAGAAATTCAACGATTACTCATAATAATGTCAAAACATAATTCAGTTCAGAAGTTATACATAATAAAATAAAATTGACTAGTGCATCATTTTCTTATTTATTTACAAGCATTTCTAACGCATAAACAAAATGAGGCCTTTACCTTGGCACGTTTGTTGCACTTTATTTTATTCAAATAGCATACTTTAAAATATTATATTTATATTTATATCATAATACAAATCTGTTATATTGGAGACTTATTTTATGCAATACGAATTATTACTCTTAGAATTTCATTCATGAACATAAGATTTTTAAATGGTATCTTGTATGACAATATGTTGGCAAGTTGGCCTCCAACCTGACATATTTGATTGACCTTTATCACAGGTCAAGGTACTAATGAGATGAAATCTATGTTCATCTGTGAAAAAGTTTAATTAATTTTTATCATTTGTCCTTGATACTAATCTCATATATATTATATGAAATAAATCACTCTGAACGCTAATTAGTGGAGGTTTTGTTATATTATGAATAGAAGGAAATTGGTTGAAAGGTTGAACAAATGCTACCATATTACGAAAGGGTTTGTAGCAAAAAAGGAACTACAGAAACACATACCATTAACACAAGTGTTTAAAACGTGAATGGTGAAGTGTTTCAAAAACATGGAGGTTTGATTACTGAATGCACACAGGCCACAGGGTCTCTGCTATCATTTCAGAAAAACAAAAATGGCAACATTCACTGATCAAATATATATTTATTTCCAATGACATGTATAAAAATATTAAAGATTAAAAATGCAGAAACTGCTAGCCTATAATGCCACTGGCGCTAGGCAGCAGTACCATACTTGTATATTCTTCAATAATGTCATAAATAAATGAATATATATATAAAAAAAACATAATTTATAGTTGTAGTAAGAGGCCAATTCTCTAGAAAATGACATAAGTTTTATATTATTTGCGATAGTTTACCATCGCGTGTAAATGATCCAAAATGTAAATTAACATTTATTCCGAAAAAATATAGTTCGTATTTATCAAGCTTAATAGTCTTCTTTGGGATATGTTGGACTCCGCTGTGTTGATTGCTTAGGCCGTGCTAGTTGTTTATTCATCATATCAATCGGCCAGTCCTCTGCATAAAAGCCATTGTTATACCTAACATTGCTTCTTTCTACGGCCTGAAATATATTCCATAATACGTTATTGGGTTGCACCATTGGCTTTCGTGGCATTATTTTTAAGAATGTATTCGTACTTGGCATCATATAGTCGTTGATGTGTATATTGAATTCGAACTAACCTGAGTTTTGATGCTTGTCAAATATCCAACAACTCTTCTCGCTTCATCAATTGTAGATTGTGTATCGCAATATAACGGGTTCACAGTCTGAACCATGTTCAGATCACTTTCACTCCGCCTTCTTTGTTGTTTACTAATTCTTTGAATATGTCTTCCTATAACCTTCATTTGCCATTCTTCGACGGGCGTAGTTTTCTGTCAGAATTCAGCAAAAATCAATTTGTTAAAATTAATTAGAAAATCAGAAACTCCACGGAGTAGCAAATCCCACCGAACAAAACATATTTTGATAATTAGTGGCCATCTTGAAAAATTCTTCTTGCACAGAACATACCAACATATGCTATTTGAGTTATCAAAGACTATGTTTTTTTCCCAAATATGGCTGCCATTTTGAAATTCAGCTGCCATCTTGAAACGTTCTTCTTGAGCAGAACTCTTTGTCCCTATAGGTAGCAGAACATAAAATTTGAAACAAATCTGTCGACTGGTATTTGAGTCAGCACATAATATTTGAACCAATATTTTGATTTATCAAAGATAACATTTTTAACAAAAAATGGTGGCCATTTAGAAATTCATCTGTCATCTTGAAAATTTCCTCTCCAGATTTCCCTTTTCCGAGGCATCAGCATATAAAATTAACTTGATACATCCATTGATATTTCAGTTATCAAAGATTATCTTCGGCAGGCATTTTGAAATTTAACTAGGTAGGTATCAACATAGGTAGGTATCAACATATAACATTTGGTTCATATCCGTCCACTGGTATTTGATTATTAAAGATTGTGTTTTTTATGAAAAATGGTGGCCATTTTGAAATTCAATAGCAATCTTAAAAATGTCTTCTTTAGCAGAGCTCCTTGTCCCTTTTAATCAACGGACGAACGGACGTCTTTTCTATGTCCTCCTCGGACTTCGTTCGGTGGGATAACAAGGGATAAATATCCTTGTTGATTACATACATTAAAGAAGCCATCTGTTTTGATGCTTTTACGAAGACTAGAAGACTTATTTCAACATTTACCTTTTTGATCCGTTTCTTCACCAAGCACAGAACAATCGGAATGGCAATAAAGGCAAGTAACACTGAAATTGCGACAATGAGCCAGACCCACCAGGGGTAGTCGGAACAAGACGATTTCGGATCGCAGTAGCAAATAAAGGAGCCTACATTATCAATACAGGTGTAGCCAGGTCTACAGGGTGAAGACAAACACTCATTTATTTCATTTTCACAATAATCACCATTGTATCCTAGAAACAGAAATACAGTAGTTATACATTTAAATCAATGAGATAATTATATTGTAAAATAAAAGGAACAGGATATTCTTTTAAACAAGTTTTATACTCCAGGCTGTACGTACATTACTACATAATGTGCAAGTTAGATTCTAATGTTAACTTCACCTTGCAAACATGTGCATTTGTAGCCTTGGAAACCATTACTTCGGACAATGCTCTTGCAGTCTGTATCGTTCACCTCATCTCCATTACATGTACCTCCATGTTGACACTTGTTTTCCAACACATGAATATGTATATTGACAACATCAGAAAATGCTCGCTCCTGGTCATAAACCATCACCTGTATCAATTCAGTTCCATATTCATTCCTCTTGGGAGTATAGGTCAATGGTTGAAACAACCACTGCATTTTGTCAACTGGCAAAGCTAACCGTGGAAAATCACAGGGAAACTGTATGTGTTTTTCTACGTCATGAAATACCTGGAGCCACTTTTGAGACCTCTGACTATACGGTAAACTACAGTTTTGGAATTCGAAGAAAACTTTTTTTATGGAGTCGGATTTTTGGATTGTACCATTGGTATTGTTAACAATGGAAAATGTTAAGTCGTCGTTTAAGTCGTAATCGTATGCTCCAATAAGAAGACGTAGTGGGTCAAATCGAGGTTCTGTCCATTCAGTCATCTGTTCCACTGTGACATCGATCCCATATGTCCGATAAGGGGCCTTATAATCTCCCTTGTGACCTAGGAAAGCTACAGGGTTGTCGTTAACAGGAGTTACTTCAATAATTAGACTTTGGGTTGAAGAAAGCGCAATCTCCCCGTCTGTTCTGTTCTCCACTACTTCTAATTCAATCACATAGTTACCATTGCAATAAGGACAAGGTTGGTAAGTCAGTAGGCCTTCTGGCGTAAGTGCTGCACGTCGCGAGTCAAACGTTTCATCATTAACAATCAAAAACACGAACGGATCCGCTTCCTCATCAACTGCTACCAATTGAAATTCCAACTTGGCACTATTTTCTTTTATTTTAAGTTTGTTAGTAGAAGTAATATGAGGGGCTGTATTGATAAATACGTTCGATACTTCAGTTAGGGCAAATTGTATCTGTCCATTGTACTGACTTATTCTTTGTAGCTGTTTCATTGGACCAGGGCTATTTTTAACTGGGGGTAACGAACACACAGATATTTTTATGTCTCCTTGTTTTCCCAAGGTTCTATCAGACGCTTGTCCATGCTCACAATATTTCTCTGCTTTCATCCACTTACTTAGATCTAGAACAAATACATTTAAAATCAAAGATGGCATTTACCTCTAATTGATTGTAGATGAGATCTCGCCAATCCTATTATTTACATTTGTATGTATTAGGAGTGTGTTTTAGATGGAAGTTAGTTAGAAGGCTTATGAAAAAAAACAATTTGAAATCATTTTAATAATCCTCACCTGAGTGCCAGAACAATAAAGTAAGGTTGCTTGATGAGAAGTTTATATCAGAGGTTGACAATGCAATTGTAAGTGAACCATCTAGTGCCTCTCCTATACTGTTGACGAAGAAACTTACTCCACTCCACGATCCTAGTCTATTTAGAAACAATGATTGATTCTAGTGTAATGAATGCATCTTATATATTCCGCATTATATAAAGGACGATTCTCGGTTTGGAGAACGAAGTTCATCAATCTAAATGAGCATTATCCCTGCTTCGGACAAATTTGATTTTTTTACATAATATAGATTTGAATGTTTTCTTTTGAATAGTCATAATTTAATTTGGGTAATATTTCTAGATTTTTCGCAAAAAAAATATTAGCGCAGTACACTGATGAGCTTCTTTCCCCAAATCGAGACTTGTATTTTATTGAATCTGTCTAATTGAGTGTTATCCCTGCTTCAGACCAATTTGTTATTATAACATCTTGTAGATTTAAATGTCCTCTTTTGAATATTCATAGTTTAATTTGGGTAATATTTCTATATTTTTCATGAAAAAAATTATTAGCTCAGGAGACTGTTCTCCAAACCGAGAATCGTCCTTTACAACCAGAAAGAAGTGTCAAAGATAAAACAAAACAATTAAAAACGGTAGTACTTTTCTTTTCACCAACCTTTCTAAATTACAATCAGATGTAAAGATGCATACCTGTGCCTAAGTTGTCGATCTGTTTGATCAGTTGTACTTTCAGGATCAACAATATATGGTTTGAATTTTACTGATGCATCAGATACATATGTCTCCTTTACGTCTGTGTCTGCTAATGTTCCGCATGCTAATGTTTTTCCATTGTTGAGACCACCACGTGCATATACATGTACATGGATTGTTGTTTCTGAATTCGCAATTAATAGTTTACATCCCTCATTTGCAGGTTTAATGATATCAGTAGACCTAAGAATGAGTGCCGTTGAAGAAGCGACGATATTGCAAATATCACCTGGTTGGCACTTTTCTAGGCTGCTGTAAAGTAATCTAAAAACACCAGATTTTGCAAATGAAATCTCTATTTCAATTTGTATCTCCTATGTCTCTGGTAGTTATTCCGTGACACCGAGATACACACATGTTCTCTGTAAATTAACTCAAGCTCTAACCCAGGACCAAACAAAATATACATGGAAACTATAAAAGGTTTAGTGATTGGCCATCTTACAACTTGAAATACATGAGAAGCGTGTAATATAAAATACTATTAAAACATGTGATTACTTTTGGTATAATTTGGCGTAACGGCGTGATTGCTCATTCGATTATGTAATCAAAACCCTAATCGTTGTGAATGAATGAAATCTCTTTAAGATATACCTTCCAGGTTCCATATGGAATGTATTGCTAATAGGTCGTTTAGTGTCATATACTTGTCGAGCATCTGAAATATTCACAATACCATAAGGTTCCATAATTATATGACCCTCTTCAACTTTAACTTTTCCACTTTCAAACTTGCCAGCACGGTCAATTTCTTTCGCTGCAATTTGTAGCTTTGGTATGATATCATCAGCTGTCCAGGGATTCGAACCAACGACGTAATCTGAAATGCACATGCAATCAGTCTACATCAGCATTCTATTTATCAATGTATATAGACACTTAGAATTTCATTTGATGGGTCAATTGTTAAAAACGTTTATGGCATGTCTTTGGAAAATCAAAATTCACTGCCGTCTCGGTTTACTTACATATAACCTGGTCATTTGCTTCTTGTGTTATTTCGTTTAACCAGTTAATACCAGTTCCATCTTGATCTTGGCATACGGTGACATCTCTGATAATGATTTGGTTTTGATATGGTCTCCTACACGTGGCATTGACTATTGTAAGACCACTTATATTCTTGGGTAAATAGACGAGCACACCTTTATAACGGGAAAGAATATAACTATCATCAACCTTAATCAGAACGTAAAAGTAAGAAGTGTATCTTTAAATTGGAATGGCCCTTGGTGTTCTGGTCTTGGATTGGGATATTAGTTCTTTTTCTCTCTAGGTTCCATTACAATTTTTGATCCCTTCCCTTTGGCACTTGTGCTAAGATATTTCTTGAAATTATTATCTGTAATCGAAGAAGAAGCTCTGACTATGATATACATATGCTTAAACAAGCATCCTACCGAGAGAAGCGTTGATTGTTTTTCCACCAGCGCCATTTGTAACTCTGAGAGTGATGAAATATGTACTATTATCATGAAGAATTCCACCCAGATCGTCACTTATGCCCATCCTTTGTAAACCAACAGAGCGATATGGCTGTATATCTGTGGTAAACGGATTTCTACCAATCCCCCATTCAAACTCGGCTATCTGCAAACATGTTTGAAATAGATACCACCATCGAACAGTGTTCATAGTAAGAGTATATGCTATCATGATTCTATCAAAGATCATACACCAAAATGTTTATTCAAAATGATGATCTGACATGTTTACAAGTTCCCCTTGTCTTTGGACCCTAGAATCAAATGTTTCAGGTTATTGTATTTAGACATGTATTGCCATTAACCCCTCTCTAATAATAGATTAATGTGAATAAATACCTGGCTTTCTTTGTCATAGGCATCCCATCTTGCAGCTATGTATTTATCCTGTCCCTGTCTGTAAACTTTATTCATATTCGAGACAGATACATCGACATGATACAGAATGTCTATGATAGGATCGCTTGTGTCTATGGTTACTCCATTTGATGTTGATGTTACAGATATGCCAGATCCTATAAAGGTTGATAGCTTGAACACTAACAAAGCGATGCTAATGATTTACGATTCATATGAATCATTTGTTGTAAAAGTATAACTTGATATGTTTTATTTCATGTGTCGGATGCAAACGGCTTTATGAATCTATTTTTCTAATTTTGTAATAAGGATGATCATATATTTTAAGAGAAAAATTCACAAGTTTCACAATGTGCCAAATGCTAACCTGTTATTCCTTTTACATGTACGAAATAGGTGGCTGCCATAATGCCAGTTGCGTTGGTGCTTGAAACGTTAACGCGTTGGTAATCTGGTAGATCCAGTCCATCTAAGGTCACTTGGTACAATTTTGTTGCTGCCTTACAACCTTGGTCACAATATAATCTACTACAGAGAGACGTGCATGGAAGGCAATTGACTCCGATAGGTTTGTAAGCAACGACATCTGTGTCTGTTTTAGTTGTTCCAAGTCCAGCTTCAAACGTGAATAAAGGAGACCCCATATTCTTAAAAGGTGCTCCAAAATTACAATCAGAGGGCTTAGAACGTGGAACACTAAAATAAATGAAAGTAAATAGGTATAAACATCTTTAATTTATTGTTATGCACGTACTTGATAATTATTCCGTTTCATAATACACATTCAATGAGACTCACCTGATGAATTTAAAGTATGCAGCTGACTTTGGTCTGTTGAAAGGGTCAAATATATCAGGATAATAATGCTCTTTAGTTCTCACACCCAAACTTATAAGACCCGGCTTTTTTATAACAGGGACACCGTAAACCAATGCAATGATCTTGCCATCCACGGCCAGTTCTATAGCATTGGACTCCTGAAATATCGTTCACAGAGTAGAAACATGTTTATTTCTTATCGAAATGATTGTTTAAAAGGCAACATCCAATCTAAAAATCATTCAACATTACCATTTGTAACTGGAGTGTATATGTGTGTGACGATTTAGAGGGATCAAACTGCAATTGTACAATCTCATTGTTTGGCGTTCGTGAACCATTTTCCCAACTGCACAAAAGGACTGCATAGCTGAGATTACCATACACAGCTAAAGTGGAATACAAGTGATTATGCTGTATTCTATTCACTACAGCTAAAATGTTATAAAGACGTTACGTATTTATAACAAAATGGACTTTCGTCAGAGGATTTCTTTATTTTCATAGTTTTCACAAAGAAGGAGGTCGAGCATACATGTCATAGTAGTGCTAATACTGTCTACAATTATCTTTATGATGAAGAGTAATAGCTAAGTTAAGTTAAGTATGTAGAAGGAATGCTTTTTCAGATTTGGATTGTTTTCCAAGTAACTGGTTATTTCTTAATGTTTTCTAATGTTATGTGATGCACTTTGGTTTCCTCTATGGTACTTCTCATATTCAATGTTTTATATACCTGTGTGCACCTGAAACCCACACGAATTTTGAGATGAAGCACTTGCTGAACCATTATATGTATCGCCATCTAAAGGCAATGTTCCCACCTTGAGATCAGAAGTTGAACTGTGAGCAGGTGGAGAAGATGTTGAACTTGTAGTGTACTTATCATTATTCGTTACTAAAATGTTGACAAAAACAAGAACGATAAGGACATGCTATGCTATATTCAAGATAATATAAATTTCAATATGTTACGTCCGTTAATATATGCACTTAGATACTTTTCTTAGTATTACTAGTTATACATGCATCTTATCCCTTTCATTCATTGTAAATCAATATAATTATATACATTTATATCATAATGTAAAACAGTGACGAAAAAAAAATTATTTACAATAAATACATGTTTCAAATAGTTATTCAATATTATATATTTTAGTATACCGTTTATGTACTCAGACATATCCACATCGAGATCTACAAAAACTCCACGTGGTCCATCTCTAAGAACCACACTTGTTACACTGTACTCATGGAGATCACTGGCTTGAATTACAAACTAAAACACAGAGACAAACCTGTCTTTTAAACTACTTATCGTCTATGTCGAGGGCATTATATTACGGTGTGGGATCTATACCTTCAAAGTATGGGAAAAAATAAAATAAATCACGTAATGCAATGTTCAAATCAATCATTCTTCTATGGATTTTTTGGGAAATAGTTCTAATCATGATCAATTTGCAGACATTCTGCACTTCGAAAGCCTTTCTATCATAACTTTTTTTACCACATTTACACAATGGCTTCTGATAAAAAATATTTTGGATACTCTTGATAACGGTTGAATTTTTTATCTTCTATTTCTAAAAAGCATCCCGAATTTTTCTTAGTAAAGTGCTGTACCTTCTGTTTAAGTCCTGCTACAGATTAATAATAGTTCAATATTTTGTAAAATTCATATACATAAAAAATAAAGTATTTCAATGTTATCACAGGGTGGTCAACAATAAAATGAACCCCTGAACGGACCATATTTCCCTTATTACCTGCAAGAATCCTTTCACATTTTCACATGTTGTAAAGGAAGGTTTAAAATTTTGTTGGTACTATACATTTTCTTTGTCTTGAAATTTGCAGATATTATAAGCTCTAATCAATTATCACTGAAAATGGATAAAATGTGGTTTTCAACATCCACGATTCTTCACATTTTAGCACCCCCCCCCCCTTGACAATTATTTTAGTTGCAGTATTGAAGAACTAATATTTTTTTGATTGTTTGGTTTTGAATTACTCGCAATGATATTGTGATCTGTTGTGTTATTGGGAAATATATTTCTAAATTGCCTAAGGTGAAAATTTTCTCTAGTGAAATCGCAACATTTCCATATACATGTATATGATGAAATGTCAATATCCTCATCAATCATGGGCCACTTTTAATGAGCATGGCTCAAAACATTGAATTTTAAAGTTTCTTTTTATTTTCTAAAATTATTTGATTAAGGCCTCTCAGATTCCTGGTCATAGGGGCAGCTTTTGCCCCCTCTAACCGTTTGTGGAGGTAACATGCCCCTTACACTCTAAAAAATTATTACTTTGATTTCCTTATATTGAGAAATTGTACGACTCATTTTAAGTAAAAAATTACTTAAATAATCTTGAACTACTGAATAATTTTTAAGTAATTTTTTTAAGTAATTCATTTATGGAGAATTTACTAATGCAAGGAGAGAAATTGAAATACTTACTGTAGTAATTGTAATACTCATTTACATAATTAAGCAATTAAAAAACTCAAAATGACAATATAAGTTCAACCTAAGTAAAATGAAGTAAAACTAAGTATTTAACTTTAAGTAATTTTTATACTTGGGAAATACTTGGGAAATACTCATTAGTAATTCATTTTTAAGAGTGTAATTGTTGAACGGTTAAAACTGCTTCAAAATGATCAATGGAAGTGTGAAATGTGTTTTCTGCTCAAATAGTGTACCATTTGTCATACAATATGGTTTTAAATTTGTATCTCTAACTAAAAGCTATTTAAAGATCATCCAATGTGTTTCAACAATTTCCGTAAATCACATTGGTAAAACTTTGCACAATATCTAATTTTCAGGCAAGTTTGTTTAAGTATTGCAATTTCTTCAAAATTTAAGATTGAGAATAAACTATGGCATCAACACAAATTGTAGACCCTTTCTACAACATGTCATAATATGAGCATATTCGTGCAAATATTAAGGAAAATATAGCCTGTTGTAGGGGTTCACCTTTTTGGACCACCCTGTACGTATATATTTGAGTGACTTTTGTACTAAACGTTTTTACAAAAAGCGATATATACAGCAACACTACACTAATTTTCATATTATTATCATACCTCATATTTTCCAGACACAACCTCTATACCTCTATCAACCGCACCTGCTAACATCCGTCTGATTTTAACATCGGGAACAATAGATAATTCGAATCCCGTTTCAATCGATGTTGACTTGAAAGCAAAAAACGCAGCATTGATACCCGGGCATTGATATGAACTCTGTGTACAATAAAATCATTGACTCAACTTGATGAGTAATTAGGAATGTTACAATAATATTTTTACCTGAAACTTATGATGCATAATGTTCGAATCTGAACCCCAAACTCCTAGATGGTGGATATAATGCCATGTTGTCATTGTGAGCTCCAGAATATTTTCAGGGCACACATCTTTAACGGATGGGTTTAGCTGAGAAAAGAAGGATCCTGAAAAAGAAAAATTCAACAAGCTTTTCCTTATATCACGATCAATCTCTCTAGCTACCCATGCAGGAGAATGAGGGTACTGGGTTTGATGATTGATAATTTGCAACAAGAAAGATTCTCACCTTGTATCATTTTTGTTGATGTCTGGTATTCAATGTCAGAGTCAAACCTGAGTCCATCCTTTATAGTCCCAGGTAGAGGAATATATTGTTCTATTAGGATAGGCCTAGAAAAATCAGATGCTACAAGTCCAGCACAGTTTGTGGCCTCAAATTTTACATAGTACGGACGATCTCCCTACAACAGAACATCTTCATGACAATAAATACAAGTGCTCCTCGTTGATAATGAATTCATTTAAAGCAAATGGGGTAAAGACAACACGTTACCTTGAGATAAAGTTGATAGAATGTATACTTTGTTAAATTAGAATTTAACGTAATTTGCTCTGTTATCGCATCTGTAGTGGAAATATCCTGGTTTGTCCCATCACATACAATGCCTTCATGCAAGGTCAACTTGTAGTTTTCTATATAAGATTCTGGATCGCTATATCCTGTCCACTCAACAGCGAGTCTGTCAGCCCATTTCTCAAACATAATTCCCTGTACCTATATTGCGATAAAGTCGTGTGGTTGGTCGTTTACATGAATAATTTCGAATCAACAAACCCAGAACATGTACAATAAATAAATAAAGTTAAAGGTAAGTAAATATATCTTTATACACTATAATTGTCATTTGCCGACATATTTTAATGAAACTTGCATATTTGGGTAACAAATATAACATGCACTTTGAGTATTACAAAATAATTATTCTGTGCTATATTTCATATATTTCATCATACACACCAATTCATTGGCTGGTCCAACTTGAATAGTACCAGACAAAGGAGCAGTTGTATCTACTAATACTATCTTGGACACCATGGAACATATAGATGATTCATCAGTTGCTATGACCACCACTAAATATGATGACCCATGGACCATTTTCAGACCAGTTTGCTTAATAGTAGAATCTTGCAGCACATTTGACATTGGCTGGATATCAAATGCCTTAAGATGAAGATCATTTTCTCTCATTCTATGTTCATACAGTTGCTACAACGAGAATGAACATAGCATTAAGTATACACTTAAAGGTGACCTAATTTGATTAAAAAGAGAAATTATTTCTAAAATTCAGCATTCAGCAAATTCATTTAATACGAACGTCTCCAATTTTTCTTCAACGACTGACTTTGTATGACTATGTATAATCGTTAAGGGTATTTACATACCAATTGTTCACATGTCAAATTATCCACTGCAGAAAGGTTAGATGAAATTCCCCACTGATAGAACATTACGGGCATGCCAAATTTAAAACCTTGCCACGAGAATGAAATTTCAGAATCAGATGGTATACAACTGAAATAATAAAAATAAAAAATTTCATGAACGAATATATATATATTTACGCCAGATGCTAAAGGTTATATGACATTATTTGAGTTCAAATGAAATACCTGCAGCGCTAAAATCTGGAGACCAATTTAAATAAAGGTCCAAACATTTACATATCGTAGGCTTATATAAAGAAATCTTTAGCGTTACTCAGCCAATTTCAGTTCGCCATGTTTAACGACTGTTCCTCCAAATCCTACTCTGATTCCATTGGATGTCTGGCTGCGCACAGCTCCAGACCAACTGGTAGCTTTTACCGTGATAAAGTAGTGGGCTGTTTGTGGTATCAGATTTAGACTTGTAAAGTGCCACGTTTGATTTAGACCTGCATTAACAAATGGGTAGATATTTGCTCTTGTTTTAGGATAACGACGATCTGTCCCGACGGCGACTTCATAGCTATGTATTCGTTGATTGTCTCCAATATGAGGATTCAGGTCCGGATTACCTGAAAGCAATATAGTATATACAAAGTAGGTTAAATTCGTGATATGCAAAGTTGGTCAAAATGCCACGAAGACGTTGTAACAAGGGAGGTAAACTGAAGTTTGGATTTCCTAAATACTTGAGAATATTCAGGTTCCGTATGTGCCTCCTCTTGCGCTCAATCTCGGGATCGTACAAACATATTATTTAAAACAAGCCTATTGTTTGCAGTTTTACTTCATTCGAATTTAAAAATACAGAAGTCGAATGCCATTTAAATTGACAAATGACTATAAATTGTTATTACCATTAATGAGATCCGGCCTGGTTTCTCTATCTTTACCAAATGCATCCCAATTTCCCCAAAGCTGAGTCACAGATGGTTGTACATCAAAGTCAACACCAAAAACAGGACCATCCCGCACAACCCCAGGCATAAGAGGTTCTTGTTTTATAGTAATACCATCTGACCGCACTGTCTGTGTGAAACCCAATGAGTTGGTACCTTGGACCACCACGAAGAATTCTTCTCCGTCTCTTAGATTAAGTCCATCGTATACACCATATGTCTGCCCTTTAAAAGTTCATCTAGTGAGACATTGTTTTCAAACAGTTAAACATTATTTCAATACAACAAGTGTGTCATGTCTATACACTATGTAAGTTAAGCATTATAGCTAACGATGATTTACCTTGTGGTACCTTTGTGGCAGACATAAACACAGTGCCATCAAATTTATAAATACTCCATGTGTATGTTTCCATCGGACATGGATCTCCATTGAATTCCCAGTTGGCTGTCAGTTGTTCACGATCTTTTTGGAAGCTCCTAAACCAAAACCATTCACCCAAACGTTTATAAGCATTCATTCATTTAATGACTGTTCACATAATAAAGTTAAATTTGGTTAGAAGATATTGCTTACATGTCGATTCCCGGGGAACTACCATCATATACAGTAAATCGACCCAAAGGCTGCAAACCAGCTGATATACGACTGATATGAACACCATTTGAAGAGGATATTGTTGTAAGACCAGCGGCGTTTGTGGCACGAACGGTCACAAAAACCTGTAATTAAAACACAGGTGTGATTGGACAGAACTTATGCATTGATATTTTTCGAATCTTGTTGATCCGAAAATAATCTCAAAACATAAATTTGAAAAAATGACCAAAATGTAAAGAAAACACGTACCATTTTCTGCTGAGAAAGATCTAGGTGGCTGACACTTATGATGTAGGTATCTAATGGAACTTCATAAAATGGTTTTAGTTGCGATCCACCTCTAGTAGAACCAACTGCTAGTTCATACCTGGAATAAAAGCATCAATGTTGTTTTTAAATAATTCGCATAGATATGATCTGTTTTGTTCATCTTTTCAATATTTGCACAGCACATCTACTTTTGTTATTATCGATATATCACCTGATCACGGGGGACTCTTCATCCATGAAAGGTAACCAACTAACTTGGATATTGGTCTGTGATGTTTGACACTTCACATCTGACGCCAAACATTCTGAAAGGTATAAATTATTATATGCAGAGTTGATCAACCTTATTTATATAAATTTTAAAATGTAAATAGTACTGCCATTGTTACATACCTTCAGTTGAAGAACATCTATTGAGAGGTGGTACTTTTGATGATTCAGTGGCATTTATCTTAAATATACCATCTAGCTCAATGACTAGTCCAGGAAGAGGTGGCGTGGCATCAACCACTATTGCAGGAGCATACGATTCTCTAGTTAAACCTGCACCATTGACAACGCTTAGTGTCATGTAGTATACACCAGCAGGAAGACTGTTATTCATATATTCTACAAATAGATAAACAATTTTTAACAGAAAATTGCTGAATCAAAACGTTCTTTACTCCAGAAATAATACATACAGCATAACACTGCATATTCTATACTCCAAAAACAACACAGCGTTCTATAGTCCAAAACAACACTGCACATTTCTATCGAATATTCAACCATACCTTTGAATTCTATGATGGATGCATAATGTGACACCGTAACAAATTTATGGATAGATCCATCACCCTCTTTTACGCCAATCCCAGCGCTAAAGTAGTCTATTCCACTCTCGTCATCAACGAAGCCTGTCCAATGGCAGACTATATTTTCATGTTCTTTCAGAAACAATGGACAGATAATACTGCCCTCTCGTGCAGGTGTATCATCAGCTGTTATGGGATTTAGTGATTTACCTGTTAGACCAACCTGTAATAAAGGATACGTTAATGTATTTTCTGGATTTTTTTAACGCAAGACAAGTTCATGTAGTTCCTTTTCTAGTTATCAACCCTGGATTTGAAAAAACCACGTTTCATTCCGTTGAAATGAAACACGAGATTGATTTGTATTATTTGTTTAGATGCCGTTTTGGTTTTACCATAAATATACTACAGGGTGGGCCTTTTCTACCCAATTTTACCATTCAGTTAAAACTTGCATCATTGTCATGAGACTTTCCTTACTGGATATTATACATTGTTTTCATTCAGTTTTTGAGCCTATATATACATGCTTGAAACACATATGTATGTTAAAGAAAACAAATTCATTTCTCCTTCAGCCTGTCCATTATATGGCTCAATAGGCCCACCTTCTGATCGGATTATTCGCTTAAGATGCAAAAGCCATTGGCATAATTGATGGATCTTTGCGGAAGTACCATCCAACTCCTAATTACGTATTAGTTCTTTCAGTTTGTCTACATTCCTGATAGGCTAGGGATCTCCATAGACCAACTGTTCTAAATGCCCCAAAGTACTATCATATCTCAAGGATATAAAAAAGATGTGAAAGAAAATTCATTTTCTGAAAGTGCTCCATTAACAGGTCCAATGCCACCCTGGAGGTTTGGGGGATTTGAATTGTCACCATCTCTAGCCCAGACAAATGGGTTCCTGGCAGTCTATATGCCAATAATGTTGATTATCATGGGTGCATCTACAACAGTTGGTCTATAAGGATGCCCAGCCTATCAGGGATGTAGAGAAACTAAAAGAATGAATAACTAGCAGTTGAATGGAACGTTCCCTTCTATCCATCAATTATGCCATCAACCAGTAGCTTCCGAGTCCAATCAGAGGATGGGTCTATTGAGCAATAGTAGGACAGACTGAAGAAGAAATGAATTTGTTTTTATAAGCATACACATTTATATTGAGCATGCGTGGGTCAAAAACTGAATGAAAACAATAGATAATATCCAATTATGAAAGTCTCATGGCAATGTTGCAATTTTTAACTGAACATGAACATTAGGTGGAATCATTATGTTACAAAATTGAATAATCTTTTTAATGATATATCATTGTTGGTGTATTTGTTAAAAAATAAACATTTATCAGGAATATTGGCTAGGGGGGGGGGGCACCCTGTATATTTGTTTAAAATCGTTTTCTTTCGAATATGGCAAATTAATATATGAGCCTGGCCAAAGGAAAACCGGTCTTATCACAAAAATTAGAATTGTGCTATGACAGAGCCAAAAATGTGCCCAAGATTAAGAGGAAAATGTTCTAAATTCAAATCCGACTTTTTGGTCTATATATATGCAAGGAAAAATTGGTAAGACATAAGCCATGGCTCATTTGAAAGGTCGCTTTGCGCTTTCTAAAATAAACAAAAAATCAGAATATTGAAAAAAATCTGTAATAAGACCCCTTTTCCTGTGGCCTGGCTCATATACCAATAACAAAACGTACCTCGTTTTCAGCAATAACATTAAGGAAATTAGGCTTTCCATCAGTTATAGGTTGAACCTGCCCAGGTTCCAATCCCATTTTCCCTCCAGTTGATGTCATATTGTAAACATCACATTGGCCAGGGCCAGTTCCATAGCAATAGCCAGACCATTCTATTTTGCTTTCTTGGTCACTTATGTTCCAATTAGCCGAGAGTGAGTCCGTTGCTGTCTGGTACAATGACGACTGAGTCATATTGACATCAAGCCCCATATCTTTTATGATTACCTAGTAAGGAGTTAAATCGGAAACAGGTTGATCAGGTAAACGTTGAAATATAGCCTGATACTTATATATTTGAAATTTTTATAACAATTTGATTATAAGGTCACATCATCAAACCTTTGGTGGAGTCACATCAACGACAAATCCATCAGATATTCCCTCTACGATGTTATCCTTTCCTGTTTTTCCACGCACAGTCACATGGTACTTATTCGAATGAATCAGATGTGCGGGAGCCTGAATCATGCCGGAATAGTTTTTCTTCAAGCTGTTTTCGATAAAACCGTTATTGTCAATCACAATGCCTCTATCGGTGAATGGTTGGATATCATCAAAACCATGAGCACTACCAACAGACCATTCGAAGCCAACATATCCTGTATTGACGGAATGGACCATGAATTAATCATGTTATTATTGACCACCACATTAAGAAATAAAAAAAAATAACTACACTAAATTTACAGAGTGTATTAACCTTCTACCATTAGATGAAAATCCAGTGTATCTGAACATTTTGTAAAAAATGATTTGTGATTACTTATATATGATAAAATAAGTAGGGTGTTTTTGTGGTTTGGAACTTTGGAAATTGTTCTTTGACACTTTTTCGTAATCTATTAGATCGTTGGTTGCATGTTGGTTCTATACATGGTTCGTTAACGATTCGAATGATCATTTGACACATCGCGTTAGATTATTGTAATTGGCTACATGTTGGATTCTGTAAATGGTCCTAAAAGTGTTCGATTGGTTATCTGTCACTACGCAATTTAGATTGTTGGTTTTATTTTGGTATTTTTGCTTATTGGTGAAGAGTGCTTGTTTTCCCTCTTCACATACTTCATTAAATATATTGAAGTTAACAACGTACCAAATTCACTTCTGAATTCTACAAAGTGAGCAGTGACAGTTGTTTTGTCCTTTTGCACATTAACCTCTGGAAAGCCCTCAACACCATCTAAAATTCTCCCTGGTTTATCTTCCTCGACAATTTTCAGTGGTCTGTATGAATGAATATAATTAACTTATTATTTTGGACAGCTATAATTAATGTATATGAGCTATATTACTTACTATACAAAGAAATACTATCCATTTTCACATTTAAGTAATCAATATGATCTTGGATAAATAGAAATGCATGTGTAGTATTGGATTTTACTTTGATACTTTTGCCTCTGATAGCTGATCTGCCCAATTTCTAGCTATAACACTGACATAGTACAGGGGACCATTTTCTTTATATATCGTAAGATTAAGATTGTCGATGTAGCCATCAAGGGTATCACCGACATTTCGGTAATCTAAAACATCCCCTTCACCTAGATTAAGTAAATACAAGTGTTATTTACAATATGTATAAATCACTGCAGCAATGTAAGATCTGAGTATACATTTACCACACACGAAATTAATATTGAGAAATAACGTTTTCATCTTGTGATGACGTAAGAATTACAAACCTGGTGATGTACCGACAGCAATGTTATATTCTTTAACTCCAGTCTCTATATCAACAGCAAGCCAAGACGCTTGAATACCGTTATTGTCTGTAGATATCACATTGCCAGCTTCATCCAGATCTTCCATTTCCCCATCAACAACACCTATACGGACGTACTTCATCTAGCGTGATACAATAAAACTAAACAAGTAAAATGAGTATATATTTTTACGTGTCGAAAATGAATTTTACATTTCTCAGACATATACCTCTGGTGGAGTGTCGTCTACTGTAACCCCGTCTGTATCATGAACGGTTGTTAAACCAGCTCGATTTACAGCAGCAACTCTCACATTATAATGCCCACCAGTTTCTAGGTTTAATGACTTTGCCACAAACAAGTTGACAGTTGCATTAAGGCGTTGAGGCTCTAATCTAAATCAACAATTTAAAGATTTATAGAAAGTGAATCAACATTTATTCATGCAAAAGACTGACATACCCTCATACAAAAATGTAAAACATACAATAACAATATTGACAATTTGATGGGAGGTCAACAAAGCAAATACTATTAAAATTGCGACCTACCCTTTGGGAAATATTTGTCTCTTTGTGCCACCACTTGTCCCAAATATTGTGAACAAATAGTATTCAATACCAGATTCGGTATCACTAAAAAGCCAATTTGCTGCCAATTCAGTGAGACTTGACTGGAAATGCAGAAAAACATTATTACAGACCTTTTTGTTAAGAAAAAAATCAAAGTTATTTGCGCTAATATTTTTTATCTTTCTTTCACTCATCACTATATAAAACATTCAGCTTACCGAAAACATAGCATTTTCCCCTGGAACCAATCCATCGCCTATATATCTTACTTCGGGTGAAGTAAGGTCAACTCTAGTACCACTAGATTTGGTGTTGATACTTGTATTAGCACCATTTGTTGTATTCATTTCAACATAAATATAGTCACCATGGTGATGGTGAAAGTGGTGCCATTCGATCTGGCTAACATTACCACCGATGGATTCTCCTTCGTGTATTAGAATGTCTTCAGTATATACATCATCACTGTCTGATGGGCGTTGTTTATATACAGCCAATGAGTAACTGATGACTTCAGATTCAGGGTCATTAAAACCATTCCAATTTGCAAGCACACTCGCTGCCGCTGACGTGAAGTTTTTATCAACATTTGCGTCGAGGCCATCCCTCAGTAGACCGGTATTGGGTTCAGTCATGTCCACAAGAACTACATGACATTATCAAAAACTATTGTTACAACTTTCTATCTATTTAAATGTTTCTTTGTGTTTCAAGTTTTGATATACTAGTAGTTGGTAAGATTTGTAGCAAGTATATGAAAAAGTTTAGGGTTTACGAAAAACACCGACCGCAGACCAGTCACTGTCCACAGTGGATAAACGTGGTCGGTGGTCGGCTGTCGGTCTTTTACATAAAGATGAAAAGATGTATAATTAGAAGAAAGTAAAACTAAAACTGGAAATCCAATGACTATTGTACCTTTACAAGGTCGTGATTTAAAAATGTATTTAATCATTTCAAGTCACGATGAAAAACATTACATCGTTGTGGTGTGTAATCTGAGACCATCATAAAATGTTAGTCTGTGTTAGTCTCAGTGTGTAATGTCATATTTTAAGTGACGTCTCAGTTGTTAGAAGACCAATTTCATTCTGGTTATTCACTTTGGATTATGAGAAAACGCACGTAACATTGCATTAAGTTCATAAATATGAAACGCAATAACAAAAACACACTTAATATTGTCAGTGTTCAAGTCGTAACGTAATGTTTGATTTCTCAGTTGTTAAACGTCAACTGGTAAAACTTACATTCAATTTGACATGCAAAAAGCTTTCTAATGGTGTACTGAAATGGTTAGTCACTTTTAATCCCGTTAAGAGAACGCACGTAACATTACATCGTTTTCAGAATTCAGTAGGCTATGACGATAACAAATCATTTTTATTTCGAAATTGTACGTTAGATTTCAATAAAAAAATGAGGATAGATTCACGGAGAAATGATAGGTTGGTTAATGGTAGTTCAGGAACTTAAGGCAGGGCAATTAAATCGAGAGGAAATGGTCATGCCCAGTTTGTTTGCTTGCCTTTCGTTGAAAGGAACAAAATCGGTAAAAAACGTTGCCTACGACTGACATACAAACTCGAATTATTAATATTTTAAGGCTGAGGATATGTTCGGTCTTTTACCCATTTCTTCGAAACCCAGTTTTGAGGCTACCAGTGGAAAACACCGACCGGTCGGTGGTCGGTGGGGTCGGTATTTTCCATAAACCCAAAAGTTAAAAAGGATTTGATGGACATACCTCCATTAGTTGTGACCGAAACATTGAGGAGTTTATGACCTCCGTTAACAGCATACAAAACAGTGAAGTAAGTTATGTTGTGTTCAAGGTGAACATTGCTTTGATCAGTACAGAATTCATAAGTATTGTGTCCAAGTGTTTTGAGGGGTACAATGTCGTCAAGTCCTTCCTGTGTTCCAAATCCAATCTTGTATGCAGCTGCGAAATAACACATATTAATAAATTTTTATTTGATTTGGTGATGTTCCATCTAACGGTGGTATTCGGTTTCGTGCTAAACAATGTGTCTACAAATTCGCTGCTTCTAACCCATTTTTGTTTTCTTGGTTTAACTATTAACATAGAATGCCTAAAGATATCAACTTCGCACGACAAAAGTAGAAAAACTGGAATTAAATTGTAAATGTTCAAAATGTTGTTAACGTACATATTCCACTGTCAGGATCGGTGAAGTTCTTCCAATTTGCACATAATATATCATTTCTGTTTTGGAACTCCATGTCTGTATCATGCACCCATCCATCATACACGTTGCCAGCGATAGGAGGGGATGTGTCAACAACAATGGGATGTTCGGATGGACCAACTTCTCTAAGATCAACTAAAATAATAACAACTCTTAAAATTACAAATTGTATGAAGTTAAAGATATCCATACCATCATCCATCCTTCCCTACAAGTGCGACCTCCCTACAAGTGCAACCCCCTGGGTTACTATCTCTTGTATGTTATGAATTAATAAAGATTTTCCTATGAAGCATCCAAGCTAAATAAAAAATAATTGATTGTATTATTATATATTATTGTAAAAATTCAATCAAAAACATGGACATTGATATAAACAATCTCTTAAAAAGAAAAATGGCATCATCTTAACAATTCAAGATTTAGAAAGTTCATCAATTTTGCTGATTTGACCAAAAAATAAAAAAATGCTCGCGAGAAAATTTATGAAGTGTAGTCTAACCATTATTTATAGCTCTGATCTTTGGCCACGCAGGGGTCCCATCTGGTATCTTTTGTCTTTTTTCTAGATGTGTAATATTTGGAAAACGCTCCCAATCCAATATGTAACAGTCACGTCTACTTCTTCCAAGACAGAAGTCCACCTCTCGAATATCAGAGAGTGGGTCACTTAAAGTGAATTTTAGGTTAGTAACAGATGTAAGCAATTTATTTTAGGAATGATTAAAGAAACCCATACTCTAACTACAACTATTGTATTCATAACTTACCTTACATCATAATTCATTATAAGTAGGTGTGTATATTCGTCATACGATACTAATTTTACATAGTGCACGATAGGTGGGGTTGTGTCCACTATATATGGTAAACTATGGCATACAGTTACTGCCATAGGGCCACCAAATTCCACTTTGTTCAATGCTCTGACATTTATGTAATAATGGCCATCTGAAAAGGAGTTATTAAAACTATGTATTAAAACTAAAAATAAAATACAATTCATCTAATTCAGTGTGGGTAAAGGTGATGAAATGAATGACTAAACCGTATTACATACCAGGCATATAAAGCGGGTATAGCATTGCTTCATGTGTCCACTCAGATTCAAACGTTATGTGTGCATGAGGGTCCTTGTGTGGATGGTGATCATCTCGACAGACTTCTGTTCCAACTGACACTAAATAACCATATATGCCTGTTTCGTTGTCATGGAATCCATCCCAGTTTGCTAAAATTCAGAACCAAGATAGGTTGACATGGCAATATTAATTACAAATTGTTACGTTATTGTTATTTACGTTTATTTACGTGAAAATTTAGAGAGAATTTATCTAAATGCGTCTCATTTCGATATACCTGAACAATATTTGTTGTCTCTTGTCCATCTCATGTCTGTCATCGCTTCATCTCCATTAAAGACACACATGGAATGAGGGCCATGTGGTTCTGATACACCATCTACGATAACCCTGTAATTTTTTAAAAATATGAGACAATATGTTATATACTTCTGGAATATGAAATTGATGGGTGGTTGCACAATAATCATACTAGCATCTTCTATTTTAGTGATACTAGTAAACTGAACATGTAATAGATATTACATTAAATGTATTAGACGATCAACATCAATATAAATCAAGCTAAATTATACGGAAGAAGAATACTGAACTAACTCGTACCTATGGTTATTCAAAGTTGTTGGTTCAATACATCTATGTGCAAAGATGTCTGTTACGTATTCCTCACACTTTTCATGAATAGTTTCATCAGTTAATGGAATTTCTATAGGTCCCGTGGCTGGTGGAGTGAAGTCGGCTATGATTGATTTTGAGCTCAAAATATTTTCATAACCTATGAATTTAAATCAGTGCACTATAATTGTACCATATTAGAAAAATTAGGCAATGGTCCGTGTGTAGATGACAAAGTGATAATTTGGATTAAAAACAAAAAAACAAGAATTTTCTTACCCAACGTATTGTTAACAAAGAAATTAAAATAGTAAATGGTGTTGTGTTCCAAGTTAACCTTATTGTATTTGTACTCAGCAGAATGACCAATACCCAATCGTTCAAAATGGTGGAAATGGCCCGACTGCAAAAATGAAAAAACAAGGTAATGCGCGTATTGAACCAAATATAATATGATTGTATGGATGTTTTAAATCAATTCAAATATTTACTTCGTGGACCTCTGCTTGATGGCCTTCAACAAAGTCTAGCAATTCACATATTCCATCAGAACCATAGTCATAGTTAAAACTCGAGCACTTTGCAGGTGGAAGTAAGAGGCATTCTTTAGCGCATGCTTGTGGAGTTCTGACATTAAACACAGAATGTGGCATTGCTGGGTGCTTCGCTTTAGTAATTAACCTTCCAAGCCGAGTAGCTAAATACAACAAAAGTCAAATTGATAATAAAACGGAAAAATTAAAATATCGTTTTACATATAACATCTCAGCGGGATGTGAACGACATTGCAAGTCTTACATGTAAAATAGTCCAGGCTTCTACTACCATGGGGATCATCCCCTGTATCAACTATGGTTGCTGTTTTGTTAACAGTCACAACATGCCAGGGAATCAGTTGGTCACCCCATTGCCCTTGTCCATATCCAACTGCCAACTGCGAACAAGCAAATGTATGAACAGTAATAGTTGAGTAATTTAAATTCCAAGATGATCTATAACAGAAAATGATGATTAAAGTGTCGACACAAATATATGTCCATTAAATATATGTACGCACAATGCCAAAATGGAAAGGGCAAAGATTGTTACAGAACATACCAACAAAAATAGTCCCATTTTGTCAGACGATGTATTACGTATTGTACAGGAAACTATTTCAGACAATGTTGAACAAGGTAAAATGGTAGTTATTACAACAACAGCTATTCGAAAAGCTTTTGACTCTGTTTGGATAGATGGCCTGTTTGTGGAAATGTGGTATCGTCGGTAAACTTAGTAAGGGGTGCGTGTTCTGATTAATTTCCTGTTCTTCAGGGCGCACCTCAAGCCGGCGCATTGTCTATGCTCCTTTATCAACTATATATGTCTGACATAATTGAAATCATGACAAAATTTAGCATTGGTTCCACGATAGGCGACACTAGCTGTGTCTATCCATGCAACGCTGGCGATATGTGTATTTTAGTGCCGATTGTACAGTAAATTAGGTACAATATGTGAAACTGTAATGACAATATGTTTTAAATGCAAAAATTATAGAGGACATTAATAAAGCTAGAAATGTAGATATTAAAGAAGCACATGACAGCCTTATTGAAAAATGGCGGCCTTTCCACGCTAGTTTGCGATTGTTGCTATAACTACAAAGGTAGTGGTGTGATTTTGCTCATATTTGGTATGTGAATACTATAAGCATGGGTCACTGTCTAATGACACTTTTGGTAGTAGGCGGCCATTTTGAAAAATGGCCTCCATTTTCACGTTTTTACTATGAGTAGTAGATCGATTTTGTTCACATTTGATATTTGAATACTGTAAAGCATGCCACACTGTCTGATGACACTTTGGGTAGTAGGCGGCCATCTTTCAAAATGTCCGCCATTTTTACGTTTTTCTCTAACTATAACTCGAAAAGTAGTGGTATACGCACTGCTTGACGATCAAGAGGAGAGTCATCAATAGCCTTTGCAGAAGCTCTAAGTGCATGTGGATAGCTTGTCGAGCGAAAGTCTGGGATAACACGTCCAGTTGGTAGCGTCATATCATATGTAGGTAGTTCACATTCAATACTTGAACTTCCGCCCTGGCTATTCTTAGCAATTATCAAGTAATATAAGGGAATACCCGAAGTTAGTCTCTGCAATGTAAAACAAAATTACGACATTCAACACAGCCAAACTGCTTATCAAATGATATGTAATTCTTTTCAGATGAGTATCATCTTAATCTAATTTTTAAGATTAAGAATTACAAAATAAAATCTTACCCGAGACACAACTGTAGAAAAACCTCCCATGGGCTCAGTTGGGACTAGATTACACCCTCCTAAATATGTTCCTACGCAGTAGTGTGTGTCCACCTGACTTACATCATCATATACAGCTACAGCAAGTTGGAAAGCTGGTTCAGTAAAATCTCTCCCCGCCAACTGTTTTACTGAACATTTAACTGTAGTTGCTGCTCTTTTAGCAACCAAAGACTCATCTTGCTGAAATAAATTTTGTGAACAGTTAACCGTTCAAACATTATTTCTTCATTAATCTCGTGCCAAAGTTGTCCGATTCCAACTTGGTATTATACAACAAAGTGTTACACAAAACGTATGTAACGTAAGGTATATATTTCCAAGTTCATTTTGATAAAAGTAGTATATAATTACATTAATGTAATGTAATTCTCTAAATATAAGCTAGACATTATTAATGTATTAGATCAACACTGTATGTATGTACAGGACTTACATCAACAGTATAAAAACTGAAATCGGGCGGTGTATCATCGGGTTTTGGATCGTTATGTTGGAAGATGTTCTTCTTTATTGATGGTGTCGTATATTCCCATAGGTTGATCCGAAAGATTGTGATGTCCATCATTTCAAATGGAACAGGAATTGACATAAAAAGGCCAACATCCAACACAAGTCTGAGTGGAATTAATTCTAAGTCCATGCGGGCACTGGAAATAATAACCCTGATCATATAGTAAATATGGAAAAAACAGATATTTTTATTAAGTTTGAACAATCTTTAGAATTTTAGCTCTTATATCAAATTTGAAAATTTAAATATAGCGATAGAATACCTTACCTAACATCGAGTGGAAACTTGCTGTATCCGAGTCCTACTCGAGTGGGAAAACTTGTTGTCATTAGGTAACCCGTGATCCTTACTTTAGTATAAATAAACACCAATCCTACTTCTATTGCACCACGAACATATGATCCCATTGTAGGCCTAACTCCTCCCTAAATGCAATTAGTAAAGGATTAAACACAGAGGTCAATAAATTGTGGACCGTTTTAAATATAGGGGACTTGTAGATCGAAATTATGACAAAATGTTTCAGTCAAATAGTTTTTAACACCCTAGGCTATCATAAATATTTAATTCAAAGTTCTTACCGTTACTTTCATGGATAGAATACAAAACTCGCAATTAAACCCCATTCCGACGGAACCTCCTGCCTTAAAAGCTAAATGTCATAAAATATTTTTAACAGAATATCTGAATAATGTGATATGCTTATATATGAGTAATAAGATGAATCTTTTCAAGTTGTTCTGACTAATTTTGCCCAATTATTTAAAATCTAACGATATTTCAAATAGTACTATAGTACAAATAGTACTATCACTCCCTTATTCTTGACACACCTTGATTTTTGACAGTTCATAAACTCCAACTCATCCATCCGTCTTTCAGTTATTATACATTTATGAATCGTAATAGCAGATAAAGATCAAAAGCAACTTATCCTCAAATATAACAAGTCGATTTATAGTTCACATATAAGAGTCTAAACTAAATTAATTCTGAGGTTACGAAAGTTAATATGATAAATATAATTTTAATGAGATGAAATTTCGCTTTCGAGAAACCTAACATTGTCTACAGATATATATTACTACATACTGAATGTAAGTGGAATTGGTCCAATCATTACAAGTGGGGATGTGACCTCAAAGAAAGCAACATTCAGTGGTCCAAAATATGTCCCTCCTTCCAGGCAAATGTCAAATGATTCAAAATCTTCAGATATCGCTTTGGTCATGAAGTTGTTGATTTTTCTATCCAACTGAAAAATTTCATTTTCAATTAAGTTTTCACTCAACCAAAACGATATATTATTATTAAAAATGTTAATCGTGATCAGTTATGACCATAATTTGAAAATTGTTTATTTGGATCAGGGTGTCCTTATGTGGTGTAACTGAAAACAATTCAGTAGCATACTTACCAAGTGAACGTATATCATTCGTATATCTTTCATAAGGTCCGATATGGTGGCACCATCAATAGGTGCGGAGAGTTCTTCAAACTCACCAAGGGTCATTTCGCCGAGAGCTAAATTAGTGATGAAAAATGTATTATTGCAACATAAGATGAGTTTACAATCGTAACAAATAACAATCGAATAACACATTCCATTAACGTACATGCTTTGCTTTCCATATGGCTTTCTTGTACGACACGACAGTCTGGTTGTGTTGGTATCGTCAATACGGCTGATTGAAACATAACCACTCGTGGCAAACATGTCTCAGGACTTGCCATTGAACAAAGTTGCAAGGAAAGGGTGAACTGAAAGTAAATTCATCAAGGTTTAAACAGAAATTATGATCAGTCTAAATGATAAAATAATAGTTTCCCACTAATTCACCATATAAAAGGTATACTTTATTATAGCAATAATTTCCTATTTGCTTGCATTGTAGTTTGTACAGAAAAATAGAAAGTGAAAAAAATCCCCGTGTTAATTTGTTAATTGGTAAAATTTAAACAATGGAGGTTTTTTTCACTTTTACATGTTACCATGTCAAATGTTTCTCATTACCTTTATATTGGTCCCTGATTTTGTCATTTTGAAGGAGACTTTTGGCTGTACAACTGACATACTAGAATTGTCAGTGAACACAAATTCATCTAAATATGTATCTAAAAAGCAAAAACAATGGTTTACTCATACAATGTTGAATATTACCGTAGATTTGTATTTCAAATTATAAAACATTAATTACAACTATCAATTCAAAATCAGATATTACCTGTTTCATTTAGTACCAGTGATGTAACATGTGACCAATCATTCAACTGAAGCTTCAGCTCTAAGTTACATGGGTCAAGCTCGACAGACACCCTCGATAAAACGCTTGTGTAGAATAGGGGTAAATCAACACAACAGGAAACACTCAGACAATCTGAGGATGGAGTACAGTAACTCTTGGGAGGATTTTTCGTTATAAGCTCAGGACAAACTAAATAACAATCACAAAGATAAATGAAGGTCATAAGTAATACGAAATTCCATCCAATGTTGAATGATATATTTCAAATAGAATCAACTAAAATAACATTAACAGAAATAATTTTAAATGAACCATGTTTTAATAATGAAGAGGAAAACTTTATCACCATTTTTAATCTGATAAAATTTCTCCAGTAGCTGTTCCCTGTTTCCACTGCTGTCTTTCTTTTGTTGAGCAAGAGCATGCTTCAACTCACTATCGCTAAGCTCTCTAGGTCTTATACAACCATTAATGTCAAAAAGTCCAGTCTGAAATAATGAAGGTGAGCAGTTCATATCAGTCCTTAAACTTGTCGGTGACATATTTGTAAGCGTACTGAATGTGAAGGCGCGTGTACTAAAAAGATTGCAAAAACAAAAAGTATTAAAAACACAGTATGCAAACGAAACTCAAGAAAAATAGATCTGCTATCCAACTTAAAATGATACAAGGCATAAAAACGATGTCGAACATCCACTACCATTGAAGATCCATCATTAGGCCTACAAGATAACAAAGCCACAATGGGATATTTTATTCATACTGAAGATCATTGCAATACACGTTGAAAAATTACTTACCATGATAGTTTGCGTTAATGCATCAATGCGTGTCACCATCTGATCGTTCTTTGATTCCCTTAAAAAAGTTTTTACTTTTTTCAAGCTAAGATCACGTGTACGAAATCTAGCATCAGGACCAAATTCAGTAATATTCGGGATGCCCATTTTTATCACGAGGCTTTCGCGCAGGGCATTCAGAGTGATGTCTAATATGTTTCCATCGGAACTTTCTCGCTTGCGTCGTTCATCTTTTGTCAAATCTGAAATATGATTGCTTAACGTTTTCAAAAATATTTTTGATATTTTTAATAAAAGGTGAATATAGCGATTTAAGCTTAAACATGTATCGGTTAACAGATAGTATGGAGTATGCCAGAATTATACGTGAACTTGTATTCTGAAATCAGTGCTACGGAATTAAATGCAATACATTGATTTTACATGAATAGTATCCTCCCAATAGTTTTACGCGATCTTTTTAGTTTTTGGTGTAGATGTAGTTTAGTAACATTTAAGTTGCGAATAAGATAGCATGCACTTTTATTTAGTTACCTTCCGGCATACTTGTATCTGGATTGTTTTCTAGTGTTGGTGATGTGTCTTTTTCTTCTGGACCCCCTGTAACCGTTCCAGTTGCAAATACGATCTCCTAAGGATTGGACGAAATACAATTAAAATCTGACATATATATGATATGTCACTGATTCAAGTTGATGTAAAATGATGCCTTTAAATGATACAAAGTTGAATTTATATTTAAGAATCATACCTTCCATATGACATTATAGTCATCACACTTTTGAATCCACGCAGGTTTATTCATTCTACGTTTTTCAAGATATCTTGTAGGGTCTATAATAGCATTGCTTCCAATCTTTTTCATTGTGAAGTGAATATGGCTGTCCATGCAAAGGGACGCAGAATATGTCACATGTCCAAGCACCTCATTTTTCTTGACCTGAAGATGTATGGTGTTTCTACTATTGAAGCATGATTTTACATAATTCAAACTAAAGCCTCCATTTGAAGGCTAATTGAAACATAATACATTTATGGGAAATGATAGTAAGGCGTGTAACTAGATGATTGTGTATTTACATAAGTGTAAAGTGGAAATTCAAATATGATTAAAAATAAAACGACTGATTTTTAAGAAAAAGTCTCAAATTAATTTTTAAGTCAACTATGTTTTAAAACTTTACACGGGTCCTTTAAAAATCAATAACAATAAGTCCCTCAAATGAAACTGACCTCCGTTCCGTTTTTGGCCGAATGCACCTCGACATTTTCTATTATAATTTCCGTGTCCTTCAATTCAGTTGTAAGAATTGTGACCTTCCTTCTGATGCTATTGATTGTAAGAATTCCAGAAAATGGCACAACTAGCTGTAATAATGCAGAATATAGAATAGATTATTACAGAGAGCAATGATAACAATGAGAATGAAGATTGTATTCCTTTTAGTTTATGGTTTATTCGAATAAAGCAAGGAAATCATTTTTTGAATCACGTGACTCATGCTAGAACGAATGTATTGATGAATAAAAGCTTACTTCTGATCCCACTTCAGCTTCCAGTTGTACTCCTTGGTAGTCGTAGTTTCCTCCTTGAGTGGAAGGATAAAAACCGTTGCCACAATCTTCGGATTCCAAATACTTTTTTGGAAAACCTTTTGAAATCTTTGGCCCGAAAACATTGTCGAGCAACGACTTCGCAGCATCATACCTATTTATTGATATTGATAGATGTAGATATTTTATAAATATATCAACACATAGAAGGGTATGATTTTAAATACAGTCAACGTAATCTTATTCAAACAAATGTTTTGACAAAAGATAAGAACTCCAAACCCTTCTTGTATGCCCCTAAACGCCTCTGTAAGGTTCTGTATTGTTGATATTGTATCATCAAAAGTGGTAACAAAGGGCAAAACTACGGATCCTATTGGTTCGATGGCTTTTTCAATGGTATCCAAACTTGCGAGGAGCTCTTGTAATATCTGATGCATGACTGTGTCCTGGAATAGAAGATTTAAATTGTAGAAAATCAAAGGTTAGAGAATATTTTCTACAAACAATATTATATCTTTTTAATATTATGCATTTCATTGTAAGTAATACGTAATTTATGCTGAAGAATGCATTGAAAAGGCACTTACTGCATTAACTGCAAAGAAATGATTAAAGTCTTTGGCAAACGTTTCAGATGTTCTGTTCAATTTTGCGATGTTCCTTAGTGATGCAGCAGCTTCAGCGATGTCAGCTTCAATATTTTCAAACACGGGTTTAAGATCCATCCAGTAAGGCTTTTCATCTAGAAACGATACACCGTATAACTGGCTCATCATTTAGCAGGTAAATGTTTCGTAAGCTCATAATGAGAATAGCTAGGAATTAGAGACTAGGGGCGTGAATAGGACCTTTTATACATATGGAATAAAAATAGCATCCATGATATTTCTTTTATTCACTCATGGATATTGATGTCTAATATCATGTCCGCCCATTCGTCGATAAGAATCATATCTCTTAAAAATTGTAGGATATCCTCTATATACAAAACGAGAATCTCATGTAAAAATTCAAAATTGATCATATATGATACCTTTTGAGAAGGAACAAGCCTCTCGTATTTTATCCCTCGCGCCGTAAACAATCTCTACAGCCATTCGTTGTCTAAAAAGTAAAAACTCTAATATTCAATATTTTTATTTTCTAAACACGATTTTCTTAAAATACTTAATATCAAACATACTTACATACTTCACCAATTTATAAATATGTGTGCATATATTATAAATTCCTATATAGTTATAAAATTATGTTGTGTAAAGCTGGTATGTTACTGTGCAACTGCTTTTGCTATATTTGCCATAGCTGTTTTAGGAGATTTTGTCAAATCGGTAACACTTTTAGCAGCATTCTTGAGTGCTCTTTCGATCTGCAATCCAGCCCATGGGAGGGACACTTCTACAGCGTCAGCTATGGACTGAATGGGAGAGAAAAATTTACATTAACAAATAAAACCGAACATACATGATATACTTCCTCCAAACCATGCAAAAACTGCCAAAAGGCAGATTTGTAAAAAATAATTGCATAGTAACCGACTTACTAATTACTCTTACTTTACTTTATTTAATAAAAGATTGCTCAGGTGCTCACATTATAAAACTCCATGACATCTTGTCTGACGCCAGTTAAAACAGTTTGAGTTTTTCGAAGTGCATCATTGACCCTTTCAACAGCATCTGGTAATTCATTATATTTATAAAACATCTTGATGTGATTGTCGAACTCTGAGTTAAGATACAATGTCTTCGGTATGTATTCTATGGAACCTGCAATACTGTCAAATATATCTGCTATGGAAAATGTTCGGGAAGATTTCAATATATTGTTGAATGTGATTATAGCAGTCTTAACACTATCAACCACGTTGTTGATGACTTTGTCGTATGCATTTACTAGTTTCACGGTATCATCATAACCAAACTCCTAAAAGTACATAACTGACATTCAGTTTACTTGTCGAGAATAACACATGATACAATCTAATATTCAATATAATTCTGTTCCCATCAACCACTCATGCAGCCAAAATGACAAATTGTGTATAAAATAACACACGTAATAATTGATCTGTTAATAACGTCGAAGGAATTTACAAAAGATTATGAAAGCATGACCATGGTATAATTTGATAATATGAATAATTATATCACATGGAGTCTATCATAAACTACATTACCTGCAATATGTTAAGCCCATATTTGATTTCTCCATTGAAACACATTTCTCCGACAAAGAATTTTATATCAATGCCTACAAACCCAACTACTCCTCGTGCATATGCTGTATCGAATATGTCAACAAGAAAATGTCCCCGAAGCGGCTCTGAAATCAAATGAAATCACCAACATTGAATTGCGATCGGCTGTTTGTGGGATTTGATAATTCAACAATGTGCACAAAGTGAGATACGACAACTTTCGAAGACCGATTGGAATGCAATCCCAGGATTATGAACTTACACTTCAAGACATTAGTTATCAACGTTTTATGAACTTCTGCAAGTATACCAATTACACATCCAAAACTCCCAATGGGGCTCATAGCAGCAGTAAACTTGTAGCAGGGGTACACTTGACGTATATTTGCCGCATATTAAATACTTATTTTCCCAATAAGAGTCATTTAGTGCCATCTTAGACTTATACTAACAAAAACCCAGCCGGTAACGGCCTTTTCTGAAAGATCAACAAACCAAAGGTTGTGAACGAACCCAAATCTCAGAGATGACAATGCATACTATGTTACTGTTGATTAGTTTGTTGAAACCGTTTGTCTTGCGACCCTCCCCTTCGCCTCGAACCCGGCCGGGAAAAATGAACCCCCTTGGTAAATCGTGGCTACACCCTTGGAGAAGCATCAGAGAGTTGAAACAAGAGATAAGAAGAATGACTAGAGCCATTACACATGATATATGTGAGCTTTTGTAAAACAACCACCATAAAATCGTGGTCATTTAAGACAGACCAATGAAATTTGGAAGAGTGAAAGGACATTGGACACGGTTCAATTATGCCAAATCTGATTTTAAACCCATGCTGGATGACTGAGTTCTTTGCATTTGTTTGGGTGACCTTTTTTGGCTCACCCTGTACTCCATAAATTTGAACTTCATTGAACCATTGTTCGATAGCAATGCTAAACCTGCGCCTGCCGATAAAAATTAATCGTGGGATGATCCGTAGCCTTGCCCAATTCGGTCTCTTTTACTTGTCTTGATTTCTGTTATGACCGCCTTGTACCAAAGAGAAAGCCACGTGCTTTACCGACAGTTTGTTGATGTAGGTAAAATTTGACCAATCAAAGACGGCCCTGTAGCGATAGCTCATTATTATGCACGGTCAAAAACAAGTACACTTTTCACCGGGACTTTTCACGAACAAATCTTACGAATCTGAGCACGAATTCATCATGAAGATACAAATATTTTATCAGATAAATATCAATGAGAGTTTAGTGGATGCCGGTGCATCGATCGGATAACCAAAGGTGAGAAGAGTTCAACAATAAACGTTGGAACGATCGCTGAACATGTAGGCTGAGATTCAATCACCGATCGACGACAACATGACCCGCTACATTGGACTAGGTCTTCGTGCATTTTCATCGCGAAATCAGTTTTAAATCAACATTGAATCGCATGATTTAATTTATATTAATGCCTCTTACCTTCCAATGTACATTTAATTGCATAATATATTGTAACTCTAAAGAAACACTCGATCAGATCATTGCATTTCAAGTCGTAGATGGGAAGTTTGTTTTGTTTATGCAGCTCAACCTGATAACGTTTTAATTGGTCATTCAGCCTGAAGTCACACGTCGTGTCCACGCGATATCTGTCAATCAATAAGGTTTCGCGATACCCCTGATAGCGTAGGTATTATGGAAATCTCGAAACCGTTGAATATTTCAACATAATAACAGCGGAGATGTATTGGATTGTACAAGGCGGTAATAATTCAAGATCAGATAAGTAAAAAATACCGACTTGGGCAAGGCTAGATGATCCGATGTCCCTTGTGATACTTTTAACACATTTTTAGATCAATTTCTAGTTTTGCAAACATACGTATTTGGAGATCCATAAGGTTTCGTATCACCAGCCCGAATTTGGCCCCGATGTCATCTGTTCCAACTTGTGCCCTCCAGTCTATACCAGGAAGTTCGACCTTGAAATCAATCCCTCTGAATAACCATTCAGCACTTCGTTTGTTTCTGTAGTGTGACTTTATTCTCATGGCTTGTTCATAAAGACTTGTATTACGATACCTACAAATTAAATAAAGGGATGATACAGCCAAATGTGGTAGTTCATATTGCACGTTCGTTGTGATAAGGTTTAATACTATGAGACAAATCGTTATACCCGCTTTAAACGAAACGTATGTTACACTATTATAATATACAATCATAGTATATCATATAAACAATGTATTTTATTATTCGTTCCTAAAACTCAGTTGTAAATAGTCATTAGAAGCATTCTAATGCAACACAAAGTAAACTGCATTTTAGGCCATATCGTACCCAAGATGAACTATCTGGCGTATTTCATCTACGTTGGCAGCATGAGGGTGACTCCAGTATTGGAGACAGGCATGGTGTCGAACATGGTCCTCTGGATCGTTCAATGCGACTGACATAATGTGATGAGCAGCCTGGAGAAAAATGAATAAAATTTCAAAAAATCATATTTTGTTAAAGTGTGTTATTGCTGCTTTAATTAGGAAAAACGTATGTCTTCGTAATGAAAAAAGAGAACCTCTTCATAATTGAAATGTCGAAGCGCTTGAACTGCACTGCGTTTCAGTAGAGACGGTGTCTCGGGGTGGTCAATGTATGATAGTATATATGGATATGACGTGTCGTGTGCAGCATTCCCCAAGGCATGTATATACCCTGCTTTCTGATGCAGATGCTTTTCAAGTTCCTTTTCCGAAATCATTGATCTAACCGTTCTATGTTCGGTCTCATCTGCAATAAGTGAAAGATAATTTACCTCTAGTTTCATGAACTACATATTTGTGATTGGTTTACGGAAGTAATGCAATGCAAGATTGTCATAGAGTTTGCTATACACACTCACCATGATGGCCTAGGTTGGTATGAATTCTCTCCAAAATCGTTAGACCTTTTTCCACATGATGGTCATTTAGTGTCCTTGCGATAGCTCCAAATATCAGCAACGCCCTATTTCTTACAATATGCTCTTCCTCGTCATCTTAAATCAATCAGTTAAATAACATGACAGCATAATGCAATGTACAATTTCATTATAAGACACTGTATTTGCGTAGAACACTCACCCTCATAATTTGTTTCCTTGGAAAAGGCCCAATCCTCGATGGCGTCAATTGCAATCTAAAACAGATATACATGTTGCGTGTTACACACGAACTATTTTCTTAAATACTTATGGACGATGCACACTTGGATTTTACTACGTTACTCACCTTTGGAGGAGGCGTTTCACGCCCTGCAAAATGTAGCATGGCTCGCGATACGAGTCTAGAATCATGCCCTTTGTTCAAAAGTACAAACTCGGTGATGATTGAAAGTGAATGATTAGTGCCCACCATTCCTAACACGTCTGTTGCTACAGTCTGTAACGTTTTGTCCTTGCCAAACTTTGGTTTTGTTGTAATGTATTGTTCCGCTACTAATCTTATGTCTGGATCTGATAAAGAACTCGCCAGTTCAACAGCCAACTGCAAGTGATGGTTGTGCTCTTTGGAATCTATGTTAAAAGCAGAATGATATATTCAGAGCGCACTTCAAGGAAAATGTGCATGATGGTAAAATTATGAAATCACTTGCATATTTGGCAAATAGATATTTGGCTGATAAAATAAGCCAGACAAAGAAGCGGATATGTCCGGTTCTATAGTCCAAATAGCGTGGTAGGCAAACTTATATTAGCTCATATTTAGTAGAATTAGAAATAGTACTAACTATACTAGTGGTCCGCCAAATCTCTTGGTATAGGTTATGTCTCTACAACATGGGAGATACGGGGCATATTTCAAACTATGTTAGGTGATTTAAGAGTATAAGAAACAGGAGAAACGTTGACTATGTAGCCTTTTTACAATTTTGGGGGGATTAGCTGGAAAAACATACATAGGCAGGAATTACTTCCATGTCTAAGTATACGCCTAGTACATAATACTGTGATTTGTAACACATGTTGGTCTTATCCCCTTTGTCACGCATGCTTACATATTTGTAGGTGCATTGCTTAACTCTAAGTACATTTTTTATTTTGTGTATTGAATATTTTAAACAATTGCACGAGAAACAAATTTGAATCTCTGTTCGAATGTTCTAAATCTTTTATCTTACCTGCACGATCTGTTTTTGCTATGACTGTAAAGTGGTTATGTAACTGATCCTTAACCACTTTAAGAGGTCTGGAGGGATGCATTGGTTTATTTCTCACATGTATCGTATCTTCCTCAACATTTTCAGATTTAGGATTTTCCCAATTCCTGTCACTGTCCGTTATTCTTTTAAACTCCAGATGCTCGTTTGATGTTACGGTCATTACAGGTAGATCTAAAATCAAGTAAAAATGTCCTGTGGAAAGAATAAGTTTACTTACCTTCACACGGGCCTTCACAAGTACAAACAGACAAACTTAGCTATTCAAAAGACATATATATTAGAGGTAAAAGGGGTCAGATATTTTTTGGGTCGGGTCGGGCCAGAAAAAAGCGTGCGGGTCAGGTAATTTCGGGTCTGATCAGAGGAAAACAGAAAAATAATTTGACTTAATTGTCTTAGTCTTTTATGAAATATTTCAAGAACATCATACTGCATATTATGCTTTTATAAAGGAAAATGATAAAAAGCATTAAATCATTGGGGAAGAACTGTGAATTGTAATTTATACGTGTACAAAAATAGGCCAGTTATGTTTTTTGACACGAGCCTTTCGACCCAATATATTTCGAGTCGGTATGACACCTCTAATAAATATACATATATTCAAATCATCTCAATCGATCAACTATTTGTATAATGATGCTTTCATATCTAATGCTGTAACATATCGTCCATTTTAAATCGTAGTTTGGATATTGGGATTTGTTTTTAATGCATTATATTTGTTTTTGTTGGTCTACTAAGTCTTTAAAACGAGAATAATTACTTACTAAAATCATTTGCGAATCCGTTCCCGTGTTTTTTGTTCGGGTCACCAGGCAGCCCTTGATTGGGATTGTAACTGAAATATAACAATTTTAGGAATAATATAATCATTTTCCCATGCTGTAAATGTTATCCGGACTAATGTCCTGTAACGGGATACGTGAAATTGGTTCCTATAATCGAGGTTCTAAAAAGTTTTGACAATTTTTCTATTATCCACGTTTTGGCAAATGTTTACAAAGAAGGTTACTTCGCTAAGGCTTTTTATTCTTCTATGCGCATGTTAACAATTATTTTATGTACAAAATACAATCAAGTCCCAACAAACCGAGCGCTGTAGTGAAGTGCGCCGAACTAGCTGTGAAATATTATTTCAATTTCCGAATGGTAAGGTCACCATTTTTAGTGATCGATCAGTTATATCTACCATTTCCACAGAATGAATTAAATGGATGACGTGTAATTAGTGATACATAACTATTCTGTACATAGCTACAATTTTAAGTTTCACGATCATAAGTATGCTCTTGGCAATATTTATTGTGTCGAAAGGGAGAAAAATACTACGAAATTTTGCTTGAGGCTCCATATCAATTCTAACTTGTTCAAAGAAATCATACATCAAAAGCATTCTTGTGAATGTTCTGATAAAATGTTGTAGCGATATTTTGGCTCCAGGCTACTATATAAAGTATAACTCGCCTTACCCTGGTACCGCTTTATTCGGGGCTGTAAAGTCAATTGTGGACATCACTTTCTTTGGGATGCTTGCCTCTTTGTTCAACTCGATTGTCTGCAACCAAACGATGCTCTTGCTAACCATACAATATTTACATCTACTGAATTTCGTTTCGTCTCGACAATAAAAGTGATGGCAATTTTGAATCTTCATGAATACATAAGCATTAGTGCCAAAGGGAAAGGACCAAAAGTTGTAATGGAACTTAGCAAGACAAAGCAAACTCTAAGTGCATACCAGTAAAGAAGAACAAACCCCATATAGCCCAAAACCATGATCTATCGTGAAAAGAAACAATGTCTAATGCCCCCTTTCAAAAACCAATATCACAATCCAAGACCAGAAGACCAAGGGACATTTCATTCATACTGAAGTCATTACAATGTCATTACATGTTGAAGAAAAAATTAGAAATTGATAGCCAATACCCATAGCCTCAAAAATAGTAATGTAGGTACAAGTACTCATAAAAGATAGAGCATTCAGTCTCAAATGATAGATGGGATAGATACAATCTATCATGATATAGATAGTCGAAAACTGTAGTCATTATTGTCATTACTTTTAAGGTAAGGTAGTTGTACAATTTCAAGCTAGTCGATTGAACACTTTTGGCGTTTTTACTAAAAAAGCCGAAAAATGGATTTCTGCAATTTAGTTAAAGTGACAGCCATTTTGACTGTTTGTGATACATTTTACCGAAAGGAGACATTATGGATATGTATATTAGGCACTTGTACAAAATTGCAAACAACATAATGGAAATCTTGTGGAGCTATGACCCAAAAGCTGATTTCCCGGAATAAAAGTGGAGGTCATTTTGAATCTGCAGCATATTTTGCCGAAAATTGTAGACCTCATTGATAACTTAGAAAGGTACCTGACTGTACAATTCCAAGCAAATTGATTTAATTCTTAAAGAGTCATGACCAAATCTAGGAAAACTCAAAACTTTCAGCAACAAGGCAAGCTTTTGAGATGCCACTTAATGGACAATTGAAGACTTTTATGGAAAATTTTGAAACCATTTGAAAAGTTTTACAAATGAAACTATTTGAATTTTTGAGACGATTTCGAACTAAATACCAATTTGAAGACAGACAGTCTAGAGGATTGACGGATGGACCGCGGGCAGACAGACGGACAGATAAGTGGGTGATTACAATACAATGTAGCTCACATGGGTGAGCTACAGTGAGGCAGTAAAAACCAACATTGTTACCTTTCTATGGAAGCCTTCACTATTAGGAATGCTGTGTCCATGTTTGTGTTTCACAAACGTTATACTGTTTCCAACATCTGTCGCTGCATAGTTTGAAGTATGATTTCCTGCAGATGGGACAAACATATTATAATATTATATATACATGTACCACTTCTTCGACCCCAGATGTCCCGGGCCGGTTGCCGCAGGTATTTCTCTTTTTCGGAAAAGCTACAAAAGCTTTAAGTAGGAGTGAAGCAAGTGTGATTGGAGCATAAATATACTTTCATATGATGAAAAATATGTCGACCTTACCAGAAGAATCGGTTTCATTGATAAGATATGCCCATTTCTTTGTTCCTGACACAGTTTGCAAACTAGAGACGTGCAGTCGTGTAGATAGGTGACTGACAATCGATTTTTTGATTATGATAACATCTTTGTTTTCCAGCTTAGGATACCAAACTTTGTCCACTTCCCCATGACAGCTGATTCTAAAGCTGAACCTAAAATTGTAGACATCAACGGTATCCAACTAGACTACACATGTTCTTCACTTTGTAATAATAAAGTTGATAATGATAAAAATATGACTTCTAGTTCGGGTTGATTCCCAATAGACCCCATGTAACAAATTCACAAAAAGTGAGTTTTTTCTACTATAACCGTCATGCTATCTGACCCGAACGAGCCACCTGGTTGTGAAACTACTAACTACCTATGAAATATAATTTTAGAAAAACTAGACCTACCATTTTTTAAAATTTAAGTGTCCAGCAGCATTTTCTATTCCTAAAAGAATGAATAAAGGTGACATGAAACGATATACTGTTTATTCTATTCACAATTCTTTTGATCACATAGCCAAATAACTTATAAGCTCTGGTTGATTTTTACTTATACTTCTTCAGAAAAAACTTTATTGTCAAACAAATTGTATTTTGTTTTATATTTTTTACTTTACCATGCTGGTACTGTCCATCGTGTGTTATTGAAAGTGTTTCAATATTCAACACAGCATATGTTTTACCCTCGTCTTTTTGGTATGGCCTGACTGAAAACTAAAAGTTCATTCATGAAGTTTTATCAAAATATATAAAACTAGTCAGGGTAATTGTAAATTGTAAAAACTACATGCTAGCTTGTTTGAAATGACCGAGGATGATAGATCTTTCAAATAATAGCAGTTTTAGATTTATCAAGTCCAGTACAAGAAATAAAAAGCACGGAGATTAAAGAAAACTTCACATTTTTATAGTTTACTTACTAATGCCTTTGTAGAAATGGGTGTCATTCCCTGCGCTGAGGTATCAGCTGCATAACTGTAAGTATATGTTTTATTGAGCTGGAAATTGACGAGTCCTTGTGTCGGCCGGGAGGTGTGCCGTCCCATTACCGACGTCATTAAACCCAGCAAGATCACTATGCATCCTTTCCACATCATTATTGATATGGGTGGGTAGAATACCCCAATTTGCTCGTTCCCATGTAGAAATTATTTAATTATTTTCTCAAATATTTTTCTAATACACCTCTGGGTTGGAGCTTGACATTTATCACGTAGGTCAACGCAATTATGATGTAGCTTATTTTAAGTACTTCCTTCTCTGTAATCTCGAATCGACCTTGTCTCTGAACATTCATTTTATGTTATGTCAAAATTAATGAGTTCTCCTCTAAATTGGATTTTAACCCTCTTGGTGATTAGACAATAAATAGCTCATGATCAACATTTTGTCTGACATTTTCTCCGATAATTTTTATAGGTCAACACATTTATTTTTGATATTGTATTTGCACAAGACTCATACTTCAATAGAATATTGGTGACTCACTAAGCAACGTGCTTACAGGTCAAATCTGCAATTGCCCCTTGCGGTGTGAAAGGTGTTGTTGGAGATTGATAAACATAATGGAGTAATGCCGACAGAAGTTTTTGAAGTACAGGGTGTCCATAAGTTTCATAAAAGCTAATATTTTTGGCTTGCTTTAAAATTGTAAAATAGATGTTTGTCATATGCAAAATTAAAATATCAACTTGGTTTAAGAGAAAAAAAATCCCGAAGGGATGCTGTTTTCTGGGGATATAACCCCTTAATTCACAAAATAGATTTGATTTAATGACGTCATATAGAACATCGACCCATTGGTTCATGTTTTAAAGTCAATCTATCTCATAAGGTGCATTGCATATAGTCCTGCTTAGAAAGTTCATAGATGTATGTAAGAAGGATATATGTTCTATCTTATATTCTAATAATGCACAGATGAACATTTTCTTTCGATAAGTTTATCTCTATAATATACACATTCTATTGTCGTCTAATATATGTCCTTTCTCTATTTTAAGTTCAATTTTCTGTAAGTGGTTTGTCTACATTCCCGTAGTTATCATCACCACCAACGCAACTTGATAAATACTTTGAGCTTAGATGTGTTCTATGCACACGTTGTACCTGCAATAAATAAGCGAGCGTTATATCAAATTATTTATTAAATTATATTTAAATCCACGGATCAGTGAAATGTAGGATGGTTGAAGAATGAATATCTTGTTTCCAGACTTTAAATGAATGCAGCAGCATGAATTGAAAGTCTAGGATACAAGACATGAGTTTATCTATTAAGACATATCGTTTGCAGAGTATCAGCTCATATCACCGTCTCAATCGATTGATATACAATGCGTCCCAAAAAACGCAACAAAGAAAACATTGTGGCTTCCTGGAAAACTAAATCAAATTGGTGTAATCATCACTGGTTTTGTGATTTTATTATGTCTTTTGTTTCTGGCGTTTTTTATGGGACGCACTGTATATGATTTAATTTAGCTAAGCTATTAAAAAATAACCAACATTACTCGATAAATGTGGATGATACATGTACCTGTCGTTACATTGTTACAGGTGAGTTGATTTTAACAAGGAAGCGATTGTAAAGTGTTCTACGTACACTATTAAAAAACAGCTGAAGTATGAAAAATATTAATTTTAATGTTCTTGAGATGCTCGATAAAATATTATTCTGCTAGCTCATCTTTAAATTTTCTTCACTGTTCCAAAAATGCATTCTCACACGCCCCATCCGTCTATTTAGAGAAATATCAAAAAATCCCCGTTTATAGGTGATTGTTATAGGTGATTGTTATCACCTCGTAATGTTTCTTCACCTCATTCAGAAGAACGGGTTCAAGCGTAATTTCGAAAATTCATGTCGTGAGTGAAAATACCTGATGAATGAGGTATGTATCGTCGTACTGTTCCGCCAACGTTAACTGTCTTGTAGAGGTCAGTAGGGCATCTGCCGTTTGCTTCAGTCAAAGCCTTATAGCTTTCATTCCATGTTACACTACGTTTCCAAGACAGTAATGATATACTATATCTGTTAGTTGGACATAAGCGAATGGTGCACAATTTTCCCTCGGCAAAATAGCAGTCTGCATGGTGTAATGCACTGGCAGAGAGGTCAGCACAATTTGATGTTGATGATATTGCTTTAACATTTGTCACCATACATCGCAACACCGACAAAGCCCATGCCTTACCCTAGAAAAGACACAGAATCAGATGAATATCGGGGATATCTGAAAAAACATACATAGCATTTGAAGAGAAATCCGTTCTCATAATACCTATGTGAGACTATCATTGCACTGTTCTACAACATGTATTGTAATTATGAAATGTCCGCCATTAATCCCGTGTATTTTGATTCTGATATTATTTCTAAATGATGGGGATCGGATGCTCTAGAAACTGTTTTTTGTGCGTTTGATAAGTTTAGGATATTCGGCGTTTGTTTTCTGTTCTGTTAGATTGTATTTTTCTTGCTGCACTTTTTATCCTCTTCGGCCCTATCTTCTAATATATCATTTTGTACCATTTATTTTATGAATCTTTTTTATACCATTAAAGTTATTTATCTCGTTGACTACCTGCTCAGTCATTCCAGGTCCATTTATTTTTGCTTGTAACTCTTGACAATGCATTTTACCGAATCCTATTGGAAACCCATGGATGCCACATCTCATGTTGCGTTGTGCCTCCACTTCGTCATAGAAACCACAGTCAACGATGTCTACAAAAATAGAACATCATACATTGTCCTTAAAACAATAAGCACAAAATGGACTTTTCATATAATAGCATTTTCTGTCTTTATATAATAATAATTAATTTGATCAAGCAAGTATGAGGACAGTTTGCAAGCCATACTTAGATTCGAGACAGCAGAATTTGGTGTCCGTAGGCCACCGAAACGTCAAAATTAGGTAGTTAAATGAGAACTTTTTCCTTATGGATTGAGTAACCTACAAAATATAGTCTGCATTGGCTTCATTCAAATATTTTGATTTCAGGAAACTTTAACTTTACTGTACTGTTGAGCTTATACAGCGTGACACACAAAAAATGCAACATTACTTTTATCTACATGCTTTCAGACTTGTTCCTTAAAGCACAAGAAGTTTCAGATGGCTAGCTGAATTAGATGCAACTTTATGAGGGTTACACGATGTGTTGATTTTTCCTTTGTAGACACACCTGGATTCTACACAAAAATGCCACCCACCTTTTGAAACATAAGTTATAATTATTTTATGAATAGCACATATTTCACCAAGTGTGTTTTATTGAATGGGCCTCCTTTCCCTGAAAGTATATTAAGCAAAAACATTAGTGTAAGTTATTCTAGAGCACATCTCATTAAAGTGATCTAGATAATCAAATCATCAACTTCTTGTTGAGTTCATGCTCCATATAAGTTAATTTTAATGTGCCAGAGAACAAGTCAGAAAACATGTAAAAGTAATGCATCATTATGTTGGTTGTATTTTTGTGTGTCACTCTGTATTTCAGTAGCATTTGATACCAAACGTCCTACTTCTAGTCTAGGGGTATTGCTAGATGCAGGTTTATGTATGAACTCCATTCATGTTATAACGTCCATTTAAACACTTACCATCTTGTTTGTACCCATACACAAAGGACAGTGAGATGGTCAGGAGGAGGATATGTCCTTTCAGCATGCTTTCCTTTTACCAACAAACAGTTTTAAAAGTCTTCGGAGCTAAACTGTAAATCGTCAAACTCTTCAAAAATATGTTCAACTTGTATTTAGAATAATAAATCATTAACTTTGGCGGTCCAGTTCAACTTTGCGAATCAAAATTTCAATTTAGACCCAAATTAACTCAGGCCCAGATTAATCCATACGCAAGTCAACTCGGACCCGGTTTAACTCGAACAAAATCAGCGCTGACATTAGTTAACTCGACAATAGGTTAGCTTGGACCCCTAGTCAACCCGGGCCAAAAGTAAGCTCTGATCCAAGTTAATTCGGACTCTATATGCTCATGGGACTAATGTAATATATGTTTTATATTGATTTGTAGCCCCGGACATTATAGACTGACGGACAGTATAAACGTTGACAACGAATGTGTAGTCCGTCCAGGTTTAGGACTGTAGGTCCTAGTTTTTTAACTCAGTAGAAATGTATACATGTGGTCAAATACAATCCTTGAATAAATTAATTTGATATCAAATGACAATTATAAGAAAAGCATTGCTTCAACCCCGTCGTATATGGCCAGAGGCTTATGGGCCTTATATTACTCCATGGTTTGAATCACGTCCGTTCATTCTTTGTTTGTGCTATTTTGTATTAATATTTATTAATTTTACATTTACATTTTAAAGATTATATATTTTACACACTCAGACTTAATCTTCGCATATTTTTGTCGCCATATACCAAGACCATTTTCAAAATAATTTGTATCCAGGGGGCGGCAATAATATCCAAACATAACAAGTGTGTACTGACAAGTTCATCATTGATTTTATGTTTGTGTTGAATGGATGTCATGGTGGTGAAACTGTTAACGTTGTCAGTGTTGACTTAGTTTAATCCATGCAGTTTATGTTTTGAACTAGTTTACGTTTTAGAAATACTTAATAGGGGTTTTAAGTTACAATCTATATCACTTTAAAAACGTTTTAGAAGGTTTTATTCATCAAAATATTATAGGAAGGTAAAATAATTAATTTGATGCATACTTTTGCTGTAAAATTATGAACGCTTAGTCAGAAAATCAGAGTATTGACTGAAATTAATACTTTTATAATATGCTGCCATCCTTTTTATAAGAATAGCCCTGTTTAGCCCATGCATATATCAAAAATGAAATGCACAGCATAATCCTTTTTCTGCATATACGCATAAATAAACGCACTGAAATGCTCCAAGTTGATTGGCTGAGACACACTTGGTATGTTTGAATCAGTATAGTCATAGCGGTGACCGATTTTTAAAGCGTTTAACCTCTTGAAACCAGCCGCTAAAAAGGGTTTGAAACCAGAGCATTTTTGCCAGTTTATGGACATTTGCCATCTAAAGACACAACATGTGATGGTTGATTTCATATGTATAGTAAAGATCGGCCCATAACATACATTTTAAAACATAATTTGTGTAGATTGGATAAAAATTGTCAAAGAGCAGTTTTAGTAAAAAAGTCTAGGTGTCTGTCGCTCTGGGTGTTCAAGAGGTTAAACTTCGACTTATATGCTTATGTAAACTCGGTGCTTTATACACGTACGTACCAACTATTATCGCACTCTTTTACAGGATAGTTTAATCAACCACTTAATAAAAACTAAAAAGACCGCGAGTTATTTGTAGAATGAATCTGGAGAGCCTTTTCATGCATTTCGCTTGTGTTTTTCATCTAAAAACCATCAATACACTTTAAAACATTTTATTGACTATAAGGTTACACCATATAATCCTAAAACATATATTTCTCATTTTCAAGGATTATCTATGGATTAACACCCAGGTATTGTTATTTTTCAAACTTCAGAGGGCTGGGAATCATTTTTTACGATCGCTTTTGAATAATATTAATGCTGTTTTAAATAGATTTCATGTATGTGTAAATGGTACCCCTTCCTTAATCCCAAGAATTTTCTCTTTGAGGAATTTCCCATAGTAATCCAATGGTATAGTTCCAAGCAGATTTTGATATAAACCAAAACAACCCAATAAGATATGTATTAATGATTAACTTTCCTGTTATTTCAAAATCTGCTCAAAACCTGTTTAAAACAGCATTAATATTATTCGAAATCGATCGTAATAATGATTCCCAGCCCTCTAGAGTTTGAAAAATAACAATGCCTGGGTGTCAATCCATTGATAATCCTTGAAAATGGGAAACATTTTTTAGGATTATATGGTGTGATCTTATAGTCAATAAAATGTTTTAAAGTGTATTGATGTTTTTTAGATGAAAAACACAAGCGAACTACATGAAAAAGCTCTCCAGATTCATTCTACAAACAACTTGTGGTCCTTTTAACTGAATATCTAATAAAATAATATTGTATTCTACTTAGACTTTGAAAAACAGAAAGTACAAATCTAGACTTCTCAATTCAAGATGCGGTCTTAAATAGGGGTAGGCAATCAGTGCCTACTAGCTCCATACGTGAGAAGAAGTTGCAGTGGTTCTATTTAGTAATTTAAAGTAAGTCTATACTTGCCAGAATGACAGAAATAAACGTAACAACAATTAGTCCTGAAATTGTGATCTTTGTGTGAAATATGTGGTACAAGTTGACACTTTATCAAGCTTAGGATTAAGTCAAGTTGGTATATACTTTACAAAATAACTGAACTGGCTGTTGCTATCTTTGCGTGAACTATATATTCCTCTTCTTCAAAATATATTTTTATCTTTTTTCAGAAAAGTGTAAATCATTAACTATCACCGGGCACATCACATACCTATTCGTTAAATATGCTGTCTGAAAGCAACAGGAAGTAATGATATACACATTTGCATTTTCGGCTTGGTTATTACTAAATGGCGTACTCAATTAAAATATTAGGCTGCTTGACCCTTATTTTGACAATTATTTCAGTCAGTGAACAAAGCGGTAAGTGTTTTACCTTTCACGATTTCTTAATACATTTTTAACAGTTATATTCATTTAACATATATGGAGAGTAATATTGTCTATGCTCTGTTCAGTTGTATCAAATGTTACTTTACTATTTTCAACAATTTGAGCATACGTACATTTTCAGTGTTTTTGTTTCGTATTTAGCTGCACAATTCAATGTTTTTGTTCCGTATGTAGCTGCACAATTCAGTGTTTTTGTTTTGTATGTAGCTGCACAATGCTCGTGGGTGTCTACTATATGCGAGGGCTACAGTGGTACTATTTCTTGCCCAAGGAATGCTAGAAACAATAAGGAGTCCAAGATTAGAATCATTAAGGCCAATTATGGACGAACAGACAGACAAACATGTCAACATGAAAAGTAAACTAATTCTACTTTTTACTCGTATGTACTTTTATAATACAGTGGGCTCTAAAATTCTCAAAAATGTAAATTTTATTCTGAATAGCCCCTTTGAATAGCAATTCAAAACTGACTCGCTCATCTGATAAATACTGACAAAGACTGAAATTGTCTTATTTCCTAATCAAGACTGATTTGGCATGAAATCAATGCCTAGACATATTTTTCTCATTGGTGCTTTGTAAGTACACAGTCAGAATCTGTTTCACAAAGAAAGCACTAATGTACAAATTGAATTCGTGAAGATTTCATCCTGAATCAAAAAATTACTCCAAAAATGAGAGTTTAGTTTTCATGTCACTCTGTATATTGTATTATAAACGCATTTGGAGTTTACAATTGGAGTAGACCGCTAATGTATAGAACCTCCATCTTGGATTATTATGTCGTCACACATCCAGAAGAAGTGAGTAATTCCCATAATTCTTTCATATTCTATCGTATTCGGAGATTCCCCATTACATCATCTCCCGCATCATCTCCAATCCAATTAAATTTGAAATCGTGGGAATGGCGTTAAGATCAGTTCAACATCATCATTTCAAACCTACGGTAATACTATATTTGAAGTTACTCGATCCATACTTGTAGAGAATACTCATAAAACTACAGTGAACATTTGGAGATCTATTTCAACGGCAAATTGAGGCCTGTTTATAAAATTTGTTTTCGAACGTGCCAATATGATAGGTTATCTTTCGGAAATCCCCCCCCACTCCCCTTGTCACACATCGGTCTAAAAGTGGTTGTCAGGTCTCACTTCATTTTAAGTCCTGTATGACCATGCAAATTCTACTATATTAAAATTATTGAATCAGATATAAGAATGGCCCAAAATATGCTGTGTGTTGTATATTTGATTGATTTAAGTGATTGTTCCATTGTGTAAGCACAACCAATAATTGTTGTCAATAGGTGTCACTAGTATCAGCCTCGTTTTGAAATATAGATTGTATACAGAATATGAAAGTTGTGTCCATTTATTGCTTTGGGATATTAATAGACATTTGTATCTATAATTGACATATCCTACACTGTGGTTCACTAGTTTTTTTAATGCCAGCATCTAAGCTACAGGTTGTATTTACTACTTTTCATTTCTTACAAACCCTGCTGCGAGATTAGCCTAATTCACACTCAAGTGAGATCTCCAGTCTTATCCCGCGATATAAGGCTAAAAATGATTATGAGATGATAAATCTTATTAAATGACACAAACAGGTAATAGGCATTTGGTGTGATGAGCCTATTTGCAGATGGGAAAGTACTAAAATAATGTTGACTGAATACAAAATAAACTACCTACTTTTTGTCCTTCGATGCTGGCTTTTATAATGCATTTCCTACTCGACGAAAATACTAGATACTAGATATAGTACCCTTTTCAACCCCCTGATATGGGCAATAGGAATTAACATCGTTCCAATGTACATGTATATAACAACCCCAAGCTAAAGCTATTTTTAACATTTTAGTATCAGGGACACAAATTGCCGCAATTATGAACGTTCGTTGAACGTTGTTCGTAGAAGATGCGACAACAAATCAACATGTACATTGCACGCTAACAATGCCGAATTTGGTGATAAATGCGTAGACACGTACAAATATTTATTGGTTGAATACAAGTGCGAACGAGGTAAATGCATGAGCCTGGATCTATCAATCTTTATGAATATTAGTTTGCATTTGTACACAGCATAAAATGCTACAACACACCACTTTAGAAATATATATTGAATGTCATGTACGTAAGAACTTCATTTATAGCCGTCGTCAGAGAATATCTAGGGAGCATCTCTAAAGTTCAATGTTGATTAACTGTAGTTGAACAGTTTATTCTGTGACCCCCTCCTTTCCTCTCTTAACTGTGTTTGAAAATATTGATGTGCGTTATTTTGTTAGTCACCCTGTATATTATGATCATGATTTTTTAATGTCAGAATGTCACAACTTTTAAGGTTAATGACCCCCTTCCCCTAACTGTTCAAGCAATGTTAATTTACTGACATTGATCTTTTGAAATGCTACTTTACCGTTACAAAAACCTTATCAAGTACTCTATATCAAGTCATTAAAACTGATATATTATATATATTATATATAGATATATATTATATATCATGTATGTATAATTATATTTTAGAGATAAAGTACTGTTCTTCTTATAACTGTGCAAGTGGTCCTACTTGTGAAAAGTGTATTCTTGACTATGGGGAAAATGGCAACGCTTATATTAATAAACGTCACGCGTGTATTGGTAGGTAGATACTTAACACAGTTTTCGAATAAACAACAGTGACTTCCAAGCTGTCTATATTCTGTATATATTAATATTAAAAACCCACAATGTTAGACATTTCAAAATGATAAAGCGCGAACCATGCCGTCCAAATACTCTTAAAAACTGAAAATTAAAACACCATACGTCAAAATCAAGGTAGAAATATTATGCAAACAACTGACATAATGAGAAAAGTTGCTACACGGCATAACCGAATGTTTTCTTCGATATGATGAACTGAATTCAACAATTGAGAACATTCTGAAAAGAAACACGGTCCTTTATGTAATGTTGACTGATTGTCAACAATTTAATGAAAAAAGTAATTTATATATATTTCAATTAACTGTTTTGTTAACATTTTTTGTTTTTTTAGTGCATTTTTTTTGTTCCTTTTTATCGTACCTAACAAGAGGTACGATATTGTAGTCAGCTTGACGGGCGGGCGGGCGGCGGGCGGCGTCTCACTTTTCAGCTTGTCTACAGGTTTCCAGCCAAACCATTTGAGGGATTCATCTGAAATTTTCAGGGATGTTTCTACATATCAAAGTCAAGAACTGATTAGTTTTTGGACATTCTGGGTAAATTTTAAGGTGGCCATTTTGGATTTTCCGTCCTAAAATCTTTACTTTCAAGACTTGTCTACAGGTTTCCAGCCAAACCTTTTGAGGGATTCATCTGGAATTTTCAGGGATGTTTCTACATATCAACGTCAAGAACTGATTAGTTTTTGGGCATTCTGGTTAAATTTTAAGGTGGCCATTTCGGATTTTCTGTCCTAAAATCTTCACTTTCAAGACTTGTCTACAGATTTTCAGCCAAACCATTTGAGGGATTCATCTGAAATTTTCAGTGAAGTTTCTATCAACGTCAAGAACTGATTGGTTTTTGATCATTCTGGGTAAATTTTAAGGTGGCCATTTTGGATTTTCCGTCCTAAAATCTTCACTTTCAAGACTTGTCTACAGGTTTCCAGCCAAACCATTTGAGGGATTCATCTGAAATTTTCAGGGATGTTTCTACATATCAACGTCAAGAACTGATTAGTTTTTGGGCATTCTGGGTAAATGTTAAGGCTGCCATTTTAGATTTTTCGTCCTTAAATCTTGTCTATCGAGGCTTGTCTACAGGTTTCCAGCCAAACCGTTCAAATTTTTACATATGTTACACAGTGATAAGTTCTAGAGCTGATTAACTTTTCTGCGGCCATCTTGCTTTCTTGGTCAACAAGACCACAATGCTGTGTTTTAGGTACGATATTGTTCACGTCTGTGCCTTGTTACCAATTCTTGAGAATGAAATAAAATATCTTTCCGAAGCTTATGGGAAAATAATACAGGGTGTCCAAAAAACAGGACCGAAAGAAAGTTGAATAACTCGATCAATTTTGCATATTTTGCCTTGAAATTTCAGAATTATTTAGTTCATTCAATGTGAATTTAGTTGTGAAAGTTTCATAATAATCTACCAATTGAGTCAAAAACTATACCTCCTTACAAAACATGCCCCAAATGTGCACCTCTCCTCTCTATGCACAATTCAATCCGACAAACAAAGCTGTTGATGATCCTCCTACACACATGTCTTTCTAAATGGACAAGTTTGTTCCAAGAACAATTGCTACTGGGGCTTACATCTTCCTGATGAAGTGTTACAGCATCCATTGCATTCTGAACAATGTACTGCCTGGGTGGCAATAATGAAACATGGAATCATCAGTCCTTTTTGGTTCGAAGGTGACTGGGGTAATGCCATCACCATGAACAAGGACCAGTAAGTTGTTCACTAAGTTTTGGAGGTCACTTAAGCACCAGAAGGGACATCTAAGGAGATAAGCAGTGGTTTCAACAAGCCAATACCACCCAAACACTGCAAATGATATGCTGAAATGGTTTAGGCAATGCTTTGGTGGTCAGCTCATCAGTTGCAGAACGCAAACCATATGGGCAGCTCATTCGCCAGATCTAAATCCCCCAAATTTCTATCTTTGAGGATTTCTCAAAGCCAGTGTGTATACTGACAGGCCCCTAACAATCTAAAGAGGGGAAGAACTACCCCAATATTTACCATTCACATTAATTAATTAAGGGTCATTAACAACTTTATTTGCAGGATTCGTTTGTGCATAGAGAGGAGAAGTGCCCACTTTGAGCATGTTTTGTAAAGTACTGTAGTTTTTGACACAATGAACAGATTATCATCAAACTTGCAGAACAAAATTCACATTGAATGAACTAAATAATTCTTAGACTTAAATTTCTTAGACTTCTCAATATTATAGTTATACAAAGGAAATTTTGATTGATTTAACAAAAGGTATTCAAAAACTCCAAAATAGATAAAAAACATTAAGATGAACCCTATCATTTCATTAACAAGATACTTATTTTTATTTTAAAATCAACCAAACTTGAACGATTACAAAATTGAAAAGACCTAAACACATTGTGTTTTCTAAAACAATATAGAGAAAAGTAACGTTTACATAAATAAACATCACGCGTGTATTGGTAGGGAGATATTTTACACAATTTCCAAATAAAATAGCACATTAGAAAAGGATATTTATTTATTTCAACTTACTAATCGTTAACATTCAAAAGATGACCATTAAATTTACAATGTGTAGAACTTTCAGAATATTTGATGACTGGTTAAAGAGAAACGTGTGTTCAAAAAGATCACCATATCGATACACCACACTCATCCAGTAGATTTGTTTTGTGTGGTCTGTTAGAATATTTGCACAAGACACTTTTTATTAAACATTTGCGTGAAATAAAGCATCATATTCAATAATGAATGCAGCTGAAGACGAATCTGTACGGGCGAGAGTTTGAAACAGAGTACAATTAGACGGAATGATTATTTAACCTACAATTGATATGCTAAAAAGCAATTTTGTACATATGGCAAAACATTTTAAATAGTATCCTTATTTAGATACAAATAGAGATTGAAAATTAATAATATACTTCTAAACTCATTTCAATACACAAACAGAGCAACCGCAATTTCATCTAATACTTTACAACTATAAAGTATAGTATAGAAAAGTATCTATAGTATGCAATATTTGAAAATTCTATATCTATTGTGTTTAGAAACCTGCTCTTGGCGAAGTAATTTGTGTTATCCTGGAAGGTGCCCTGGGAATGTTGAGTCGTGTAAATGTGATGATGGGTTTTCCGGTGTTCACTGCAGAAACAGTAAGGCCTTCTGGTTTAATTTCAGTTTGTCAGTGATAAAGATACAATATAAAGATAATCAAACATAATTTTATGAACACGTTCATAACGTGATAAACATGTTCATAAAAGTATGTTTAGTAATTATTTACCATTCGAACTATTAAGTTATTGCGCTCTATATATCCATATGTACGGTATTCTTTTGTATAGAAGTGCGGCGGTTTATAAGAATATCACACTTATGGACGTACAGAGCTGCGCAATAGATGATGTCGTAATCAAACGCTTCATAAGATATACTATATGTATACGTTATGAACATGCTCTAAGTTAGGTTGCAAAATCTCTCTATTTTAAGTGTACTTTTTACTTTTATGAGGTATAGATACTCATTACCCTATCATAAACACACCAGCAATAGACGTAAAAAACGTTTTGATCATTAACATTACTTCTTGTGCGTCATAATATGTTAAATCTAATATTTTATAGTTGGTGATAAGTACCAACCATTGTTCCCTTCCTGCGAAGCATCCTTACGCCGCATGGTTAATGGAACAGATAAAGACACAGTTCTTGGAAGCTGTTATACGCCTGGGACTACAATATACACAAACATACAAAGGTATTTGTGTTACTTCCAAATCAAGACGCCAGTAGACGTAGGGACACAATCGATGTAACCCGCTTTTGTTTGTTAATTCATCTTAGCCGGACCATTTTAAGAGCATAGTACAATTTTAACAAGTACCCAAACAACCGACTGTCAGAAACACAATTTGAAAGAATTGCCATTTATAGATTTCCCTTGGTGACGTGATCATAGTTACCAAGACGATAACATAGTTTGTGAATAATTGTCATTTCCGTTCTCCACCCCCCTCCCCTTCGCAGCTGCGCTTGTAAATCGAAATAGTAACACCCGTTACTCTTTTCGCCATCTTGGGGCCCGCCTGGCTATATCGCAAACAATGATAATAATCCGTGTTTGTGCACTTGCGAACCAAAACGACGTTATATTATTCCACGCTCCCAAGACTCTAGTATATGTCTGCGTAAGATATCTGTAGTCTCGTTAATATGTAAAACTAAATTGGAAAGTAAGAAGGGTGTATGTAGTGACATTAATCTGTACTGCCATCTTAAACGTATCCTTCCAACGTTGCTGTTTTGTCAAAATAAACTGTAAGTATTTTGAAACCTATGTTTAATAATGTATATCAAATAAGAAAAAATAAACCCGCATGGAAAATATTGATTCCATTTCAATACAATAAAAATTTACATACACAATCTGCATGTATAAAATATACATACGAGTATATGTATACAATGTATGTATACACGTATATATATATAACATTAATTTTACCTATTTTAGCCTTAATCATATACAACTTAAATGGATAACAGTCTTCGAATTGGGCATAAACAACCTTACAGATCCTCGCAAATACATACTTCCCAACACCATCAATTTTGGCATAACGAATTCTTCCGGAATAGTTGAGCACAAAAGAGGTATCTAAAATAAAGGCAGTGACATCACTTTGCGGCCATGGTGATTTCTCGCACCTTTACTGATTGGTTATCAAAGGATCGGGAAAGTGGTTACTTAGCAACATTCCTTGATTGAAATAAGTAAATGCTAAACATATTTAAATGTATTAAATATGTATCTTAAATGCATATTTTTAATTGCAGAAGAGTCGATTTTGAATTCCTTGGCATTTACTTGTGAAACTAGAATGAGTGCAAACTACTCAAGTAAAATTACTTGTAAATCTAATGACTCATTGACATGGGAGTTCAAGCACAATGATAGGTGAGGTGTTCCTTCATCCTTCTACAAAGGACTTCGTTTATGCTTAAATTCAGATACTTGTAAAATATCCTTGCAGCAAGGATGGTGTTCCTTGTATGCGACAGCTTATGTATGTAGATTATTGACTGAGATTATACTTTTAATGTAAAAAACTCATGAATGATCATTTTCACAAGAATAAAAAATTGATGATGTAAACGCACCGAAACACTTTGCATTTGATAAATCATTTTGAACTGACATGGCTTCTAATGGCTTTACATTTTTAAGCTCTTATGTCGCGTTTACCAGTTAGCTGTTACCACGTTTTTCAATTTTAAAGAGTTGTTGGTACGGTATATTCAACAAATGGTGGACGATTTATGTATGAGAATCCAGAGACGGATGAGACAAGCATGCAATATTACAATGGGCAAACAAGTAATAAGCATGTAGTATTTGTGTTTGACACAGAACCGCCATATCATTGTTCTCACATTGCTTCTTGTCATAAGCCTGACCTTGCAGTGATGGATATAGGAAAAGACATAAGAAAGGTAGTTACAGTTGAAAAGAACAGAACTATTCATGAGAGATATATGTAACTCATATACAACAAACAACATTAGGAAATTGACATTCATAAGATATAGATATTTTCCTTGATTTATGTATATCGGTATTCATTTTATTCTACAGTGGCTAGACGATGGGATACTTATAGGATATCCTATGATTTTGAGGAATATCATTTTTATCTACGAGATGATATTGATATCTGCACAAGAGAGCAAAGCGAACGAGTGCATATATCAATATCACCGAGTAGATTAATGTGAATTGTTTGTAATTATATGTAATGTTTAAGTCTTCACCTATGTGGAGGAAATAAAGACACTGAACTGAACTGAACTTACAAGGAGCGTACTAAATGTATAATATCATTGCAAAATGAATTTCATGCCAAACAGAGTCAATTTGGCGGGAAATCAACAAGCAGAGTACAATATCCTCCGCATATTAGGGTTTTCTGGAGTATATCGTCACGATATCCTCCGCCCGGAGTATATCATCACGATATCCTCCGGTTATTCATTTTGCCAATAAATATCAAATTTACTTTTTAATGTTACTTGGTATTATACATTTAGTACACTAAGTGTATAATCTAATATAACTCATTTGCACATAACTACCAACATTAGAACATTGACATTTACGAGTATATCCAAACGAATATGGATATTTGCTTTGTTATATGTCCATCGTTATTCATTTTATTCTACAGTGACTAGACGATGTGATATTCTAATGTAACTCATTTGCATATAACTACAAACATTAGAACATTAACGTTCATATCCAAACGAAGATATATATATTTTATTTGCTATATGCCCATCGTTATTCATTTCATTCTACAGTGACTAGACGATGGGATATTCTAATGTAACTCATTTGCATATAACTACCAACATTAGAACATTAACGTTCATATCCAAAGGAAGATATAGATATTTTATTTGTTATATGTATATCGGTATTCATTTTATTCTACAGTGACTAGACAATTGGATATTCTATTATAACTCACTTGCCCTTAACATTTCTAGGAAGGCGTCGATGTCCGTTGGGACGGCTGGAATGATAACCTGGCTGGAGTAAAGATATACGAATGTGAAATATTCTTAGCAATTTCACCGGATGGGAAGATTCTTGTCGAAAATGCTAGTGCTTCATATAGGATGATATTTAACAAAACATCAGAGGATGAACACGTTTGTAGTTTTACGCCCAATATAACAGGAACCTACTCCATAATTCTCACTGTTGAAGATGACACAAGCCATGGCGGCTCTGACGCAAATTATGAAAGCGCTCGTCGTTTGTTCATATATGACCAGAATAGTACAATTGACATTGTCATGGAGAAACCCCTTAGACCCATATCAGCATCGGGAAATACAAGCTTTTTATGGCAAACAAACTTACAAGATAAACTCGGAAATGGGCCTTGTGTTAATTTTACTTGGAAGGATAGGTTTATTAATCGCTATCATCATACAAACAAAATGCTTAATGCATTTGGTAACTTTAAAAACATCACACCGGAATATGATGATTATGAAGGCGAGCGAACCCTCGAGGAGATCCCAAATGCAAACGCAATAGTGATGTTCAACTATACGTATCTTCGAGACCGGAAGGGAGCAAACACACTTCCCAAGGTTCCGATTGACACCAATTGGTACACTGCTGATAACGTGCGTCAAGAGGGGCAAGCTTTTAATTTAGAAAGACAAGATGGTGATTCATTTAGATTCTGGGTAAAGGCTATAGATGTTATGGGGACATTAATCACGTTGATCTTCACATCGATTCATCTCCACCTATTATAGAAGACCTGATGCTCGCGAATAATGCTTTGGAAGGGCATGTTCATGCAGTGCATAATGAAACAGATCTTTTCAAATTACAGTAGGTCATAATTAATATTCAGTTTAATACGCATATACGATACTAAGCTTTGTCGAACAACTCAATAACTGCGGGGCAAACTAATCAACGATAATCGAACTGATTTTCGAAATTTACTCTGTAATGATGTTTTAGTTGAACGAAAACCTCCAAATACTATCACATAATAAAAACCATGATATTATATCACAGGTTTACATACAAGGCATATGATCTACACAGTGGTCTTCATTCAATTCATTGGGAGTTATTTGATAACCACACGGGATCGAAACAAACACTTGGCCAAAACAACACTAATGTCATAAGATATAATGACACATCTCCGAGTGATCACTACTGCGTACCAGCCGGACAGTGTTATGGGAGCAGTTATGCGTTCCAGCCAGACTATAAACATTTTAGATTGCCAACGGGGACACATGATCACGATTATTACATGAAACTTACAGTCACAAATGTTGCACTTCTTGTAGAAACCCATGAGCTCAAGGTATAGTAAGTAAATGGTAGAGACACATTATACCAAGCGATCCTTTTCTTAATTTACCATTTTAGTGTCACGTATTTCTCAAATTCGTTAGTCTGACAATCAATTCTCCGAAATCCGTGTAATAAATTGCCGGGAGGTTTCGTTACACCAATTAGATTCGGATCGTTGATGTAAAGTTTTGCTAAAGTAAAACAAAGAGTAAAAACTGAATGAAAATTATAATGTGAATAAATTATAGATAACGATTGATACAACACCGCCACATCCAGGTGTTGTCCACGATGGTCTACCTGGAACTCCAGATGTTGACTTCCAACAAGACTTTTCTCTGCATGCTCATTGGTCAGAATTCTTTGACAGGGAGAGTGGCGTTAAATTCTACCAATATGCATTTGGTAGAAATTGTCTAGGGTTAGATGCCTTTCATCCAAACAATGGAATAATGGTATGCTTAACTAGCTAATTATAATTATCTTGATAAATAAAATGAATCTTATGCTCGGTAAGACCATCAAATGGATCTTGACTTTACCAGGTGCCTTCTTATAGACCCGATGTGATATCAACGTATCATGCCAACATATTAGTATCCATTTTGAAACTAAGAATAGAGCTTACTGTTAAACATTAACGCTACAATGTTTTCTGATTATGGTACTTGACATAATAAATAGATACATAATGTAAAATGGTTGGCACTTTTCAACATCCATAACCATTTGTACTTTACTATCCAGATAACGAAAACAATGAATACTATTGCCAACATTAATGTGACTCAGTATGGAAAGTATCACATCACTGTTGTTGCATATAATGGCGCAATGTCTCCATCAGTTCCTGTTTGTTCAACTGGCGTTACGATAGATATTACTCCTCCTGTTTTACATTCTATTTTGGTGGATCATATACATACCAAACCTGGTTTAGTGTCACATGGAAACGCAACGTGGATTGTAAACGAACACGGCAACAAAATTAAGATGACCAATACAACTTGCAGGTATAATAATAGTGAAATATTTAATAAGAACTATCATGTTATGAATACCATAAACCTCACTGCCACCTGAGATGAATAATAAGCGACTTGTTACTTCTTTGACTTCATTAGTCGGGTAAATATAATTGTTGACAAAGCTATAATTGACATACTAGCAAAAGTACATTACAATGTTGCTTTCAATTCCATACACATTTTCCAGATTTGTATAATTATCAGTTGTAATCCATCGCTGACTTTTTCAGTGGCATTGAAATGACTGATGTTACAATATTTCCCGATGCTGGTCACCAAAGTGAAGAGGATGATGAATGCAAACTTGGTCAATTTAGCAACAGGTTCTATCTTACACAGGAAAAACAGGTAAGAAACGATTTGATGAATATTGCATTTTAATCGTAATTTAACAAACAGTGTCACGTTTTCTTATATTGATTTTCTAGTTGAGTCTAACTTGGATTGGAATGGACAATGAATCTTATATATTTGATTATGAAATCGGACTGAGCAGTACTCCATCATCTATGAAACCAGATGTAATGCCATTTCATTCAACAAATCAAAGGGCATCTTGGAGGCTGTACCACCCAGCAATATCAGAAGGGCAGTTATTCTATATACTTGTGAAGGCAACTAATAGAGCGAAAATGATAACCTTAAAGGTAAATGAATGCGAAAATGATAACATTAAAGGTAAATGAATGTATGTTTTCAATTTCATTCTTGCGCCTCTTGATTATTTATCATGATTGTATATTTCAAACATTTTCGCATAGCCCTATTTGTTTTTTCCATCATTTAGGTGTTTGGTCCAGTTATTCTGGATGTGACCGAACCTGTATTTGACAGTGACATTTTAATCGAGGAAGAGAAAGGTTATCTGAGAGTGGCATGGGATGAATCTAAAGTGTATGACATGGAAGATAAGGAACCACTTACATTTCTAATTGCAATAGGTAATGAATATACACGTGTACACGTTCTCTTTCCCATGCTGTTTTGTTTCTGTCAATTGAAATCATTATCAAACATTCGTTTGTCTATAGGTAGCGATTATTATCACCAGGACATTTTATCGTATCGAAAACTCACCTCTGGTCCAAGATGCGATTCCTCTCACCAGAACTGCACAGCTATTCCGATGAATGAATTGAACCTTCATCCTTCACAACCGCAAGCCCTAGCAATATCAATTTTAGTTATTAACTCAGCGGGGTTAAGCACAGTTGCAATGGCAAAACCGTACGTGGTCTACACAAAACTTCCATCGCAGGGCATGGTGATAGATGTTCTTCCAGAAAGTGAAAGAGAAGACACAGAGGTACGATTCTTACTTTATCACAACAATTGCGATAATGACTATTAAAATACGGCAGATAATATGCCAGTGTACATCGTACTTTTCTATATACAGGGCCATCTGGGCAAGGATATAAACTTTCAACTCACAACATCTTCTATCCGTGGTAAATGGAGAGGTTTCGCTCATCCGCATCTCAATGTTTCCTACCATATGGGAGTAGGCTCTGTGAGAGGCTATGATGACATTGTTCCGTTTATGGCGGTAGCTGGAACAGAATTTGAGGTTACTCAGTTGGAATTGGAAATATTCAAGGTTCGTAAATAATGCATAGTAAACTGCAACCTTTCGCATATGTTCACTATTTTTTCTTTTAACATATTTATGTAATTGTACTTATCTGTAAGATGGTAAATAAAAACATGACATAAACGGAAAATATGACTATAAATCGTCTTCCCTGGACATTAAAGATGTTTGTTTTTGTTTATTTCTTTCTAGACTTACTACATTACAGTTATTGCAGAGTCCAGCACAGGTTCAGTAAATGCTACCTCAAATGGAGTTACTGTTATGGCCAATAACCATACAATAGATATTTCATTACATGATGGTTTTGGGTGTAAAGATAAGATAATTACTGGCCACCCTATTGTCCCCATGGTAAATTCACATCATTTGAGGTCAACAATTAAATGATATCCATCTAATTTGATGACATAACAATTACGTTTTTGTCACTATAGTGTAGAATATACAGAATTAAACAAAGATAGACAAAACGTACTACAAAATTAAATGCAATTTAGTGTGAAACACAGCAATACAAATTGTAAAAATATCAGTTTGATTATCTTGCCATAATGCAAATTATGAAAAAAGCATGCCAAGTCATATTAAACATCGAATTATCTCTTTTTAGAGAGTTTGCGAAAATGATGCGATATTTCAGTCAAGTCCAACCGAATTATCGGTTCACTGGGAGCTTGCAGATAACACTCTCAGATACCTAACGCATGCTTTGTACAGAGCTGAAGAGTACAACAAAGGTGAGCATTTGAGAGTTTTTACTACAATATTCATTAATGTATTTGTTCATATACTCTCCACTTGATAATATTCAAGTAAAACAGGCAAAACAGAAGCAGATTGTTTTCATAAGTGCTTGTGCTTTTAATATCGATGTTTTATTCTATTCTAGGTTCTAGAGGTTGGATGCCTATATTTCAATACAGAGATGTCAGACCCATTCCAGATCATATCGTCATGGCCAATCTTGATTTAGATCAAGGTTCAACTTATCGTACAATTGTTAAGTTTTGCACTCCAGCATCATGCTTTAATCCAGTGGTAACAAATGGTGTTACAGTTCACAGTACACCACCAAAGACTGGAAACATTGACATAGCTATAAATAAAACATCATTCGGAGATGTAACTATCATTTTTGAAGAATTTGATCAAAATTTGTATGAAAACCAGACAACCATGAATTTCTACGAATGGACGGCCTCGTTAGACGATTTGGGAAATAGTATTGCACTCCCTTGGAAAGAAGTAAACCGCACGAGTTGTAAAGGACATATTTCGTTTAGTTTTCCAATACCAACTTACATTATATCAAACGACGCGGTGGTACATAAGTGCTGGAAACTTTGTATTCGTGGATGGAGTCTTGCTGGTCTGTGGTCAGTAAAATGCAAGCCATTTATTCCATGCGATACCTTAATAAAAACGAGGAAATCGGACGCAGTTGTACTTGATCTTAGGGGTATGTGATTCACTATTAAAACCGTCATTGAAATAATAATGAAAGTCTGTCATTATATGCATTTCAAGGAACCACTTCTTGGAGAAGCCCTGTGTTCTTTTATGTGCACTCATGGTCTTTTCAATTATAAGGATATTCGCCATCGTCGCTTGGTATTAGATTGTGATAATAGCTCTGAATTGTGAAAAGGGGATACAGGCAATAGACATAGTGTCGTTGTCTGTTAGATAAATGTTTAAGATGTAAGAACATACCTATGGGACTGATTGCTCAAACAAGATACTTCTAACTGTTCCTTTTCGAACTGATTTTGTACCCTTTGTTTTTTCTTAAATCACAAAGAAGTCACATGATTCGTTGTTTCCGCACAGGGCCAGTTGTGTCAAATGATGACTACTTGAAGCACGGTGATATTGATTACACATCAAGTCAGAATACACTATCTGCGGCATGGCCTTTTCTACAACATGGTAATTACGCATGGGCTGTAATAGAACGGGCATCTGACTCATCCGATGACAACACACCCGTGAACATATGCGACGATCCAGAAACAATAGTATGTGGGAGTACAAACGAGGAGTATGTCAACGTATTTAACCTCACCCTAGTTCAAGGAAGGAGATACGTTGTATGTGTATCTGCTAACGAAACTTATATTCAACACGAACGATTTGAAGCTCATCATGCTGCTGTGAAGACATGTAGTGATGGCGTTATAGTAGATACAACACCGCCCACAGCTGGAACAGTAATACTTCACGCAGAAACATATGGAACTCAACATTATCAGGTAGGATGGTTATTCGCTTGTGCTTTGGAACTCATATAGATTACTTATTTCAAGTAGGTTATTTGGTCCTTCCTGTGATAGTGTATTCTCTTCATATTGAGTGATCGGTTTAAAAATTGACATCGTCCGTGTTTTAAAACTGACAGTTAATGTTATGTGTAGGCTTATTCACACACGCTGTGTTTCAAATATTGAAATTACATCTAACATATATGGTTATTTTAGATTCTATTGATTTTAAGATTTCTTCAACTTCATAATTTCAAGCTGTTTCTCTAACTATTCACTCTCCCTCCTAGATTACTGAACCAACTTATTGTTTTCTTTTTATTGTATTATATTGTATTGTATTGTATTGTATTGTATGGTATTGTATTGTATCTTGTTTACTACCAATGAAGGTGAGCAATACCTTTTGGGCATATTCCGTACATACGGTCGTAATTAACGCATTATCATAGAAGGCAGATCCAGGAACCACTCCTCGAAGAAGCCCTGTGTTCTTGTATGTGCACTCATACAAAGGCATACAAGTACACACCAAAGCCATTTTACGAGTCGTCGACCACTCAGTCAAACACCCTGAAGTACTTAACGCAAACAAGCAAATTAAGTATTGCCTGAACCGGGAATCGAATCCGGGACCTATGCGTAATTGGTACATGTGCTCTACCACTGAGCCATACGTGTGGACTAAAATAAATATTTTGTCACAAGGAATAATAGTAGATTCAGAGGGAGGATATACAAATTCGGAATATCTATGTAAAAACTGGATGGGCATTTTCGTGATGTCAAAATGGTCTGCCTGATTGCAATTGAAATCTTTTTTTGTTTTGTTTTATAAAACTGTTTTGCCATGTGTGAAAAGGATTCGACCCGAAACTATAAAGTTTTATCAGTTACTTATTTAAAAGAATCATTAAACAATGTATGCCAATACGTAAAATGCTGGATCAAATGTTGCTGTGATAAAGCCTGCTCAGCTCCTCCATATTCCGAATACGTGCCATGAAGTATAATTTTATTTGTCCCACGCCTTTTTGTTATATTGAATGCTTAATTTAGGTTTCAAAGAGTGAACTATTTGTCTCCTGGACTGACTTTGTAGATGAGGATGAGACATCAAAAAACCATCACTCTGGTATTAAACTCTACCAGTATGCAATAGGTAAGTCCAGTTACGTTCATTACTTTTGAGACTCGGGTTACATACGCGTTTTGACTAGTAGTATCATATTGTGTGTAAAGTCTGTGATTTATATCATGCATTTTATTATTACAGGAACTCATCTGTTTGGCACAGACGTCGTCGAATTTACTTCAGTTGGGATAACAAACTATCATCGAATTACTGGACTAAACCTGAAAGATGGAGGAGAGTACTTCGTCACTATAAAAGGTTCATTCTAAATTAAAATGGATATTAAAACAGACCCCCTCGAGATCCGCCAATGCACACTCCCTTTTAGGTCTAGTATCTGGCTTGTTACACTGGATGCGAGTGTTTGTGAAATGCACCATCAATTTGATTTCTTTATGTAATTCGTTTTTGAAAGTAAACTATAATCATTTTTAGCCCTTAACCATGTTGACCTCTCGAGTGAAGCATGTAGTAGACCAATAATTGTTGATGGAACCCCTCCAGACCTCACTAACAAGGCACACGTGCGACTTAAAAACCAAGTTACACAAGAACGTGATCAAGTTGATGCAAGGTCAGATATGAGAATATACTTCTGTCAGGGCTTCCTGGTCAACTCAACCCCAAGTCAACTCAACCCAAATCAACTCAACCCTTAGTCAACTCAACCCCAAGTCAAGTCAACCCCTAGTCAAGTCAACCCCAAGTCATCTAGACCCTTAGTCAACTCGACCCCAAGTCATCTCAACCCTTGGTCAACTCAACCCTTAGTCAAGTCGACCCCAATGATTTTACTTGCTTTAAGTAGGTTAAAATACAATATAATATATCATTAAATAGTACTTCCTTCAGAAGGAAGATTTGAACTATATCATATCATTTATTATTATCAAAATATAAAATCATTCAATACATAGTAATGGATGGATGTTGGCACAATGCACTTATGTTACAAAAGTTACCTGTTGTCAAAAATACTGTAGCAACAATTTCGGTATAACAGAAAAGTGAAAAGAATAATTCTATTTACAATTATAATTTTTTATTTCAGAGAGATAAAACAAGCTCAAATATGAAGGGGTGAAATATATGAATAGCATCGTGAATAGCCATATTAAGATTAATCAAGTATTATTTTGGTAAATAAATGTCATATTTATAAAATTATAAATGTGTTAAGCATTAACTTCACTAGTTGATAATTTATTTCGGAAAATTAGCATTCAAGTCCCTCATTCTTTCAAAATTCATCAATATCATACCATGAAAGGTACATTTATTTGTTTTTATGGTGGGGTCGAGTTGACTAAGGGTTAAGATGACCAAGGGTTGAGATGACTTGGGGTCGAGTTGACTAAGGGTTGAGATGACCTGGGGTCGACTTGACTAAGGGCCGACTTGACTTGGGGTCGACTTGACTAAGGGTTGAGTTGACTTGGGTTGAGTTGACTTGGGTTGAGTTGACTTGGGGTTGAGTTGACCAGTTACCCTGTCAGGAACGTTAAAGAAGACACAAAAGAAACAGGATCTTAAGAGGTTCTGGACAAATCATTTGATTCTGGACTTGTCATATTTTTTTTTCAACGAAATCACATCCAAGGGTTGAATTTTTATTAGCTATTTAGAGAGTGAGTCCTGCCTAGTATTAATTTCAATAAAAAAAGTTAAAATAGAACCCTATTTGAGAGTCAATCTAATACTTACATTACATTGATAAATTAAGGCAAATCCTGAAATATTTTTAAAGTGCGTTTTTTAATGAAATATTATCCAGCAAGTATTTAAATGAAACGGTCTTATTTAAATACAAATCATAACATGATATTTTTCATGAAACATTTTTCAATGAAATTCAATTGAAGGGTCAAGATAAAACGAGCTAATTTAGCTGAAAACCCTTACATGATGATGTGTTTTCATAACTTCTTTCATAAAATTCCATCAAGGGGTGAAGATAAAATGATCGAATTTAAGTGATTTAAGGATCACGAGAATATGTTTTCTTTGATATTTTCTATGAAATCCCATCCAATGGTCAAGGTAAAATTTTGATTTTGATTTTGATTTGCTCACGTGTTCGAAAGATCCATATAAGGCCCATAGAACCATATAGGAACGTCATTTTGAATGTCACGTGATAGATCCATATAAGGCTTTTAGAACCATTTATGGAAAGATGAGGGAAGCCCCTGACACCTGTTTCACGATTTTTATGCACTTCATTATTGTACCGAAGTTTGCCGATTCGATTCGTCGTATTTCGGAATCCTGGTGACAATTTTATACTCCATTGGAGTATTTTTGACCTACTTCTTATGACGAAAATTCCCGAAACTTGTTCGGATTAATCCGGATTTTCTGACCTACTTTATCTACCGAGATTTCACGAGTTAACATTCGTCTCATTCCGGAATCCTGGTGACAATTTTATACTCCATTGGAGTATTTTTGATCTACTTTTTCTGGATTTTGCCCTGCTTATTATATCTTGACAACAAGCAAATCAAAAAGTTCGACATGAACGGGTCTCGATCAACTAACCTAGACTATGGAAGCCAGGCACGCTAACCATGAGACCAACGAGCTACCGATATGAAAGAACAAAAGTATTATATATTTATACCGAGCGTCAATTCAAAATGATCCTCACTTTTGTCTCCACTTAAATACGACTCGTCAGTTGTATCCAGAATAGTAGAACGCCTATGGCGCTAGTGAATAACCAAGTCCCAGGTGAGTGGTTCGTATCCCTCCGTGATATACTATTTTTGTTTTATTAAATACGACAGAAAGGAGCAAGGTGTATGTTGAAAACAAGACGTTAGTTTGTTTCAAAACAGTTTGGAAACATTAATCTCTGGAACATTATTTTTTCAACACTGATACAAATTTCCCTGACATTTCCCTGACATGTCTACCGTTTCAAAATTCCCGGTCATCTTTGGCCCTTTTGACCTAATTTTAAAATTACCTGACATTTCCAGCACTTGGAAAATCAAGTCAATTTCCCTGACATTTCCAGGTGTGTATGAACCCTGGAAATATCCCACTGGCTCGCCCTATGAATCGCTAGCACAGATTGGATTGATTAGTGTTTCAAAATGGTGGACGAAGTGTTTGATTAGATAATTTACATATTAAGCTTCTTAAAGGGGCAACAAGGCCTGTACATAGAAAATTCGAAATTTTTTACATTTTCTGAATTTTTAGGGCAACATTTGGCTTTAACATCTTTTTTTATACATTTTTTCTTAAAATGTATGGATAAACAATAAAATTTCAGCATTAAGCATCAAAGCTTCTATAAAGGGAGTCCAACTTATAGATTTTGAAAATCCGACTCGTTTAAAGAAGAATATCAGCAGCTTAAATCACGCCTTGTGATCATACAAAATGGATGGAGGGGGGGGGGGTAGGCGATTTCTGCAAGAAAACTCAACAAATTTGGAAGATTTATTTTTTTCAAGATAAAATTTACAACTGAATTGCCAAATGAATAGGCGCAGTGCATGGCAAAAAATGTAAGGTCTTCTAGTATTTTTTGAACTGATACGCTTCTAAGATATGAGATCTATTATAAGAGGCGCATCATCATCATCATCATCATCAACGTGCAAAAGTCAATGTTTTTGCTATAAATCAGGCAACAATGGTCTACACGACCTGTAATAAATAGGTATGAGGGGCGTTATTAGAGAATTTTCGTTATAAGTTTTTTAAAAACTTATACGTATACTTATACTTATAAACCCAATAAACAAGGTGTTTCATAATTTCCTAATTCGTCGGGAAATATCTCCTAGGACGGTAATAAAAAGGGCCAATGGCATACCATCCGTAACCCCTTGATGTAAAGCATGTTTAGTTGTGTCAAATGTGTTTTCTAGAATCAAATAGGCTGATATAGCACACGGGTTTTACAGATTTATCTACTCTCAAATATATTTTTTGTAGATGATCGTTTTGAATCACCTTGTAGAAATAACGAAGGGAGAATTAGTTCAGCTAATGAATGAGTCGAGCTATTTGATTGGATACTATGCCTATTCAGCCGATTAATTTTAATAAGCCATTCTGGTCAGTAGGTCCACACATATACTATGCGGAGATCCAACTCTGTAAGTTTATAATCTGCGTATAAAGGCCCTTTTATACGTAAAAACTTAAAAATTGACCTTATAATTTCATGAGAACTTTGAAATGATCGACTCGTTCGTGTAGTGATTCACTTTAAAGGGTCTTGTTTATCGTACACTACAAGGACCCGTCAACTAGAATTTAGTTTATCGTGTTCATAATTGACACTAGCAAAGGACATTGTATTCGCAGTCCCTAGTTGATGATGAAGCTTGACTATATCGGGAATAGTTATGCCCCACTTGGTACAGATTATGAAAATCAATTTGAATTGATTTTAGTTCGACAAGACCCTTTAAACTATAAGTATACGTATAAGTTTTTGAAACAACTTATAACGAAAATTCTCTATTATCACAACACTGACATTGCTCACTTTTTAAAGTTGTTTCAAAGCGTTATATGTAAATGGGCGTGTGGAAGGCCCGTGGGTGGCAATAAAATAACTCGAACTTCAAATTAAAATATATATAAAATAGTATATTTCAAACTTCAATGTTTAAAATACAATGCTCTGTAATGTACAACATGAACTCTTACAGCAACTACTGACAAGCCAACACCCAATGCAAACTCAGCTACATGTGAGTGAGAAAGACCATATAGGGGAACAATAGATATATAAAACTGACACAGTTTGCATAGTTGAATAACTCAAGGTGAAAAGTGAACATGGTATTAAAAGAGTAAAACTGCAAACAACCTACTTAGGGACCTGTTATATTGAGATGAATAGGGATTGATTAATATGAACAGTAATAATATAAAATGTGAAAATGACCATGTTACATATACAAAAAATAACCCCATTGTTACAAAATCACAAAAAGTGAAATATCTATTCTTGTATTGCATTTTCGTTCACTGGACATATTTTAATTGCATTGCTATTAGATACATTTTAAGGGTGATATGAAAATTGAACCACGAAAACAGATGTACTTTAAGTTAAAGGGAACTTTCTACCATACCCGCTATGCTATCTGACCCGAACGAGCCACCTTGTGGTGAGATTGGTAACTACCTGCTCGCATCTGCGTTATTACGCAGAGACATAAACGTATACACAAGGAAACGATAGGAGATAACCTATTTTATCTCTGTATACATTTTAACTTTAATACATCGTTGAATCGAATTTGTCCAAAGGTCTTGAAACGTAAAATACCGAAATATTTAACTTAGACCTTGGGATGACCTTGTACAAGAAACATTAATGTTGACCTCGGTTCATCTAATCATAATTCGCCAAGGGCCATAGTATCATCAAACACCAAATACCTAGACATTGATCGTTTACTTGGATTTAAATAAGGAGTATGATTTTAAAATTGGCTAGGTCGTGGTTAAGCAACAATAGTATGTTCGAAATACCGCTGTGTAATGCCTGGATCACATTTGCTGCGAGTATTTTGTTCAAAATTGAATACATTTCTGAACACAATACTCAATCGGCCGGGCGCCGTAGTGAAAATCGGAGCAAATGTGACCAAGACATAAAACAATTGAATAATACTGTATCAGTTTCACATTTACAGCGGTCAAAAGCATTTACAAAAAAACCGCCAGAGTTGGCAATCATATAAAATGAAACCAATCTCGCTGTGATTCATAGAAATAACTAATTTACTGAATTGAGTTCAATGTTATAACCATGTCGATTTACATGAGTGTCCGATTCATTGTACCAAAGGATCTTGTACACCTGCTATTATGATCTCCCCATGAACAAAATGAATCATTTTTAGGTGTAATATAAAGAATACAATGTTACATAATACTTTGGAAAATATTTAAGCGTTTGGCCCCACATGGGCTGAGGTTGGGGTCATTAAGTTCAGCAAGGGTGTATTGACTTGACATTGGATGTGTTCTATTGACTTAACATGTGGATACCATCAGATTCCAATGGAGGCCATTGGTTTCTATTGATTTTCACAAAAATACCTAAAATACACTATGACCTGAATCGATTGCAAATTAAATAATTTCACAATATGACACAAATGGTATTTCAGATCAGATGTGCAAATATAAAGTTTGCAATCGATTCAGGTCATACTTCAAATTAAAAGATTATTCATTTTTTTCATCATTTTTTTCCTACAAAATGGCTATAGAAAAATGCTTCAAAAGCAACTTTTACACTTATGAAATCCCATACAACTTTGTAAATCCAAAGATTATACTGTTATGATTCATTAATTAATAACATATTTTGATAAGATGTAGGGATGTGTAGGATGCAAATGGATTTTGACAGACACAAAAAGACTTCCTGGTTTGGCATCTCTACCCCTGTATACTTTATGATTGAATATTGCCCTAAAAAGTGGCCCATTCATCAATACAGTGCTGAATATAGGTCAACAAGATACTAGTGTACATATAAATGTAATAATAAAAGCAGTATATTTATTTTGAAAAATCAGATGAATTTATTTTTGTTCATGGGGAGATCATAATGGCAGGTGTACAAGATCCTTTAAACCTTGACTGTTCTCCAGAAAGCAATAAGCTGACATATATCATATTTTAATACAACTGAAAAGATAATAAATGTTTTAATATAAAGTTGACGTAGTTATAAATCTTTTCAGCGTAAAATCAAAGTACAACCATATAATTAAAAACATTACGCTGGGATTCCAACTGGATACAACTGACGAGTTGTATTTAGGTGCTGCTTATTTAAGTGCTGCTTATTTTTTCGTGAAGCCACTCAGTAAAATTACGATTTCTCTCAACCCTGATGTTCAATCAACATCATTCGAGTATCTATATGTTCCTGACACGTTCGGGCATCCGGTTATGACAACGTCTACCCAATGTTTGCACGAGAAATTGACGTAATTCATGACTGAAATCGGGAAGACAAAAATATGTGATATTCTTTCAGAATTGTTTATAATAACGATTTACAAAAACGTTCCCGAGACACAATCCATTTAGGTAGGGTTTGTTTTAAAGTAGAAAAGCCCCAATAAGACAATACAAACCCAGATTAAACCCAGAAGAATGCAGATTTCATGTAATGATTTACGTTCATGTAAACAAGGAAAGTACATATAATCCCCATATAAAACACTGGCCTACGTGACATGTAAACACAGGTTCAAATTGAAATATAGAAAATTTTCAACATAGCATTTGCTTCTGTGTTCTGTATGCCCCTCTACCTGCTAATAAGGCAATGTATCTTCAAATAAAACCTTAGCCAAGTAGATAAGGGTCTCTGGAACACTTTTGTAAAAAGTTTTCACAAGCAATTTTATTCCCGGACGCCCAAACGTGTCAGGAACACATATATATTTGAATGATCTTGATTGGACATCAGGTTGCAGAGAAATCGTATTTTTACTGAGTGGATTATTGAATTTCATAGATCTAGAGGCCCTTCAGGAGTGGAAAACCTTAAATTATCAGAGATTAATGTTTCCAAACTGTTTTGAAACAAACTAACGTCTTGTTTTCAACCTACACCTTGCTCCTTTCTGTCGTATTTAATAAAACAAAAATAGTATATCACGGAGGGATACGAACCACTCACCTGGGACTTGGTTATTCACTAGCGCCATAGGCGTTCTACTATTCTGGATACAACTGACGAGTCGTATTTAAGTGGAGACAAAAGTGAGGATCATTTTGAATTGACGCTCGGTATAAATATATAATACTTTTGTTCTTTCATATCGGTAGCTCGTTGGTCTCATGGTTAGCGTGCCTGGCTTCCATAGTCTAGGTTAGTTGATCGAGACCCGTTCATGTCGAACTTTTTGATTTGCTTGTTGTCAAGATATAATAAGTAGGGCAAAATCCAGAAAAAGTAGATCAAAAATAATCCAATGGAGTATAAAATTGTCACCAGGATTCCGGAATGAGACGAATGTTAACTCGTGAAATCTCGGTAGATAAAGTAGGTCAGAAAATCCGGATTAATCCGAACAAGTTTCGGGAATTTCCGTCATAAGAAGTAGGTCAAAAATACTCCAATGGAGTATAAAATTGTCACCAGGATTCCGAAATACGACGAATCGAATCGGCAAACTTCGGTACAATAATGAAGTGCATAAAAATCGTGAAACAGGTGTCAGGGGCTTCCCTCATCTTTCCATAAATGGTTCTAAAAGCCTTATATGGATCTATCACGTGACATTCAAAATGACGTTCCTATATGGTTCTATGGGCCTTATATGGATCTTTCGAACACGTGAGCAAATCAAAATCAAAATCAAAATTTTACCTTGACCATTGGATGGGATTTCATAGAAAATATCAAAGAAAACATATTCTCGTGATCCTTAAATCACTTAAATTCGATATTTTATCTTCACCCCTTGATGGAATTTTATGAAAGAAGTTATGAAAACACATCATCATGTAAGGGTTTTCAGCTAAATTAGCTCGTTTTATCTTGACCCTTCAATTGAATTTCATTGAAAAATGTTTCATGAAAAATATCATGTTATGATTTGTATTTAAATAAGACCGTTTCATTTAAATACTTGCTGGATAATATTTCATTAAAAAACGCACTTTAAAAATATTTCAGGATTTGCCTTAATTTATCAATGTAATGTAAGTATTAGATTGACTCTCAAATAGGGTTCTATTTTAACTTTTTTTATTGAAATTAATACTAGGCAGGACTCACTCTCTAAATAGCTAATAAAAATTCAACCCTTGGATGTGATTTCGTTGAAAAAAAATATGACAAGTCCAGAATCAAATGATTTGTCCAGAACCTCTTAAGATCCTGTTAAGAATACATAAATGAAATAATATATAAGTAAAACACTTGCTATTGAAGAATGTGTGCGATTTTCATAGTCTATTATTGTTTTTAATCAATTATAGTTGGTATGGAGTATTTGAAGATAGAGACAGTGGAATATTACACTACACGTGGTCCATAGGGACACAACCAGGGTTTGCAGATATCAGCGGGCTACATCGGACAAAATATACATCAAGCCGAACGAAGCCCATATCTGAGCCATTGGGCCTGTTGGATGGTCATCCGTATTTCGTGACTGTGAAAGTATGTGCACAGTGAAAGTATCACATAAGAACTAAATGAATTAAATGAAAAAAAGAACAAAGGGCAACTCACGTAATTATATGTACATTTTTATAAAAAGTAATAAATAATACTAAAAGTTTCTGAAATTAAATGAAATTATTTGTACGTTATGTTTAGGCCTATAACAAAGCAGGACTTCACACGGTGACCAGCTCTCATGCATTTGTGGTTGATGGATCTGTCCCGATTGTTGGACATATCTATGATGGCAGACGCAACGAAACGGATAAGCTTCATAGAGATTTAGATTATCAAGTTGACGGTTCTACATTATGTGCTCATTGGAAAGGCTTCACTGATCCACACACTGAAATCATTGAACACCTCTGGCAAGTAGGGACATGTGAAGGATGTGATGACATTGTTACACAACATAGCATTGGGTTGAAAACAGGTACTTTCTTCAGTTGGTGTTCTTTGCATAGGCTGCATTATACATTATACATTGCAACCCCTAGTTTTATTAATCTGTGTAATTCTTTTTATTTACTAAAGAAGTTTGTATGGATTATCTGAGGCTGTCACAAGGGAAGACCTACTATTCTACACTAACCGTGTGCAATCAGGCTGGTCTATGTGCATCATTATCAACGGATGGAGTGACTATAGACAGTTCGCCACCAATTGCAGGTGTAGTTGAAGACGGAACTCAATCTAAAGATATACAATTTCAGGCTTCAAGGTTTGAGAAATATTTATAGCTATTGTCGTTTTTGTGATTTCCTAATGTTACCTTTTGTCATGTTGTTATTGACAATAGTTACAAACACGCTGATGCATCAAACTGTAATGTTATGATAGATAATGAAAAAAGAAAAGAAAAACTTCATAAGTGAAGACAAATTGATATACCACCCACAGAAATCATACGCAAAATAATTGAGAGTAAATATTCCGAAACCAGTCGGTTCTTCTACAAAATTCGTTTTAGTAATTAAACTTACAAGAAATAGGAAAGCTCCCAAATTATCGATCTTAAATTACACAAAATCTACCTTCATAAAATGTCAAAAAACTTTTCCAATACTAACCACAGATTGTTAATAAGTAAAAATCAGGTTAAGTCGAAATTGTTATATTATCCGCTGTGTTCCAGGACTTACATATCTGCACGTTGGACTGGTTTTCATGACTCACACAGTGACATTGCACGGTATGAGGTGTTTGTTGGTACCTCTATATTGGGAGATGATATTCTCGAACCTAAAGCAATACATTTGACAGAAACCATTTTCGTTCCATTGCAAACACCTCTGCCTCTTGGAAGAAAGATTTACGTTACAGTGAGAGCATACAATTTTGCAGGTAGTTATAATGCTCGATTTCAACAAAACAAAAATTAAATTTTGAGAACGCCTAAACATTTAATGAAATAAACGCACGAAATAAATCAAGTATTCAATTGGAATGGGATTATAATGTATAATATTATCAATGAAACTAATTCGGAATAAAACTAGGGACATGTATTTTACAATGTATACATTCATTTAAGGTCTACATGTAGAAGCCAGTAGCAACGGATTCATAATTGACCAAACACCTCCCGAGGTCATACAACCTGTATCCTTTGGACAATATCACGGATCGGCTCGTGATAACAAACAGGTAATGAGAAATGAAGGGGGTACTTTTGTGTGGGTTATTTGCAACAAATTACATTCTGAATTAATAAGGTAAACTTTTTTGATTTACATTTTTAAGTAATGATGGTCAAATATGCATCCATATGAATGTCGGATCATGGCCACAAATCTGTGTTATGTTTTAATAAAAAACAAAAAATACTAATGGTTTACTCATGCTTTGTATACAAAAGATATGGAAAAGCTCAATGACTATTACATGGGAGATTGATGACAAGGAATCTGGTTTAGAAAGACAGTATGCCAGTGTTTTCACACACCGTGATGGTGACCTAGGCATTCCGACTGTGGAAGTGAGTATTATTAAACACAACCACTCTCTTTGACGGAACATACTTATTAATATGTAATAACTAGAGACTTCTCTATACTCTCTAAATACGCCCTAAATGTAACCACCCATATATTCTTAATATCTTGCATAAGTTTCAAAACTCTTAATTTCTAAATTATGTATCAAAGGTTGGTTCACGCAATCATCATACATTCACGAAGTTGAACCTGGCTGATGGTTCTGAATATTATGTCACGGTTATAGGATGTAACAAAGCTCAGCTATGTTCCAACACTACGTCCTCCAAGCTACTGGTAAGAAAACAACATTTGGATTAAATCGTCTATTGACCAAGAAATAAGTAATGTGTTTATTGACAACGTTAATAGAAGTGTCTGTGTATATACAGCGTTGTGCAAGTATTGAAGACATAGACATTGAAGTCGCAACATTTTTGATATTACCTCTTGTTCACCTGTATTCTTCTTACCATTTCGAATCTTGTGTGCTTTTCCAATTCTAGAATCCCATTTTGGTACTTTTCTATTTAATTACAAATATTCTTGTATAGGTTGATTCCTCTAGACCAAGTGTTGGTACCTTTGCCAGCCTGACTAATCATGCTTCTGATTTGGATCGATATCGAGATGGTTTCATGACTTGGAATGCCACTGTGATGACCTTGCAATGGCTAGGATTTACTGATCATCACTCGGGAATATCACATTATTTCATTACAGCTGGAAACACATTCGCTGGACATGAATATACACAAGTATGTAAATCAGATTTTCTTGTTTTTGAGGTCCATATTTTCCTTCAAAATATTTAGTGCTGTGTCGATGATGCACCATCTGACCTTGAAGTTCAAATTCAGTCACGTGATTAAGATGGTTGCGGCGGTTCTTTTAAAAAGATAAAACGAAGTAAACATTTAAACCAAATAAATGTGCATGCGGTGATGATAGGCTTAGAGAGTAGGAACTTTATAGAGAGGTAATCATGTCATGTACCTTTTAATTCAGAATTCCCCAATTCTGATCGCACACAATGCCAAGGGAACAAAACTCGAGGAGGGTGTTATACAACATGGTTACATACCAACTAATGGCAACCTAAAACCAAACTCGAAGGTCTTTATCAAACTATGGGCGATTAATGGAGTAAGTATTTGTTATAAAAATACTTAAAAGCGTACATGTATGTTTGGTAAAATTCATGTTTTTATATAATATTTAAATTGTCCACCATATCCTTGATACAATTTTTATTAATTGTGGTATACTCATATAGTTATTCATTAAAGGTTGGTCTACCAAGTTTAGTGGTTCACAGTGCATTTGATGTCATACTGGTCTCTGCCAGTGGCGGTGTATTAGTAATTGTCAGGCGATGCAGCACATATAGTTGTGAGGGAAACTGTGTGTGTGCCCCACAAGATCAGCTTTGTGAAAAATCAGATAACTGTAAAGTAATACAACGTAAGTAATGCATGATTGCATTTCATCTCGCTGTGATATATTACAAATCTCAATTTCATTATCATTGCTTAAATGTAAAATATTCCAGCCAATGAATATCTGAGCATCGAGGTTAACGATACACAAGATATTAGGAGACTGGAACAGTCATGTGAATTCTCGGATGACATGGACTTTACCCATTCGGACTGTTTGTTGGCAGCTACTTGGAACGTTATCGGATCAAATGAAAAAGTTGTACAACGGTAAAGCAATAATTTGTTCAAAACTGCACAAACAGTAATGAAACCCCCGTTTATGCTGACTGACACTACAAATATATGATTTAATAAACGTCATCAATAATCAAAACTCGAAATCTAGAATGTAGTAAGTTATAGTATTTTATTATCATAGGTATGAATACTCTGCTGGAAAGAATGGTAGTTATTCTGGAAGTGGAGTATTCAATACACAAACTGACAGGGTCTGGTTTGAAGCTGGCTTCCATAATCACGCAGTAGTCACACCAACGAGTATACAACCAAATTATTTTTTTCTTAATATATAGTTTTAAAGTTGCCTTACAAAAGCACAGGGTTATAACAATAATTTCCCCCAGTTGCATGTATTACCATAACCAAATGTATTGTACGAGTGTCATGAATTACTTGCAGTGCTAGTGATTTAATTGCAATTTCATATTTAAATCAATACATTAAATAGGAAGATTACAACATGGTGATACGTATGTGTTCTATGTTCGGGCCTGGTATGACAATGACACATATACTGTGTTTTCATCTGATGGAATAACAATTGATATCACTCCTCCACGTGTCAGTAAAATGAGACAGGTAATAGAGAGATTCTTACGTATAGACAACGATTTATAAAAAATATCACACTTATGGACGTATGAAGCTGTGCAATAAATGATGCCGTTATGAAACACTTTATAACTTAATATGCTTATACATTGTCTGGGAATAATGAACATGTTATAAGTGAGACACACTATCTGAAGAGACACAACTGTAAGCCGGGAAAGAAGTGTGGTAAATTATATCATGTATATATGTCTAATTTGTTTAAACTAATATTTGGCATTGAACGTGCTAAAAGTCATTATTAACGCCATTAAAGGTTGATGAAAGTGATGATCATAATGTTCCATTCGACAAGGATTACACAAGGAGCCTGGACAACATAAGTGTAAAATGGACTGGAGTGTTCTCTGATTTTGAATCTGGTATATCACATTATATGTTAGGAATAGGAACACATATACAGGGTAGGTCAAATTGTATCGGGGTGTGTACTTTCGGTTCAACATAACCTATTTTATTAAGTTCATAGTCAAAATACCAGAAAGGTAACCATTTTAAGGACTGTATCTTTCATTTGTAGTGGATGATTCTTACACATTTACAAAGTACAATACAACAATAGCACATCTGAAAAAGCTATCATTAGTGGCAGGACAGAAATATTTCACAACAGTTATTGCTGTCGCTAACAATGGTCTGGAGTCATCAAAGGCTTCAGATGGATTCATTGTGGATGTGGAGCCGCCAACTTCAGGAATAGTGATAGATGGAAGGTGTAAGTCATTAATGAACAAGAGTGTTATATATCACTAGCTACTACTTTTTACTTTCTGTCATGTAAGATGTCATCTGAAAGATGAAGTTTTCACTAAACACTCTCATGGTGTATTCTTATGTTTTTGCAGTCTTACATGATAGTGACTATACAAATCGAACAACGATACTACATGCACAGTGGCATGGGTTTTATGACAGACATAGTGGTATAGGTTACTACATTGTATGTGTGGGAACAACAGAAAATATCTCGCATTGTGATATTTTCCAAGGCCAGTCAGTGGGATTGCAAACATCCATTACCATTGTTCCAAAACAACCATTGAAGCATGGTTAGTAATATCATTACAACTATATACTTTGTAGAAGTATTTTAACAATTTTTGGACCACAGGACCACTTAGTAAAGAACTTGTGTAATTCAAAATGATGGTCTAAATTACTATATCTACCTTTGATTCCCTTTATAGGAATGCGTTACTTTACTAAAGTTCAGGCTATTGATGCTGCAGGTCTTGCATCAAAAATCATATCTTCAGATGGCATATGTGTTGACACAACCCCTCCAGACATTATGCATACCGATGCTGTAAGCCGCAATTTGCTCGGAAACCCATCATTTGAAAAGGACACTCCTGCAGTAGATATTAATGATTACCACCTTTGGTACAATGCAACCATCCGTTCACCAAAATACTGGGATACTAAAAGGGGAACTCGTGTCATAATAGTCAACAGTAAAGATGGTGAGATGAAAGATGGTGACCAAGCTTGTATGCTGTTTGGAAGCTTGATTCAACAATTTCAAACTATTCCAGGGGTTACTTATAGTCTAAGATTCTTCGTAAGTCATGCTCCAGACCCTTCTTTACTTTACACAACAGAAACTGGACGTGTCCGTGTTGCAGGGAAAGATCAAATATTAAGTATATACCCACGCCAGGAATTACCACCTCTCCACAATGGCCATCCTAATATGAATATACAAATAGGTTCATTAGTCGCATGGCATAAACATTTAGTTCCATTCATAGCCATTGAATCAACGTCGACATTAACCATTGAGACGCTGGACTTTAACTCTGGTTTCTTAATCGATGATGTCATAATCGAACAGTTAGCTCATAATGATACAGAAGGTGATATAGAAGTAACTTACCAACAAGCTGGAGAGTGGTCATCCATACAAGCTAGTTGGCAGGTTCTTGATATGGAAAGTAACATAGCGGAGGTATCTTGGGCTATAGGTAAACAATGACTACATGTTATATCATCGAACCCCTAGTAGTACAGTAATCTGAAAACTTGGTTATCACAATAATTCTTGTATTCGTACTGTCATCGAAACATATTTAAGTTATCATACAATTTATTAAGGTCTAGTGAGAGGCGGAATACAACTTCAACCATATAAATCTGTTGGTAAACAATCGCATGGCATTAATACAAAACTCCATCTTATGGAAGGCATGACTGTACATGTTACACTTATGGTTCGTAACAATGCAGATCTTGCAAGAGTGATATATAGTGAGCCCTTGGTCATTGACCACACTGCACCAGTCATCGAATATGTATGGGATGGTAAGAAGTCGGGTAAGAGGAACAAAATACTCAGAATGGAAGAATTGTAAAATTTTGATATATTGGGTGCTGGAGTGATGAAATGGGTTGCTATTTTGTAGTTATTTTAAATTTCCCTTTTATATGTGTTTCCTCTTTCATGAGCTTAGATCTCAAGAATAAGTATTTTCAGACGGAGCATATCAGGCAGGGGTTGAACTTACAGTAACGTGGAAAGTGGAAGACAAAGAAACACCGGTCAGTCATTGCCAGGTAGCATTTGGTGAGTAGTTCTCTGTTACATTATAAACTTATTTTGTAGCTTATGGGCCTATAATTATATAATATCATTACCGTAGTTGAATTAATTGTATGAGTCAATTTAAAAATGATGTTGCATAGGTTATGTCCGAGGATTGGATGATATATACAAATTTACAAACGTTCAACCAGTACTGGAGACTCCGATGACATTCTCAACGAGGAACTTTACGTCTTTAAAACATGGAACAATTATATACGCTACTGTACGATGTTTTAACAATCTTGGGTTATGGAGCGAACAGTCGTCAAACGGCGTTACTATCCTCAAAACTCCATCAAATGTCCAGGATGCATTTGTTGATATTCTATCAAACAGAATATCACAGTTTCAATGCCATGAGGGATTTCATAATGATCTGGAGACGTTGCGTATAAAGTGGACTGGCGTTCAGTCCCAGTCAAACTACATACATCATTACGAGGTAATATTCCTGAGGTAACATATCCTGTATCTACAAGCCATTGTACTTTTGTCCAGTATGTACTTCTTTCATCAAGAGATGAAAGTGTGTGTGAGAGATGAGAATCCAAAGAGTTTACTTGGGAATATTCTTGGTTTAGCAAAGGTTTAAGTTGTTTTGGTATAATATTCCATAAAAGTATATGAAATTACGTTTATAAAAAGAATGAGAGACATACGACAATATTTATCTTATTTTTTATATACTTCTCATAACTTTGATGTTGTATTTTGGAATCAATTTAGGTACACATTGTTGATAAATATGATAACGATAGGAACCAAGTATATACAATAGGACAAGACGGTCGACAACAGGGGCAACTTGATTCTTTGCAGTTTCAACAGAATAAACGATATAAGGTATAATTATGCTGTTTGCAGAGATTTCTGCCCAGTTAATCTTTTGTAGTAACATTAATTATTAGGTACAACATTTCGCCATTTGTTTTTTGCCACCTCATGTTCGTGTATTTGTTGTTTAGGTTAAAATTCTAGCCGTTGACCACTTAGGAGTTAACAGCGAAGATTTCTGTACAATGTTTGTCATTGAAGCGCATCGTCCAAACAAAACAGGTGTACATTTAAATAATTAGTATAATTCAACTTGCAACCATTTGTTTTATGGCAGATATTGTTGTATGTAATGTGCTTCCAAGAAGAAACCGCATTGTATAATCTCGTTTTGATAGTTTCTTGTTGGTACCCTGTACTGTTGTCACAGTATCCACATTGATCATAACGGTCTCTAATGACTTTGGTATTACAACACTGTTTTTGCACCATAGGTGTCGCCATGACTCACACTTGGATGACTGACGCAAGTGTAAGACTACTTTGGAGCAACGCATTTATATCATCCAGTGAGCTTTACTATGAGGTCACTGTAGGCACGAAACCGGGTGGAACAAACGTCATGAAGTGGTTCGAAACAAAAGCGACATCCATAACACTCAACGATGTAGACAATTCACTCGAACACTATCTGACTGTAACTGCCATAAACAAAGCAGGATTTCACACATCAGAGTCGTATCAATTTAGCTTTGATCCTAATCAACCCTAATGGGCTAGAATGTATAATTATACACTTTGGTGACGAATAAAACTTTCAGTAAAAATGTTTTGGACAATTTCCTTATCACTTTATTCCACATGTGTTCACATATGTGCAATATTTTGTTCCTGTTTCACATCCCTTAAAATGCCAGCCCTTTTGTAAGTTGATACTATAAGTGAACATTTAGCTGGACTCTCATTTTATATTACCATTTCTTCGTCTCGCTAACACCAAGTATACTGTTCTTGACGACAGCAAGGCAACTTGATATGTTATGGGCTGGTACAAGTGATATGTTATAGCTCAGTCCTTTGTTCCCATAGAGATCAATTTGTTTGCAAATTCTTTGTCCTTACTAGTCACTACTTGAAGCATAAACTTTGCAACGTCTCCTCGGGAAATAGTCCAGTTTTGTCCTCCTTCAAGATACTGCCCTTCGTTGTGGTGAATGATTTTACCTGAAATCATAAACTCAAGATTATTTGGATATTTGTTGTTATTGACCTTTTTATTCTTAAATTAAGGAATGCAACATACGTGAGCAATAATTGTAAATAAATCCCGCTCTTTTTTTAATACAGACACGGCTGGTCTCGCAGTTTCCTCTCGGGCCTTTACTTGATGTAAGACGATGACATAATAAAATAAAACAATATAAAAGAGGTTATTTACATCCCTACTTTCACGCTTGCTTAGCAGTATTCCAGCCTTACCTGATGGAGGTTTGTTCACCAACTGTACAGGTTTGACTGCTGTCCATTCAAGATCGTCACACTCTCCTTGCAGATAGTGCTCCATTTTTACCACATCATCAGTTATCGGTTTAATGAACCAGAAGAAAAGGGAAAACGCCCATTTCATCAACCATCCAAATTCTTCTGAAACTGCATTGGAGAGTGTCCATGTTACATCAAATGAAGCAAGCCATTTTGAGAATTTATTTATTATTTACATTGTGTGTTTACTAATATTGCCTTTCTTACTTCCACTGTATAAAAAAACGAATATTGCTTGCAAATAACGAGCAATTCTGGTGTTTATTTGCTTCGAATTGCATGTTATAAACAGTAATCATCACTGACAAAACACAGACAATAACTGCATATATGGAACACAAATATATGCAGCTGCATATAACAAACATCCACAGAGAATACTGACTAAATATACGGGTACTGTCACTGAGTATATTTGCTTATATTCAGACATACTTTGCATATTTGCTGTTTACTTGTGATTATATGCAGCGCAGAAACTGCATATACCTGCTTATTTTGGGATAGACAAATATAAGCAGTTGAGTATACTAGATATATATAGAAATTAACACTGGTTATATTTGCATATGATCTGCATATACGCCATTTTTCATGAGTATTCCTGCATATTTTGAGATAAGTGATATGCAACATGTGATTATATTGAGACATGCACAAGAATATAAACTAACTACATTAGCATATATGGAGCCAAGATCGGTATATTTGACATTGCTTTATGATCATATGCAGCACAAAATATGCATATTTTTGCTTATTTAGGAGGACTGGTAGACGCTGTTTTGTGAATTGGGCATCAACCCAGGCATAAACGGGAGTTAAAACTGAATATACACGTTAACACAAGTTAGAAAAAAGTGCACATAAACAGTTTTAACGTTTTTTATACTTTATTTTAAATTTCTTTAGATGTGTATTTAAAATCATTTTCAAAAACAATGACATGATGTTCAATACTAAAAAAATATGATGAAACATTTTGATGGATATAGATAGGATTATTATGTTTTGGCCAATCCTGTATACTGCTAAACAAATATATTTACATTGCATTGTACATGATGTAACATTATATTTCTATCTTTAAAATGGTGCGAACTAATTATGCTCCAAATCAATGTATGCATATTGCTTGATCTAGAAAACTGTGTTTTTGTAGTTAGATATGGTCTGTCTTCCGGTAGCACATTCCCGTACGATACCGATTTCTGCTTTCCCCATTCAAACTCCTTTCTTCTACAAGTTTCTCAATATCTATGTAAATTCAGCTATCACATGATTTCTTTTTTGCGAGAAATCTGTCACTGCACACAAATACACTGCTCTGGAGACACTGCTCTGAAAATACATAGACACTCCTGTGTATTTTAATCAATGATACAAAGACACCAGTTTATAGCATACTGTTCAGCCATACAGTATAATGGACCTTCCAAGACAATCAATTAATTAAATTATCAAGATCAATGCCAAGTCTTATATTTACAACAATTTGCCAAGTGTCTTTATTGTGTTTTTTATTCATCGAACCTACTTATATCAAAACTCAATCATCTATCCATTAAGAGAAATAAAAAGAGAAATAAAAGTAAGCTAAACTTTCACTTACAAGAGGCTTCATCGTGTTCCAGGGTCTGGCGTGGAGCAAACGACTGTCTGGCTAAATTGCGCCAATGTGTAGGCATTCTCACCATATGGCTTTATATTTATTGACTACTCGTAGAGCAAGCAAAGCAAAGTAAAATGTCAACCACCTTTGTGCGTGTCACGTACGATCATTACTTGTGCACAATAGCTCGGAGACATGCAGCTTGCTCAATATCCACCCTCCCATAATCTTCAGTTATTCAATAACAATAGATATTGTTAAAACATGAAAGACTAAATTCTGCAACATTTTGCTGCTATATTGAACAATCATAATGCTACATATTGATGAACCCATGATTTGACATCTCTAATAAGTAATCTAAACATAAACAGTGCTAATTACCTGACACAATTGCACAATTGTTGCCGGATGTTTGGAGAAGCATTCGTGATTTGTATAGAATTACCCTTTCATTCTTGGCTTTCAAAATACAAACTAATAATTCACTTTTTATGTATTCAGTTTTAATTTCAAATAATAAGCTTATTCATAGAATTAAATCTGAATGACATTCTGGTGATTTAAGAATTGTATTAATCTTGGACCCCCTCCCGACATAATATCTCTTTAATAATCTGCAATCAAGAAATTGATAGACATACTTTAATCAGATAAATGGCTTATTTAGTTGTTAAGATTACTGATAAAGTGTTTGTTGGAACCCTTATTTAATATTTGTGTAGGCCTTGATATATATCTTATCTATATAGGGATTCAGCAAGGAATTATTGGGTCAAATGTATTTTCCTCGCTAATGCCTAGGTCACATTTGCTGCAATTCATCGGCCCGGTTGAGTATTTTGTTCCAAACTGAAATATCTGTTGCAATCAAATGTTTCAAAAGCCATTTACCATGATTTAAGCAAATCATTAAAGTCTCAATAATAATCATTAAAATCTCAATATTTTATTTCAACAAATGCCTTGATCTCAGATATTACTTTCCCATGGATTTAAAAATCATCCCAGCACTAATTATAAGTAACACCATTGAACACAAGCCGTCTGATTGCATTACTTGCTAAAATAACATCCTTAGAAGTGAACAATACAAACAGCTGATTATAATCTAGCTAAGTCCCCCCCCCGTGGTATCCATGCCCGCCTTGTTATATTCTTAAAAATGTTGAACTACCTTTTGTATTCCTTCAGAGATAATCGGTTAATTTCTGAATTTAACAGAAATTTAATTATACAATGTAGCACGGGGACTATACAATCATTACATACATGTAAACTTACCTTGCAAAATAATTTTTATGCGGAAATTAGAACCACCGGCTGTAGAAATTAATCCATATAATAACTATAACAAACGGATTAATATTAGTGAGAACTTAACTCATTTGCAAGAATTGAATAATAAGGGATTAAAGTTTTGTATATTGCTCTGGCATGTCAAAAGGTATTTTTTGTTAGTTTGCTCTACCATGCACAAAACTTAATAATTGATCTGTCAAATGAAACAGTTGCAATAAATGTGCCCGTTTCTTTATCTTTATTATCAAATAATCAATTGAGCATACCGAATCTTTCAAATTTCGTGAATATATTTGGAAATGAGAAACAAAGCAAGATCCAATTCGAAATGGAAACAAGGCTATCTCTGATAAAATGCATTACAGAAAACATGTATTGTGAAATATATTGTTTGCAAGTTTAACTCAGTAAAGTCACCTGAATAATGTATGTCCCCTAATATCTTATTACACAATTGAGAAGAGACTGAGGCAATTCATCATATTACAGGCTCGTCGTGAGCTTTTGCCTGGGGGGGGAGGGGGGCTCACATACTTTCAAAAAAGTTCATTTTAAACGCAATTGATATTTCATGCAAAGATCATGTAGAATATAGATTTTAGTGTCAAGGTTATCTCATTTGATTTCACAAAATGGCTCACCTTATAACCTTATGTATAATCACTATTTGAACCAGGGCAGAGTCAGCAATTGTTCAGGGGGTGAGATTTCTTGGGTTTGCCTAAATGCGATGCCGAACGAAGCGAGGCCCGGAACGGCGTTTACCCCCGGAACTTTTGGATGTCGACGTCAATGTTTTTTCATATTTTGCAAAATTGCTTTTTCTTATTGAGAGGGTGGGGAATGCAAGCGCACGTGTCACCCCCCCCCCGCCTTGGCTACGCCCATGCGAACCTACACCCAGCTGTAAACAGGTATGGGAATTATGTTAGAATGATCACGACATAGATAATGAGACGGAATGTAGCCTGTATAACTGTTGATTCCCGGGTTTTGTCTCTTCATTCTCATATTGTCAAATTATCAAAAAATGACATTTTGTTTCACAAAACTGCACCGAAACATAGAAATGTACACGAAGGCAACCGCATTTACAACCTATAGTTCTGAAAAAGCAGCATTAAAAAAGCCAGTTTCAAACTGAAGTTAAAAAGCCGGCTTTTTGATACCCAGTTTGTAAAATTCAAATTGGAATACTATCTTTATTTTCCATTTAAACTTAAATCAATTTATTATAAACAAACTATCCGGGCAAACTATGACCAAGCATCGGGAATAGAAAACTCATGTAAATGAGTTATATAAGACAATGAAATCAACACTGATTGAAACATAAACACTATAAAATCTTCTTTCGATTCCATTACCTGTCATAATTTTTTTTTAAATACCGACTTTACCGGGAGAAATTTAGCATGGGCTTTAATTCAAAGGCAAGAATGTGTTTTGATAACTTATTAAGCGGATTAAAAGCTGTTGGACGTTGCTCCAGTGATTTATATTTTATGATTTTGAATTGATGTGTGGATTATAATTGAAATCGAAAACATGACCAAAAAAGTCTAGACTTCCATTTGCTTTGATCATGAGGAATTGGAAACAATTAAAGCGGCGATTTGAAAAAGTAAAAAATTGAATTCCCATGCATAATCCAAGATTTAATACCTTCTCAGGAAGAATTAGGTTGCATTGAGTAGAGATAATAAGTTCAGCGGTGTAGCCAGCTTTCGGTCGGGGGGGGGATAGCCATACAAAACACGTGTTTGCACAAGCTATTTGTATTAGCAACTTTTGATAACTACAAGGAAGATCTCTCTTTTCTGGCGCGACTGTAAAGTTGTCCAAAATCATAATCATAATTATAGTAAAAATATATCATTTCAAAATCCATCTAGTTGCTTATTATACACAGGTAAAGTCATATTCATTAACATGGCCGTCGCCAGGGGGTCGCGTCGGGTGCGCTTGCACCCCCCCTTGAGTTTTGCCTCGTCGCTTTTTACAAAATTTGACTCGTCACTTTTTTTTATTTGCCTCAGAAAAAACGTGAATATTTTGCCTCAAGTTATTTGTAGCACTTTCTCCATGGCTTTGACGCCACTTTCCATACGAGAACCTGGAATGTCACTCTGATTAATACCCAAGATCTATTAAAAATGAGAGAGAGAGAATGTTTCGTTCTCATAAACTTCCGGTTGTAGCATTGCGCGAATAAATTTGGCCATGATACTTTTAGTGTATTGCGCAACCTTTTCAAATTTGCGCAAGAAATTTTATCCCGCCTTCAACACTGAACGAAAAGCACAGTTGAGCACAAATCTTCTGTAAATGCTCCAATTGATTTCTACAGATTACGATATAATTTGGATTAGTTGTGAGAGGATGATTTGTAGAGGTGATGAATGTAAGTAATAGTTACTTTTTGAGCGTAAAAATACTAAAAAATAAAAACCAGAACAGAAGGAACAAGACGATTAATTTTCAAGTTTTTTGAGAAGAATATTGCTGTGTTAGCGTGGTCGTGTCCATTATTAGTGTGGGGGTGGAAGGATTCGTTAAAAATTCTCTCCTCTTTTCTGTTGATGAATAATCAAGATGCATACACCAATTTTTAACAAGATACATTTAAATAAACATGTTTCGCATATTTTGCGTATTTATATGGAAGAAGCCAACCACTCAAAAGTTGTCTGCTAAGCTGACACCCCTTTCTCTTAAATATATTTCCCCCATTCCTGAGTTTCACTTTTCACGATTGTGTATTTTTACAACTGCCACTTATTAAAATATTCGCCAGAGTTGTGTCTCTATAGGTATGGAACCAATACATCTGATTCTTTTAAGCCTATTTCACTTTATTTTCCTTTCGTCATGTGCTGAACTCTCCTGTATTTAATATAGATTATCTATATACAAATCATATTCCCGGGATTTACCTCATTAAAGGCAGGGCAAGTGCGTCAGCATTTGAAGGCGTTTGCCAGGATCAGAACCACAATGACAGAGGAGAGACTTTCAGATTTAGCTATGATATTTATTCACTATGACCATGACATTTCTTTGGATAAAGTAGCAGATTTATTTGCATTTTTGCATCCAAGGAGGTTAAAATTGACCAGTCTTTTGTATGAGTGAAGAGTAACGATAGATTCAGATCTAGGAAGAAGTCACTGTCTACAAAAAATTGTCTCAATTTTACCAGGCTCATATCATTCCTTTTCATTTATATTTTGGGAGTTTTATAACAGATTGTAAGAGATACATTTTTTTGTTTATGTAGTTTTGTCACTTCTTATAGATCTGATTCTATCTTTAACTATGTGACTAGTCAACAAACAACAGTATTATGGTGGTTTCTTTAGAATATGTTGGTGCTATTTACTTACATACAATACATGTAACAAGTTACAGATTGTAAGTGAAAATATCTGTAGAAAACTTTGTCAACTGTTTTGTCAAAATATTAGTAAGAAATATGTCCTAGCATTGACTGATATATCACCAGTCAATTCATTAGTTATATGTAACATGACTTTTTGTTTGTTGTAATCTAAAAGCTATATAAGGCTGAATTGAACATCCTCAAGTTGATGTCAAATTAAAGGAATTTTCAGTATTTAAAGGTTGTACATATACTGCATTGCATTAAATTGCCATGATATTTAAAATGTCATTTCCTTGTAAAATGATATTTAAGATCTTGATCCTTTCCTTTTAAAATGCTTTTTTGTGAAATGTAATCTTTAATAATATTGCAATGGTGCCATGGGGTGCCAAATCAGTGAGACTTACTGTAACAGAGTATGGGGTATCAAATCAGTGAGACTTACTGTTACAGAGTACATAGCCTTGCAATGGTATCTATACAATTTTGTTTTGATTAAGACTCATTGTTAGGTCCATTTAAAGAATTATAAAGAGGTTAAAAAGAGTTGCCAATATTCAGTATTTTACTGCATTGTCATGAGACAAGTTTTGATTATTATGGCTGTTCAAAAGAGTATAACATGTCTTAATAAACCATATCTAAGTCATGTTTTTGATAGTTATTCACAATGGTTAATCACAATGTGATATCTGATATGGCTAATAAATAAATCAGTTTGAAATATTAGTAATCTAGATGATGTGAATGTTACTTTATGCACTATACATGATGTGTGAGTAGATTTTGTCCCATTGACACTTTTTGCCGCGCTTTCGATTTTTTGCCTCATTGAAAGAAAAAATTTGCCTCATTAATCTGAAAAATTTGCCTCATGCACCCCCCCTTGAGAAATCCTAGCTACGCCAGTGATTAAGAACTACGGACGGTACTTACATTCTTTAGTTGTATTGTTTTATCATGCTTAAAAGAAAAATACGCACAAATAGTCTGTTTTATATTTGTATGCTCAATTATAAAATGAGCAGTGCAACTTAGAAATAGCTTAATATAATCAGAAAGAAGCAATTATAATGTGTGAATATATTGCACAGTTACAGAGTATTGCGTTTGCATATATTTGAGTATTCTTAACTTCACATATAATCAGTGCTTATATGTGCTGTTCTACAAATAAAGGGGAGCAATACCTGAATATACAGAGTGTTCCATATATGCAGCGAGTATTGTCTCTGTATTGTCTCTGTTTATATGTGCTGAGTATTTTTGCTGATTACTGCTGATTACAAGAGATTCTTACAAATAGACACTGCTTATAACAAAGCAATATTCTCTATTTTATATAGTGTTCTCATCTATATAACTTTATGAGACTCACTTTTTGCGTCTGATAGTTGCAGTGACAGAATTGCAATTTTCTTGATTTGAGCTCCTCGCATGGCTTCAACGATGGCCTTTATTGAATCACTAAAGAGTGTTGTCGGGTTCCATTGTACGTTAACACCAACGCAATGAACAATCGCATCTGTATCTTTGAAATGAGGTAACATACTCGATGTGTCAAATATGTTAACCTTTTCTATCTAGATATAAAAGTAAAAACAAATGTTGCATAAGTGGTGAAACTTTAGAAATTATTAGTTTTATTCCAAAAGTGAATTTTTTATTTTATTATCTGATGACTAGGGAGGTTAAGTTAAACGTTTTTAAGAGAATCTGTACGTGACCGTGTGATATTTAGAATTTTCGACTCCCGGGGATTACTGTCCCACCATCTTCTAATACAGAAAAGACTCCTCTTGAGGATATTTGTGTGCTGGGAAGACTTTTCCAAGACCTAATTTAAATTATTTTCCGTATACCTTTATTCACTTGTAAGTAAAATCCACAGAAAACCACAATCCTTCACGTTCGCGTACACGTTTTTTAAATACGTGAATCTAACCTTCCTAATATCTAATAAATTAGGCCTATGTATGGCTAGTTTTGTGTCATATTTATTTACGTGTATATATCCTTACTCTAAACGATAGTGAAGATTGCCAATGACTTTATTCAGTGAAATACCTGTAGACGTTCGTGTTTAATGCTCATTTTTTCAGGGCTCCTAACGAGAGCCTTAACTGCATGACCGGCATCAAGCGCTTGCTGAACCACCCTCGTTCCTGTCTGCCCAGTGGCTCCAAGAACAGCAACTCTAATCATACTATCCTGTTGTATAGTATGAATTGCCTTTTATTGAGAGATGCAGATTAAATATACATGTACTGTAGTTGCACATTATGAACTATTCTTGTTTAAGTGCATAAAGTGTATTTTAATCGTGTCCTTATACAAATACACTGAACAACCTACGTCCTTGAACCTAAAGCTCGTGTTCTCAGTCCTGTTGTTAATGGGTATGGATCGTCTTTAGATAAAAACAAACTATGCATCCAGCTGTATAAGAGGGGCAGTGATATGTCGTAAATAAATAAAATAATGCCTATATTTCTCGTGTACATATTCTGTGGTTGAAGGTCTCATGGTACTTAATTAAAGAGGATTTTTTTAACCAAGATACAAGAGAGTTCTGTCTTGATAGACCTCCAGTCAGTTTAACTAGTTCCACATATCATTTACATGACCAGGGTCACAATGTACATGCTCAGATTGACCCTAAACATGATGAAATAACTTTTTCAGCCCTCTGAAGATATGACTGAAAAATAGCTTAAAGATTCTCGCAATCTTTATCCAATCAGCGTTTGCGATTGTGTCGGCTCATGTATAAAAGGCGAATCCAACTCAAATCCATGCAGGGGTGTATGAGGTACTCGAATAGGAAAGAGCTCGTGAAATCTGAATTTATATGCACATGGTCAATGTTTACACATGTTTGGAGTTATTGAAGAAAATGTGATATGGGTGTGGTTCCGAATTTGAAGTCATTGCTGGAAAATGTGATTTTAATACGTGAAAGTATATCTATAAATACAGTTCTAAAAATAACAGTACACATGAAGTACATGTATGATTGTGTCCAGAAATGTTTGAAACCCTTACGGAAAATTCTGTCTGCATTTTGTCACCATTGCTCTTTCTTCCCGCATTCTAGTGCTGTTTGAATGAATATATTGATTAATGTATTTCTAACTAAAATATATCACATTTTTTTAAAAACCACAAACATTTAGATCATAAAAAATTATCCAATACTTGAGTGAGCACGATATGCAAGGGTTACTAAGTTGACACAGTAAATGACCACTGATATGTGTTAGTCCATGCACACAGCGTATTCTGCTAATACATTTTGCTAACACCCCCACTTTCATAGTGAAGTGACTAATTGGTTTATGTTTACGTTTTAATGTGTTTTTGGTTCCTTGTTACAGCAAGGTGGCCAGTAAAGTAGACTAACATGTTTGCATGGCAAGTTTTGATCGAATATGTGAGACACTTTAAAGTAGGAGCTTAGGAAATGTCACTGAACAGAATCTTTTGATTTTAAAAACATGCCGACTATTTTTATAAATGATACGAGCTTTGGAATTTTAGAAAATTATCTGTAACAAAATTGGTGGTCATAAAAAGAAAAATAGATCGCTTTTCAATTTTTTTCTTTTTCTAGGAATGATATCAAATTTTCAAAGCTCGTATCATTTAGAGCAATATATTAAGCACATTTTCTGATTATGAACGATTATGTTCAGCAACCTTTCGTTAACGGTTCTACATTTAGATATTTTTCAGTCACATTTTCAGAGGGCTGAAAAAGTTATTTGAACGTGTTTAGGGTCGTTCTGACCATGTGCATTGTGATCCTGGTCATGTAAATGATAGGTGGAATTAGTTAAACTGACTGGAGGTAAAATAGGAGGTTAAAATCAAGCATGGTGTTGTCACTTCCTATTTTGTCATTTCCTGTTAAGTACCATGAGACCTTAAATATGACATTGATAAACCATTATCCATATCACATAAAAGTGATTTTGCAAATTAATCTATATTTATTCTAATTGGCATGTGCATAGGTATTCTATTCTTTGAAAGAAAATAATAAATCGAATTGATCAGCAACTTTTATTTATAAAATAACAAAAGATTTGTTAGTACAAAATTCTAATTGATGAAAACAAGTAAAGAATGATGTTGAATAAATAAATATACAATGAAACCTGTGTATAATGAACACTTTTGCCTAGAAAAACGTTCAGTGTTGGTAGGTGTCACTGCAAAGAGCGTAATGTATATAGAAGTCAGTAGTGCGGAGGAAGGGTGTCTACTAGAGACAGGTGCTAACTAAGACAGGTTTTATTGTACTAGGAGAAGAAAGGGGATTGAACGGAAAGGCCACCTTGAAATAGTGAAACAGAATTATCAGTTTCACTGAATCTAGGACCATGCCAATATATGTTCCTTTATCTGGTATATATAATACTATCAAAATGGCTATACTGTTTTCTGATTAACCCAAGAAGAATTGGCTCCCAGAGTGCAACATCGATATTTTTGCCATATATGGGCACGTATTGATTACATTTTTTTATTTCTAACAGCCGCCATTTTGTTCACTTCAACATTTGAATCGTGAATTTTGGTCTGAAACGAAAAATTCCGAAACACATAAGAAATGACCGACATATTGGTCTTTTGGACTGTTTATACTGAATTTATAGTCGGTTATAATTTTCATTGTTGGAAAATATCCTGGGATCCTGGGAGCCATTTATCCTCCTTAGATTAACCGTAATGTATGATGTGTGTGGCCATATCATCGTTTTGTGTGAATTATACGTTATGCATTTCGATCTGCTGTTTCCTTTTGGCCGTTTGTGCTCCTACGTTCATTTTACTGCATTAGTAATTCCTGATTACAATTTAGAAACAAATTGATCAAACGATGGAAAAGCTTCAATTGTGTTACATAATTTATGTCACATACACGTAAATGTATATTTGCAATCTATCATTCAAGTTAGGGCCAGGGGTCCGTTTTGGTACCATCTCCTAACTTACCATTCTTCGAAACCATTGTATACCTTTGTTGGTCACCGATTTCAAAAACAAATTGTAAACAGTTAGAATTCCTACATCTATCCGTTTTTGCCTAATCATTTTTCACATTTAAAAGTTTAGCCATAGTTTTTATTTGTTGTTCGAATAGTTCAGGAATCGGGCCAGGATCTGCAATGACAGCTTTGTCTGCTATAAGACCCATCCTTACCTCTCCAGCATAACTAAGGATGGATATCCCAAGACCTGTAAAATTGGAGAGAATACTAGTAATCGATGTTTAAAACAGGAAAGAACGGAATCAATCCTTCAGGAACTGCTACCGGCCATTCGACCGAAAAATACAGTTTTGTTATAAAATTTGAAGATTAGGTGTAAGAAAGGCCATTTGGCAGGACTACAAAGTTTCGTTGTCATTTTAAAATATGTAACGCTTGATATTATCTTCTGACAAAGGATCATCATGGCACCGACCTCACTGGTCATTGATTATGTTTCATCAGTTAAGGCGCAAGATTCAATAATATTTACACGAGTCAACTCACCAACATTAGCTTTTTGTGGGGGCCAGAAGATTAAAGTAGTGATCGCTTGTCCACCCAGTCGTAGTACGTGCTGTGGCCCGGGAACATTTGACAGAACCATAGTGCTCTTCTCCGATATCGCCTTATACAGAGGTCTAGTAAGCGCAGTCGGGAAGCGACTCATAGAATATTTTATCATCAGTTCCGAAACTAAAGGTTCTGGGGATGATTTTATCGCATCCATGTTTGATTTTGTGTATTTAAGCCTTTGCATAGGGTCTTCTATATTGGTTGGTAGGGGAAGATACACTAAACCAAAGTGGTTCTCAAGTGCCTCGTCCATTACGGGGCCTCTTAGATCAACAGGAATCATCGCAAGCATCGATTCGGGAACCGGTAAGTCATTATCCGTGAGATGTTTCCGTAAAGCACCACCAAGACATGCCATTAATACGTCGTTTACTGTAGCCTTAGCCGCATTCTTGATTTTCTTGATAAGAGCAAGATCAATAGGCCGCGACCAAGCTACGTTTTTCTCTCCGGAAACCTCAGGGCCATGAAGTGCACTATCGTCGGCGGGCCATAAAATTCGCTCCAGTAATATATAAGGTCCAAAGAGGGCCGCCATCGCAAGCTGTGCTACTTTATTTTGACCTCCAAAATTTTTATTTGTAATCTTCTGATCGGATGGATCCTTGTCAACGATACGCGTAATAAAAAGTTTCACCAAGGACATGCCATCTGCCAGAGCATGGTGAAACCTCAACAGAAATGCATATTCACACGATCCGTCATCCGGGTCATCAACGGGAATCTCAGGAATAACAATAATCTCCCAAGCTGCTTTTTCGGGATCAATAGCTCGCCATGACAACATGCTGATAATTTTCTGAACATCGTTCTTAGTTTTAGGTAGCGCTCCCTCATATTGATAAACATGGTCTTTAATATCAAAATTATCCTCGTCAATGAAAACGTCTCTGTGGTACTTCTTTACAAACTTTTGTTGAAGCTTTCGATACAGTAACTCTCCTTTACTATTCTTTGCATTGATCAACCTGTCCATAAGAATCTGTTGAAGTTTGGCTATATCGGGACGCCCTTTGAGTACAGCTATTGCGTTAATAATGGCCTTATTCTCGGGGCTGTCTTGAAGCCAAATCGCGTCTCCAGCCGGTACCAGATCTGCGTGACCCTTCACAGCATCTGGAGAGTTAAGGATCATCCTCTTTAAGACAAGACGGTAAATCCTGAAGTACAATGAGATTGGCAGCAAGACCGGTAGCAGCAAAATGAGCCCAAGAAGCACCAAAAGGGCTGATACATAATACAGGACGCTTTTGATGGGATTCACTGCCATAATTGTTTGTAGTTTGTATGCTTTTGTGAGAAATCTATAGATTACGCACAGGGATCATCAAATTCTGTATGCAATACGTTCTAAGGGTTTGCATGAGTGTTCTATATAGTGTTTACCGCTATTGTATCGACTGGATGGGTTCCCTACGTACTACGGATGTCAACCCAGTCCTACTCGTCGTTTTCACCCACGTCCGGGCTTTAATTTCCTCAGGTGAGCGCCGGTTGTCATATGCTGTGGACTTTCACCGCTCAAAGATCACCCCCGACAAATCCAGATTTGGAATCCTGATCTTTCAAAATTGAAGAATATATTAATTGTATCGTCCGATCCTTATTATCACATCAAAATCATTCCAAAATCATTCGGTTGATATTTGTATCAGCCTACACTCAAAAGCAAGGCAGCTGAATTTAAATATCGCACACGTATGGTATGGTTGTTTATCATGACCCTTATTCATGTACATTTACACATGATATGCTGAATATTTAGTATAGTCATCTACCAGTCATAAAGTAGAACTTAGCACATATCTTACTCTTATCTTATTTATGCCTCGATAAATCATCAACTAAACATAACTTTAATGAAGAACTTTGCCACAGATAACAGGGTTACTTTAATTAATTCAATTTTGATTTGATGTCATAACGAGACACATAGAAATGTGTCTTGGTCCAAAGGTATTGCAATTCTTTCCATAAGCTGAGCGAGGCACTGTCTTGCATTGAAGGATGTATCAAGCCCGTGTCAACATTTCTTGCATCCTCTATTTTCGTACGAAATAATCTGACCAATATCATGAACGAAAGAATGTCCTGGAATCTATAGAGTATTATACTAATTTGTTTATTTAGAACATTTGAATACCGTTTCAATAAAGGAGCTAAAATTCAATCGCTTTTAATATTTGATATGATAGTCAGTACTTTTTCTGATGTAAAATAGATGTCACGACATTCTACACTACAAATGGTTCTAAGTATTGACATCATGTATTTATTTTGTCTGTGACATCTAGGTTAATATGTGTTGACAGATTTTGGCATATACAATATGAAAAACATTTAATATGCCTGGAAATTGATATTTTCAAGCAATACGGTGTTTAGGGGGTGGAAAAGTCGGACAAAAAATGGATGATTCGTTCTTAATTTTCATATCTCTTTTACAATGAATATGCACTTTGGGGATAGCAGATATAATTTCATAACAATCGCAAGACGACAGACTAAACAATTGTTTTTTCAATACGGTATTGTAATGCAACTACATGTATTCTCAAAGTCGGAAGAAAGTATATAGTAATCAATTCCACCTTCTGTCATCATGATTTAAACTATAAGTTGCTAGCTTCCTTTAACTGTTGTAATATTTCCTCATTGCAAACCACGACAGTTCATATTTATCCGACAAATCAATTTTGACTCCGAGACCAGTTTAAAATGTACATTTTTCAGAAATATTCTACGAAATATTGCTATTTTTATGAATGTAGGAGTATAACATCAAATACTTTCTCCCAAATTAAAAATACACATTGCTGATTGGAAACTTGAAATCACGTGATGATTACATCTAGGAAGCAATGCATACCTCCAGTGACGTGTACTCACTAAGCCCCTCAGCATCAGTATTGGAGTATTCAGTATCCGAATTTCCTCCAGTGGAATAGGACTCGTACTTCAAATATACGACAGGTGAACAAGGTAAAAATCACGTTCATTTGTTCAAGTGCTGGACTTTGAGATATTTATTTATGTTTTAATCAATCAATACTCTCCATCTCTCTGTCTGTCTGATAGCTGGTAAGTAAACTAAAATACATTTTTAAGAAAAACTAAAGGAAACGATTGAATGATAGGGAATTCTATTTGAAACTATTGATGTTAAACATACTTGCTATTTTTGGCTACTAAACAGGTATGTTGTGTTTTCGACGCTGTACATCGATCATTCATAATCGGGTTAAAAAACGAAAACGAGAAAATACATATATTCTAGAGCTCATTTGTAAGTTCGCTGGTTTAGGAATGTTCTTGAAAATCTGGAAGGATTTAGGGTAATGTATTCCAGGCAAACATTGCATGACGCTTCCTTGGGTTGCATTTCTATATCAGAAGGGGCTCAATGTGCCCTAACAGTATGAAGCTATTTCCGCTCAAGACATGCTGCACTAAACATGTGTTAACCTTTGACATTACAGATCCTGTTTTTTATTAACTTATTTGAATATTATATTTTACATTATGTTAAAATTTGTTTATGAAAATTTGACCATAACAACACAGTGTAAGTGTACGGCGGCAAACAGACATAGTTGATTTTAATTAATTGTTCCTTGATATCTTGTTTGCTGAGTAATTACGACTCGGACCAGGATCTCAATTTGGCAGTTTATTACAAAATGTTTAAATGATAAGACTTGTTATTGTTACCTACAAATGTTATAATTGCTTATTTGATAATTCTACCACATCAACAGTAAAGTGTTCTGCGGGTACATGTAAACAATATATTCCACCTCAATTCTTATATACAACAAGATATGTATTTACATCTTATCCTTTTGCTTTTGAGACAATCCAAAATCAGTTACACTTTCAAAAATTTGAAAACGGTTCCAAATTGTTCAGTAATCCAGAAATCCGGGTTCTGCCAATCGTGGTGGATTCCTGATGCATCCCTGGTGCAAGTCTAGCCTTCTTTGCCAATATTTTCTCTGACACTCAACGTTGAGATAACAATTTGTTATTCAATATATGGCTAACTGATTGACATTCTACCACTGTCAATAAAATAGTGTTTATACCGAATAGTGAATACCCTGCGCGCAGAGTCAAGTACCGAGGACGAAGCTCTCTTTTAAGAAGGGAAGTAGGACGAATGCTTTTAGGGTAAAAGTGAAAATCTATTCATGTTTCCCATAATTCTTAACAATTTTGGGATCTGTGTAGTTTTTTACGACAGTAGTCGTTTGCCTCCGAAAAAACCTGTTATTTGAAAATCTTGCATTGATTTAATAAGTTCAATTTTTGCCCAGTTTACTACACCCTATACAGACGGTGCTTGCATCTTGCACAAGACGCTCGGTGCGGATATCATGCGCGCGCGGTTCGGAATTAATTGTCATTTTTTTATTTGAATTCGTAACATATAAACTAGGCGTATTAGGTATTCCGTTATATTCATAATTGTGAGGTTGATACCTACTAAAAAGGAAATTAAAAAATAAACGCATTCATTCTATAACGACGCGCATAAATGAATCAACACGGCTTGGTTTACATTTTAATTCATAGTTTCTAAATAGCAGAAAAATCAATGAAATCTAGTGCTGCCATCTTTTATTCAGCTTTTAATTTGGGCTAGAGTTCCATTCACTTACATGCTCAAATCTTGGAAAAGTGGCTTAAGTTTATGATTTATCAAAGAGTGTTAGTTTAATCTGTATAAAACTTGAATGATATACCAAATGATGACCCTGTTTATGTACATGTTATTTAAACATGCAAATGTTGGTTGACATACAAATAATCCGAGGTTTTAAAGCATTTTAGCACTGCATCTATGGAGATTTGACCCAAGTTTTTTTTCACAGAAAATTATTCAAATTAAATAACTGTGTAAATCAAAGCTATTATAGGAGAAAACATTTCACTGAATTCAAATATGCCATTTAAAAGAAGGTAATGTACGTCATTAGAGGTCTAATATGCAAATCTCTTAAAATATCACGAAAAACGAGATTTAGCGAGATTTCAAAAGCTATATAGAAACTATACCATTCTCCACCGCGCGCGCATATATCCGCACCAAGCGTTTTCTACAAGCATCGTCTGCATAAGGTGTACTAGCAAGTCCTGTTTTAATGTTGAACTGGAATATTCATATAAAAATACATCATTTTTTAAAAATATTTTTTTCTTTCGAGCATCCTCATCTAACTGTGATACAAAACTTGATTAGGCTATACGATGAGGTATATCTATACCTTTACTTTTGACACACTAATTGTAAACCAAATTCAATTCAACGTTTTTTCGCTACTCTAATTTTTATTTTGCCTTTAATTGACATGAAATGGATATTTCCAGGTTTTGTGGTCTTTCCTATACAATGAGGACCTTCATTTTGCTGGCTTGTTTTGCCTTGCTTGGACACAGCATCGCAGAGGTGAGCTATTGTCCTTGTGATTTTGGCCAATTCTATTTATAATATGGACACACATTACTGGCGACCAGGGTGTAGCTGATTTTAGAAGCATCAGAGATATGAAATAAAATAAACTGAGTATGTGCTTGACGGTCAGTGATCAGAAAGTTTTGTCATCGAATCTCATAGATCGTAGATCAGAGGTACATTAATATGTATAGCCTAGAAAATAACTTAAAGTAGTATTTTGACGTGGAAACTAATAAACGATGTTTTGGATTTGTAAAGATATGTATTTTGTGATGTTCACAACCAAAAAATATTTTTCAGTTATACTTCTTTCACAACCTCTATCCATCTTCTTTTAAAGGTCACGTTTCTAATCATTATCTCCTAGGGACTCTAATTCAAGAATCCTTGCTATCTTATATACATGCATCTCATGGGCCGTGTAGATTGTTGTTGCATCTCACCTCCAAATTTTTATACTGTTAGGCACTATTAAACATACCGGTCGTTTGCCCTACCCAACCTACTAGCACTGATAATTTCAATTAATTTTAGATTTTTCAAAATAGTATTTTATGTTTCAGGTATTAATGTAAATTCTAAAAAATATGTGAAATAATATCTTATCTCGACTTGGACCATGGATTCTGCATAATAAATACTGACAGAATCTTTGTTCTAGGTGCATACTTCGACTCGAAGATCAAGATGTTAAAAAAAATGTTCAACGTGTTCACTTGAAAAAATCTCACGTTGTGCTTATATTGGCCCCATGTCGTTTATATTTTCACATATCACTACACTTTCAACTTACAGTGCTCAGACTGATAAAATCGAAGCTAACTGTAAAACAAGTGTTTTGATTCTAAAATAGAAACACTTAAAAACAGGATTATATGTTTATATTATACCAGACGAAACGTCATGATTTGATATGTTCGTTACCTCACCAAAAATATGTTTAGTTTCAAAAGTGCCACGAGTGCTATCGTTTAGTATATCCTCTGGAAGTTCGTGGTTGGTTCGTTTAATTGCCGACCTACTTAGTACTTGTGAGATCATTGTTCTTTAAAACCACAAAGTCATTGCCCGATACTAGATTAGTACTTTACAACTTCTTCAACAATATTACATATATTTTGATCGCGGCCTTACCCCCAATATGAAAAATACTAAAATTGAAATGATTTTTTGGGTAAAAGCCATTGTGTCTTAATTGACATATTTTCTGGCATGTGTTGAACTATAATAAGTGACAATTTAGTGATTTCTTTAAAATGAAAAAAAAATCTTAAGTAATCTGGATCCTACACTTTAAAAAGTATTGGTTTATGTTTTACAATATTTGAATACCAGGTTTTAGATAATTTTATACTGATGATCACGATCATGATACCATATGTACGTCTGCGAGCGTCTGTATTGCAAAAGTGTGTTATGTTTTTACAGGCGCAAGGTTAAGATGTTCCCGTGTGTTCTCGTGTAAAGCGATTAACGTGAGAACAAATATAGAACATAACATTACCTTTGGGTTGAAGATGGGAATTGGTGATGGGTAACAGATATATGTTGAGAGATCATCTCAATGCTTAACTCAATCGTGCGTTTCAGCAGCATATTTTCGAAGATTGATTTTATAGACTCACTAAAATTGATCAGTGTAGTTAATATAGCCGAACCAAATGAGGTACAATCATTCAAAATTTGTCATGCTCTACGTATAGAGTCTAGTACACCATGCGAACATCACTGGCGGATCTGGGGGGATAAGTGGGCCTTTGGGCATTACTGGGCGGTTTTAAGTCTTATTTTTTAATTTTAAGTCAAATTATCGAGAAACTGGGCCCTTAATTTTCAAAATTTGGGCCGCTCTGGGGTATTCGGGGCCAACAATTTTTTCCACGCAAGTTGACAAATATTTTTTCCAATCTTTTTTTAGACTAGAAATGTGCCATTGTTCGTTTCCAGATCCGCCCCTGGTACACGTGGGATAATTATCGACTTTTAATGACCTCATGGAGAGAAGGTTTGCCTTGAGACGCCCCCTGATCTCATATTAACCGAAACATATTAGAGTTCATTCTGTTTTGAGGAATAAATCAAATACTGAAGTAGACACTCAAATATATGTTCATGTTGTTTGCGCTGTTGATGAATTGGACCTTACAATTTACACAACCAATAGTCTGATGTATGAACTCAACACTAGTCCAATCGCATGTAGATAAACGTTAAATGTAATAAATAAGCTCAAATGGAGTAACATCCCAATAGTTATAGCCACATCCCCACTGGCGGATCTGGAGGGCGGGGGGCGAAGAAAAAATTGGGCCTAAGAAAAAGGCCTTAAGGCCCCAATAAGTGGGCTTTTTGGGAAAAACTGGCCTCATTTTAAAAAAAAATTTCGGCCCACTTTTCTTTTTTAGAGCCCAAAACCTTTTTGACTAGAGTCCATTTCACTGCTTCATTGCGTCAGTAGAACGGCAAAAATAAGAAATTGGGAGACCATTGTGCAATAATATATGGAAAAGTATATTCATAATGTACATGAATGACATTTGTATATTTCAGATTTTTTAGTTTTTCGTGCAATAAGCCTGTGTCGTCTTGTAATTTGAAGAATTTCAGCCATGTTAATCGTATTGAAAATAACATGGCAGAGAAGCATCCAAATATAAGAGGTCACACACTTTATAAGCCAAACTAGAAGCAATCCAAGATATACAAATGTCATTCGTGTACAATAGGAATATATTTTCCCATATATTATTGCAAAATGATATTTTGATTTCTTATTTTTTAGCTTTACTGACGCAATTAAACAGTGAAATGGACTCTAGAAAGGCCCCTACTCTGTTGATTCTCAGATCCGCCCCCATGCATCCGTTTCGGGGCTAGAGGTCTGGTGGATCGGAGAATGGGGAGAGATCAGGATGTAGGATGATCTTTGAAGTTTCTATTTTGAGATATACACGAATTTATCAGGATGAGCTCGATTAGATTATTTTTGATTTGGTATGTTCGCGTATATTTGGTTTGTAAAAGATTGCTAAGCGTCTGACTGTATAGCTAGGTCATTCAAATAGTGTTGAGACAGTAGAAACTGTAACTTCTATCACAAAATATGATTGATGGATTCTCGTAGTGTAGTAACAAGCTTATTAGAGAACTGATACAGATAGACATAAAATTATAACCACCCAACAGCTAAGTCTCGTACATCAATGTCATGTCCCTCACCGAGGTTTCCACTTCAACGTAACACTGGAATAAATGTTGCCCATTTGTGTTATTTGGCCGTTGACCTAATTATGAAGTATTCCCTCACTAGAAATACTCTGCTAGATTTGCGAATTCAACTAACGGCTATCGGCTGATAATTTGGTTGCTATTTTATGACCTACAGTGAGCGGGTTTAACTCAATAACTGGCAACAATCGGAGAAAGAGTCGAAGGCAAATATACAAAGCCGGCTTTCAAAGCCGGCTTTTAAAGCCGGCTTCTACAGTACATCAGAAGCCGGCTTCTGGCGTCACCAAGAAGCCGGCTTTTAAAAACCGGCTTCGAATGACTTGCAGAAGCCGGCTTCTGCAGTTACCAAGAAGCCAGTTTTAAAAGCCAGATTCTCTCTCTCAATCATTTTGTTGTGCATTATGCATCTTATTCTCGTATAATTAGCATGGAAATGAGAAAAAATGAAAATAAGTAAAATTGTAACATATTGCAAGATTTTTTCCAAAAAGTAATTTCAAACCAAAACTTTGGGGGAAATTTAATTCTAAGTAAAAATATCGATGAATTAAATCATGTTCGTTAATTGATAAAAACGCATCGCTCATTTTACAAAACTGGCTCCAACTTGGAGCCAGTTTGCAAATCAGCTCGCTCCATCTTACACAAGCTATGTAGGGGCAATCTAGCAACTGGGAATCACGGGATACTGTTTCATGATAATTGTTATGTGCATTATGCATCTTATTCTCGTATAATTTGCATGAAAATGAGAAAAAACTGAAAAATACGTAAAATTATTACATATTTCAAGATTTTTTGGAAAAAGTCATTTCAAGCCAAAACTATGACAGTAAATTGAATTCTAAGCACAGATATCGATGAATAAGATCACATTCATTAAATCAGAATAGATTATGCATTGCATTTCCGTTTAATAAAAACGCACCACTCACTTTTCAAAACTGGCTCCAACAAATCAGCTCGCCCCATATGACAAATGCTATGTAGGTACAATCTGGTAACTGGGAATCACGAAATACTATCTCACGATTATTTTTATGTGCATTATGCATGTTATTCTCGTATAATTTGCATGAAAATGAGAAAAAACTGAAAAATAAAATTGTAATATATTTAAAGATTTTTTGCAAAAAGTCATTTAAAGCCAAAACTATGAGAGAAAAATCAATTCTAAGTAAAAATATCGATGAATTAGATCATGTTCACCAAATCAGAACAGATTATGCATTGCATTTCCGTTTAATAAAAACGCACCGCTCATTTTACAAAACTGGCTCCAACTTGGAGCCAGTTTACAAATCAGCTCGCTCCATCTTACACAAGCTTGTGTGATCTAATTCATCCATATTTTTACTTAGAAATAAGTTTTCTCTCATAGTTTTGGCTTGAAATGACTTTTTGCAAAAAATCTTGAAATAAGTTACAATTTTACGTATTTTTCAGTTTTTTCTCATTTTCATGCAAATTATACGAGAATAAGATGCATAATGCACATAGAAATGATCGTGAGACAGTATCCCGTGATTCCCAGTTGCTAGATTGTCCCTACATAGCTTGTGTAAGATGGAGCGAGCTGATTTGTAAACTGGCTCCAAGTTGGAGCCAGTTTTGAAAAATGAGCGGTGCGTTTTTATAAAACGGAAATGCAATGCATAATCTGTTCTGATTTAGTGAACATGATCTAATTCATCGATATTTTTACTTAGACTTCAATTTTTTCTTATAGTTTTGACTTGAAATGACTTTTTGCAAACAATCTTAAATTTTTTGTTATAATTTTACATATTTTCATGCAGATTATACGAGAATAAGATGCATAATCCACATCAAAATGATCGGGAGACAGTATCGTGATTCCCAGTGGCTAGATTGTCCGTTAATAGATTGTGTTTAATGGTGCGAGCTGATTTGAAAACTGGCTTCCAAATTGGAGCCAGTTTTGAAAAATGAGCGGTGCGTTTTTATTAAACAGAAATACAATGCATAATATTTTTGGAATTGATGAACGTGATCAAATTCATCGATATCCATGCTTAGAATTCAATTTACCCGTATAGTTTTGCAAAAATATGACAATATAAACTATATTCAAAAGCCATCTTCTGCAGTACGTCAGTAAGTAAGAAGCCAGTTTTAAAAGCCGGCTTCTTGGTCACTCCAGAAGCTGGCTTCTATTGTCCTTCAGAAGCCGGCTTTTAAAAGCCGGCTTCTTGTTGACTGTAGAAGCCGGCTTCTGTAGTACGTAAGAAGCCAGTTTGTAAAAGCCGGCTTCTTGGTGACTCCAGAAGCCGGCTTCTGTTGTCCTTTAGAAGCCGGCTTTTAAAAGCCGGCTTCTTGGTGACTCCAGAAGCCGGCTTCTATAGTACGTAAGAAGCCAGTTTGTAAAAGCTGTTTTTGCCTTCGAGTGCTTCTGAACAATCGAGATGTACGGAAAGTACTGTTCGTTTTTAAGTGAGTTGGCTATAAAATAGCGGTCAACCGACAGCCGGCTGTTGAATTCGCCATTGCTTGCTTTAATTGTTATAAATTCTGTTATCCGTAGTGCCCAAACACAAATTAGAGTGTAAATATTTGAGAAGCCGAGACAAATTTATTTCGATCTGCACGGATAAACATAGAAATAAAAGCTATGAACGTTCTATGAATCCCAATTGTCCCCAATGAATTTGGCAAATCATGTAGATGTTTGTAAATTGTGTTCCACCAGGAGGACCATGTTGTTCGAGTTCCTAGCATTTCAGGTCATAAGTCCTATTATTCACAGCTTGAAACAGTTGCGGATTTTAAAATCATGACCACCTCATAAAATATGCACAGTACTTGAATGGGGTTAGTACACCCCCTTTATAAAGTTTAGCGTTAAGATATCTCTCCCATTGGATCATGCGTTAAAGCCTGTACGTGAAGTTCTCAAACACCCATCAATTATGACGTCATAAATGCCCAACTTAGAAACAAGATTTAACATGCTATTTAATGAGAGACAATGTTGCCGAAATTTTGGAAGGAGTGTCGGCCTATAAGAAATGTGAAAGCATTACATTAAATTGAATAAGGTGTTCAATGAGGGTTCTTGAACAATTCTTGACAAATTTTAATGTTTTTCAGGATGCTGTAGAAAACAAGGTAGACGCGGCAGTTGAAGAGGTGACGTATTTGTTGTCGTTATAACTAAGTAGAATTACAAGAACTATAGTAAATGTATTTCAGTAGAGTAGGAGAACGACCCATAATTTATTTATTCCAATGCCGCCCAAAATCTGGAATATGGGAATCTTCATTTATCTTTGTTAAGATAACTTTTTTTATATCCAACTAGCCCCCCCCCCCCCAGCAGTCTGCTCTTAGTAGTATTACCTGTAAAAATATTACACTCCCTTGCCCAAATAATAAATCACTCACAGACGTGTATTGATTGCACGAACACAACATACTGTAGACAACAACACAACACGGTGAACAAATATTCTCAGAATTTATTAAAGATGCTTAGCCTCAGTATGATAACTCTGCGTGCGATCATAACATGCAGAGTGTCTAAACACTTCTAGAATAACACACAATCTTTTTTTCAGGAGGATGAGAAATACAATCCTAAAACTGGTAAGTCAAATGTGAACATAAGTGAAAAAATCCACATCGCATGCAGTGATTTTAACAGGTGTTGCGTCTTAGAAAAACAAAATATAATTCGAACAATGATGCCAGTCTAATGCACAGACACATTTTAACCATTGTTTATTTAATTTACCATTGCTTATTTAATAATTTCTGAGCTCGCTGTCTGTTGAACTATATAGTTTTCAGGGGATTCCAACAGAGATATATGTCTAAGACAGAAAATGAGTCACTGAAAATCCGATTACTATATTTTGCTAATTGCTTGTACTTTGCACAAAATGGCCAAGGTCATTTTGAAATATTTGTCGGTGGATATGTCAAAGGTTGTATGTTATTTTAGATCCCTGTTACTCCAAGGAATGTCCTATTGGCAAGGAGTGTGTGATCAACAAAGAAGGGAAAGGACATTGTGCGTGTATGGAGGAGTGCCCAGAAGAGACATCAGAGAGAGCAAAAGTGAGGAAGTGGCATAAGCCGTAATAATTATACTCAGTGCCACCTATCGTCGCTTCAGATTTTAGAATGGTGGACCAAATACAACTTAATCAATCAGTAGTAGCCAAGTTTGAGATAATTATTATATTCTGTCGTTATCAGCATTATATTCCTTCGTTATGTAAACTATTATTTTGAAAAATGGTTTAAAGTTTTATTTCATGGCTTATTGTCATTATGTGCCTTTCCGCCTGATTCTAGGTATGCAGTACATCAAATATCACCTTTGACAGCGAGTGTGAGATGCACAGACAAAAATGCTTGTGTCACCACAAGAAGGATCTCTGCGTAGATGAAAAATACAAACATGTGAAACTAAACTATTATGGACCATGTAAAGGTAAACATTGGAAAGGTTTAGGAATTAATGTGGCGTTGCGAATGCCACTACATTAACAAATCTAAAATTTAGCACGGTAATCTAGTTTGTTTATACCTCATATTCAACCTGCTATAGGTAGTTTGCATTTCCATAAGTTTATTGGCACGAACCCTCCATTTTAACGAAATTGCTGCAAACATATGTGAGATTGATCCAACTGGGATGTCAGTGAGAGAATTTCTTGAGTCGAGTAACATACACGAAGCTGACTTTAATTCTTGTTATAAGCTAGAGACATCTATACTCAATACATGTATGAAATATTGCTTCACTGTTCTCTTGCCTCCAAAATTATGATTACTCGTGTGAATACGCATGATACAGTACGAAAAATGCCCTTTAAGGCTCTAAAATGGAGAGTATATAATTCAACTGCATTCATCAATCATGTTTGATAATTCTAGAGCAAGACGAATGCACAGAAGAACAAATGGCAGACTTTCCACTGAGGATGCGTGATTGGTTAGTTCTCGTCATGAAGAATTTGGTAAGCCCAACATACCATGCGTAAAATAGAATGTTACGTCCATTGTACACTCAGAACATTCAACTTAAGATTCATGAATCTAGCCTGAATACTCTAAAATTAGACACGAGCTTTTGCAGAAATCAAGCCAGAATTTATTTTCACTCGACTCAGCATGTTTTATGTTCATTTTTAATTGGCTCATGCTTTAGGCTGATCGAGGAGATCTGCCCGAAAAAACCAAAAAGCTGACCGATGAAAACGAGAAACACACAAAGAAATGGGTCCTTCCCGTTATATGGAAGTTCTGTGATCTTGATCTCGGTTTTGACAGGTAGGTTATGAACCAGTGACATTTAGTGCGTATTATAGTAGTTTTTTTACCTGACTTTTACTGTTTTAAAGGAAACGAAACGTGTTCAAATGTATGAGGTACGATTAACTTCTCTTAGTGTAAGTTATTTGCCCAACCCCAGTCTCAACAAAGGCTTTTTGCAGCTGTTCCTATCTTGAAATTGTCTTTGTTTTAGGCATTTGACTCATTGAATCATTCCTTGATCCTTTACACTAATTCATGCATGCTGTCTCTCCGTTTAAGGCACTTGACATACAGAGATCTCTTACCATTGAGCGCCCCATTGAAGACTCTTGAGCATTGTACAGGCCCCTTCTTAGGTCTCTGTGATAGCGACGACGATGGGGAAATCACTTTGAAGGAATGGGGACATTGTCTAGGACTTGAAGACGGTAATTTATCAGTGCACATCGTATTTTTTTATTTATGCTATATCATTCCATCCTAGTTTTTACCAGTTCTTTGGAGACATTCCTTAAAATATTCACATACCAATCCCAATAACAGAACGCTTACTGTGAAGGTTATAATTCAAAATCGGGTCAAGTTAATAGAGAGGTTACGGAAGCAATGTTTGGAATGGAATGGAAAATATCCGTCGCCAACATGTGAAATCGGTTTCGATAATTGGAGTTGAAAAAAGTTATGACAATTTTTCTCCTTTTCAAGGAGGTTTAGACCCTAAGGCTCTTTTATTCTTGTATAGTCAGAGGTGTATTTGGTGTCCATGGAAAGTAAAATCATTTGAGCATGTGTTATATAGTATCCCCGTGAAGTATTGATGTGAAACATTATTTCCCAAGGACAGAGTCACCGTATTTCATAAGATGTTTCATTGCGTAGTAATGTAAACAAAACGACAAATACGGAATGACATTAACTCCACCGTGTTTATTTTTCAGATGAAATTGCTGATAAATGTGATGAGATTCTCAATTAAATCAAAACCCTACAAGGACAGCACAGAAAAAACGTCAGTAGTAAAACCTACATGAAGGAGTTCCAACAATATGCAATATATTTCACTTAGACTTTTTATCAGAAGAGATACTGTGATAGTTATCTTCCTCATATATGTAGATCACATTGTGATCTAAATTTTGCATTTAACATTGCATTTAATTCAACGTTGCATTTTAAAACGTATTCAAGTATGTAGAACTTACTACAAAATACATTATAGGACTAGTCATTTGCCGTTTTCACATCTCTGCTAATTGATTAAGAAGTTTTTTGTGATACATACGAAATAGCTGCTTTTATATTGCAAGAAATAGAATGACTCAAATGAAATCAAATCAATCAAGAAGAACATGTAGATTACCAGGCAAGAGTAATGTAGAGTGTATGTTATGCAATACATAATTACATGTCACACGAAATATGTCATTGTCACAAATTTGATTATATTTGGGCCCATCATTTTGTAATTTCCAATGCCCAATATGACAACCAGGATTGAAACAATGTTTTCTGATGTTTCCAACACAAGTGTCAGCCATTTATTAATGGCGGGAAATTCAAATCTTTACAAAATATATATTTCAAATATATGAAATTCTATCTTCAATTGTCATAAGTTGTTTCAACTTTGTAATTTCATACATGCTGTCATATGTGTTTTCTCAGGTTTACGACCTTTAAGCTTTTATTTAGAATACTTTATTTTGGCTATCAGTTGGAGCAAAACTATATTTCCCATATACTAGTATTAAAGCGAGGGACCAAAGGGGCATATTGATTCCATTTCCTGTCTCTTAGTGAAAAATAAGCTGGCACCCTGGTCATTTCTTTTTAAATTATATAAAGGACATATTCATCTTTACTCGTCCTTTTTGCCTATCAGTGAAAATAAGCTGGCATCCAGGCCCTTTCTCTATGAATTATATAAAGGACATATACAATGGGAGCCAAAAAGGTAACCCAAACAAATCTTCATAACTCAGTCGTCCAGTATGGGTTTAAAAGTCATATTTGGCACAATGGAGCCTTGTGCTATTTTCTATCATTTTCTGTTACGTTTCATTAGTCTATAATGATCACGATTTTATGGGCATTTTACAAAACATTTTACACCATTCGGAATAGACCAATGAAACAATGAAATGGCCAATGGAACAATGAAAGAACATTGAACACAGTTCGATTGCGCCAAATATGACTTTAAAACTGGAGTTATTAAGATTTGATTGGTTTACCTTTTTGGCTCACCCTGTATATCTTTACTCATTCTTTTTGTCATTGACACGGTGTTGAGCGAAAATAAGCCGACACCCAGGCCCTTGCTTTATGAATTATATAAATGACATTGATATCTTTACTAATCGTTTTTGTTTATTCGTGAAAAATAAGCTGGCACCCAAACTCTTTTTATGAATTGGATACAATAGTATTTTTAGTTGCCAGTTTGGATTGAGCGGCCAAATTGTCAGTTCAGTCTCATATTCAAAAAGCTTACAATACTTTATAGATGATCCATTAATTTAATTATTTTCAATAAAATATTCACGTGGGCTATGTAATCATGGGGCCTTTTTACTAAACGGTGTCGTTGTTGCATACTGGCTAGACAGTGAGTTCATATATATAAGTCCACAACTTCATAAAATCACACATCCGGAATCACTGGAAGTTGAGCTATTCGATGTTTTGTTGTGATTAGGAATATCTGTACGACTGCCAAAATCGCTGTCATCCAAGGTAATGAATTCGTGTTTAAACTTGTTCAGGTCGACATCATCATGTTGGAATATCCAAATATCTCTGTCACAGTTGGACGGTTTCAACTCCTTTTGGTATCGTTCGATCATCACCTTTACTACACACTTTATCTTCTCATAGCAACCTACAATCAAATGAATTAAAATAACAAAATGCCTGCATCACCTAGTAAGTGATCACAAATGGTTAGAAAATGTAGCTTTGGTAGACACCGACAATGGGATACCCTTTCTGAAAAATGATCCGATTTTGGAGATATGGTTCATAAAAAGTTAGTCTCAGGTTTCATGCAGTATAACACTTCATTTACATAGCCTTGTTGTCTAAAGCTCGGATCGATGCTGTGTCACTCTGACCAATGGAATCCATGATATATAGCTCTTTAATCGTATTTTTGCAGTAAAACTAACATCATGTAACAAGGATCGGCTTGGCTCCCAGGGTTTCAACGTAATCTCCGATTTGTTTAGTGTTGATCGTGCCAGTATTTCTTTGGCTGTAAGGTGAATGGCCGATATTCTTATGATAGCGACGACGACGATGAACATGTCGTTAATGTCTTGACTTAATAATTAACTTGCAGTGACTTCAAAATAGCAATCCAAAAGATTTGAAGAAAAAAACTGATAACTTATGTCGTGTTTTGACATCTTTTGTTATGAGATAAGACCGAAACTCGCGATTCAAATTCTGGAATGAAAAAATGGCGGCTGTTTCATTTTGAATTTTGTTATCGCGACATGATTCCATATATGGTAAAATATCGAAATGGAACGCTGGGACCTAATCCTCCTTGTTCATAGATCGATAATCGGATGACAATGATTTACAAGAATTGTCAATTATTTAGGGTTTATCTACCAGAGAGATTATACTACCATCATTATGTATGTATGTATGTATAATTTATTTGCCTCTTAATATAAAGAGAGTTACATTCATATTTTACATAAAATGATTAATAAGTGAACAGCATCATAAAAATTATTAATAGTAATGATTTGATAAAAGCAGTTGTCTCTGCTTGTGCATTATATAAACGTACTGTGATATTTCTAATAGCTTCTCATGATCACAACTAATGATACCTAATATTGACTTGAGAATAAAATTGTCATCTTGGACGTTAAAGATGCTTGTTACAATGTTAATCATCGGAACCCTTACTCCAGAAAAAGCTGGACATTTGAGTAAAAAATGTTTAACAGTTTCATTTTCATTAAGCTCGCAAAGCACACATGTTTTACACACAGGTGTATCACCCTCGCGACGTCTACTGTTTAAACCGTAAGTTCCAGTTAGTAATTTTATCATAAGTTTTGTGCAGTACATATAATTGGGATTGTTTCTTGCAATAATCCACCAAACATTTGGTTTCAATTCTACCAAGGAACCTGCCATCATATTGAGATTATTGTACATTAGTGCTGAGAGCACAGTGCTACGAGCATGAACATTTTTGACTCTATTGTAAATGGTCTCTCTAAATTTTGATTTACTTGGAAATTTAGCATTGAAAATCATTTCCTTCACATAGTCAGTAAGGTTATACTTCAGAACTGTTTCCCACATATAAAATGAAGGGGATTTCATGCTTTTACAGGTAACAGATGTGTACATCATTCTTATTAAGCGCTCTAAACATATGACTTTATATATACAATTCATGGGCAAACATAACAGCATGAACAAAAACATAAGTCGGTCACAATCAATCTTTGCTTGGACTGACATCCAGCCAAGCAGCCTGACTGCCACGGGATCTGGTGTGTTCTTTGGCAATGACTGGATTCGCTTGCCAATCTCCCTGTGAGCACAATCCATCAGTTTAAAGTCATCCTCTGAGTATGGTATCACTGCACATCCATAAGTCATGGTAGGGAAAGCAAAAGACCAGTACAGTTTTGAAGCTAATAATGGGTGAATGCCGCCACACCCGCTTCCTAGGCCCAAAAGTGAGCAGAACTTTCTTCTAGCTGCGGATATAGCACTTTTTACGTGTTCGGTTGTTTTCCCAAGAGGAATCCCAACGTGATGAGCTGACTGAACATTTTTTATGACCGCCGTTCCGAGTTTAAAGTCGCAAATCGTCCTTTTTGCCGGGCCATACGTCATTATCACACACTTATCTGGATGAAATTCAAAACGCCATCGTCTACTGTATTCGTATGCTATCTGAAGAAGTTCATTCATATGTCCTGGGTGAAAGAGTTGTTATTTACCAGTTCTAACAGCCCAGTTGTTGTAGATAATTGTATCTTTTGAGAACCTGTGGTAGCGCAATGTTGTAAAATAAACGCCCCTTCCGAGAAGTGCATCCCTTGCGTCCATTACTTCTGTCTTTTTGATTCGTTTCGAACGCCGTATTGCCTCAAGGCCTTCAAGCGTAGTATAATGGTAAAACTCCCAACACATTTTACACCAAAAGAGATTAGCCTTCTATATTCGGCGATTTTTACGTCTAGTAATTGTTTTGAGTTACATTAGTATTTCAATGATTAAAAGATGATTAAACAAAAATACCATACGTAATGAGTCATTTTGGTTTCGTTTCAATTCAGTCGATCAATGCATTAAGGACACCAACTTCCTTGTTGTAAGATCTACTCGACAAACATGTACAATACTTGGGCGAAGGGGGGGGGGGTGAGGAGTGCGTCCGCACTATTGTTTTTGAGCTAGTCCCCGGGGATTACAATCATGGTGCTGGCCGAGAAGAAGACTTGAAGTAAAGATGAAATATGTGCTTTGGTGAATGAGGTGGAGAAACTCACCTTCAAGTGCAAAACTGATTTTTTATTAATTGCTGTGCCAAAGTGGCATTAATAACCATGTTCTCCATTGGTATAATATATATATTGACAATTTTGTGAAATCTAGATACAAATTCGTGGACGTGTGTTGGACGAGGCTGCTCAAATATGATGCCTGGTTCTCTACATTGTTCCACATGGTCCTAGGTAAAATGCATATACGTACTAAAGGTAGAAAAACTTTGTGTTTCAATATATCTTCTTTTTTCTAAATCGCATACTCTTGTTCTCCAAATTAAATAATTTTTGAAATATAATTGAACATTGAGAATCACAGCTTTTGCATCAATATTTAAATAATTGAAGTACAGTGAAATTCGTGTATGGAAATATACCTGCAAGACCTTTCAGAGATACCCTGCGCACCTGCGTGTTACATTTTAATAACATGTATGTACTAGATATAGTCTAGTGTAAAAGAACACTGTCTGAGAAATTAGATATAATTGCTAGTACCGTGAAGAAGCAGTCGCCTCGGTCAAAATGTTTGCTTGGAGAAATTTCTAAAACAATATTCTTTTATCACGAATTTGAAATCTGAATTTCCCTGTTTATTATTAAATTATATTTCTAAAAAATGGCGGCCTTTTTTATTTCAATGGTCATCTCGGAAAATCTTTTTGACCAAGAGTTTTGTATCCCTAAGGTATCAGCATGTACAATTTGAACCAAATTCGTCAACTGATATTTAAGTTATCAAAAATTAGCGATATCAGCCTTTGTCATTATCCTCTCGCAAACGGCAGATAAGAGGGGTTTTGGTATACCAGATTTTCCATACATATGCGGCCAACTTCATGATCGATACTTGATCATGAGTTATCGCCAGATAACGCCTTATGATAAGCATATTGGTGATTTACTAGTCAAAATAAAAAAAATGTTAAACCCATTAAAGAAACTCAAATTCAAGCTTGGGAGCAAGCACCTTGAAACAATCTTCAACTCATTCATTCTTCCTCACTTTGATTATGGTGCCATTTTATATGGCACAGCTTCTAAATTTCTTTTGCGAAGACTCGATAGTCTATATTACACAGCGGCACTCTATTGTTCTGGCTGCATCCAAGGAGCAGTACAGAAAAGGTCCTAAGTCTCCTAAACTGGCCAACACTTGAATCTAGACGTAGAATACAATCAAATAATTTTATGTTCAAAGTTGCCAATGGTACAAGTCCCTCATATATCACAGACATTTTTGATAATTATAGTAATGTTAGGAATAGAAACTTGAGATACATTGATCCATTTAAAATGCCCATAAGATGCTCTGCTAGATTCTCATCCTCATCAATACCTTCTGCAATCTCAAAATGGCTAGAGCTCCCCCCTTCTATTAAAACCAAGAAAACTCTTCATAATTTCAAAAAACACCAACGGCTTTTCCTCCAAAACCCCTCTAAAAGTTTGACCATAAGTCAACTCAATCTTTCTAGACGGCATGAGATAGTTGTGAATAAAGTAAGAGCTGACTTATTTCTTAAAGCTCAATTTTATGCCCATAATTTTAACTCTGTTGACAGCCCTAATTGTGCTTGTGGCAGCTCTCAAACCTTAAAGCATATTCTTTTCCAGTGCAATCGCTTAACCTTAGTAAGACAGGATCTCTGGGATAAACTTGCTGAATTAGAACCTTCCCTCAATAATAATCTTCCCGAGTACGATTTTATCTCCATTTTGAAAACAGGAAGCCCAAACTTAAGCATAGATGTAAACTCTAAAGCCATTTCACTGATACTTGACTTCATTATAGACAATAGGGAGGTTAAGATTAGCGTAAAAATATACGTGTACCTATCCCTATCCGTATGTTTGTTACGGATACGTATAGGTAATGCGTATTGCAAAATGAGTTTAAGATTAACGTAAAAGGCTTCGAAACCGTATGCTACAATTTATGATAAAATTAACATCCTAATTATAGAATGAAAACCATGCGACGGCTTATATGGCACATACTAGTATAGTACATGTCACCTCTCAGAACTGCTATGATACGACGTCAGATACTGTACATCGCGGCATTTTACTGCATTTTTACATGCGTACTTACTTTTAAAACCGCAATATCTCGACAGCAAAATCATATTTTTCTACAATTTTTCGTCATCAGTTGAACACGTATGTCCATGAAATATTTTGCCTATCAGAATTCCAAATAACTGATTTGGGACTTTTTAAATGAGAATCACGCAAGCCGTATTATGCGACTTTCTATGCTAAAACCGGGTGTGGACTGTAACATTTTGAAGAAAAATGATTTTAATTTTAAACGAAAAATGAAGATAACCTTTTCATTTCTTAACGGATCTTTCTCAAATTTTCACAATATTTAAATTCACCATTTTGGAAAAGACAAACAGATTCTGTGTGATGACGTCATAATATAACAATGCTAACTCAACGCTTATATTTACGCAAAAAAAGTGTGGACAGGCAGAATTTCGTACCAACAAGATATATATTTTGGTCAATTAAACATTAAATCGTTTGAAAGGTTAATTATTCTTTTTTGATTCCTGAAAGGCATATCATATTCTATATTTTTATCAAAAAACTATATCATTTTGATTAAAATTCAGTCTGTAAGAAGCATAAATTGAAAGAAATATGAAGTGAAGCCATGTGAAAAATTTACAAAATTACGTTTCATTTTTTGAGTTCAAATATTTCTAATTAAGGGATAAACATTCAAAACTTTCCAATGTTTCAGCATGTTCTTTTAAATATATCCCTTACTACATACAATTAATTTCATTTAATTTGAACTAGTATATATTGAGATAGACATCATTTTATCACCGCAACCCCAAGTGAAGACTTTACAAAATAAGACGTTACGCCGTTAGCGTATTATATGTTCTCCTTTATTATTCATTGCTTTAAATAAATAAAACTAAATATTCGAGTTAAAAGAAATTACAAATAATGCATTTGACAATCCTTAATATCTTCCCGTCTGTGTATATCAGTTGAATATGACAAGGGGCACTGTGAAAGAGTCTAGAAAGACGGTGCGACAACGAGAGCGCAGGGCCGAAAAGCGCGACAAAGAAGAAAACGGGTAGGGTTTGAAATGTCTACTTTCTGGTGATTCTAATTCTGTATATCGTGACACAACCTTTTTGAATATAGAATTGTGTTGAAGCGCACATTAATCTGAACAAAACGTGAAGTTTTTAAGAAGATTCCATGAATATTAAAAATTCTGCAATTACTTGGAGGAGCATTGCGCATATTTATCGCGCAAATCTTTGCATTTTGTCGGTAAAATGAACAATTACAATGTTGTAGTATCTGACGTCGTATCTATATACTTCAGAGTGGTGTAGCTACTGTAGTTGGGAGGGGGTGTTGCTTGTGGGCCCGCTAATGGGGCAGTGACTTACGGCGAAATGTTAAATGTCTAGCATGATCCAGCAATGATAGTGACCAAATTGTAAAGTTAAACAATTAAAACCACGAGAAAATGGCTGATTTCATACATTTACAATAAGCAAAACTGAAGAAGAATGTGTAAATTCAACAATTTCCTGCATCATCACATGGCATCGTTTATCGCATCAATGAATGTGTTCGACCACTTAATTTCTATGCAGATCGAATGAGAAATGTTTGTTGCTACTATTTTGAAGTTTAATGGATGATATTTGATCTAGAAATGACATAATTTGTTGGATAAAAACATACGTTTTCGAATTACCTATCTTCGGCCATTTATAGGTAATTACGTATCGCAAACCCTGTAACTTAGGTAAAATGCCGCTTAGTGTAATAACAAACTACGTATAGGTATAGGTAAATGGGTTATCTACGCTAATCTTAAACTCCCTAATAGCTAATTCCCTCCCTCGTGTCTCTCTTTCTGATATCCTGTTGTCCTGTCACACCTGCTCCGGTCCGGGACCCTGTCTGCCTGCCACCCCCAGCCTCTCACCATTCCTATATAATGCCCTCTGGCGATTTAGGGATGCTATTGTAATTGTATTTTAAACTATATCAATGAAATAAATAAATAATAATAAGTTATCGCCAGAGAGACGCTCGAAAGAATTGACGGGTGAATGGAGGGCTTCACGGTTCACTGTCCGTACGTACCTATCGAACTTCGTTGATGTTATATTGTCTTACGACCGCATTTGCAGTATAAAAGCAGCACCACGCAAGATAGTGAATGATTTAATCAGTATTCGTTATCAACAAATGGCTGTGATAAGTGTAGGTCTATATGCATGCAATCACGTGGGTAACAAGTTAAGGAATATAAAAAACATACGTGCTACTTGTATCTACACTTGGGAATTCTAAAACTGAAAACAATGATGTAGAGAACTTTGGAGAGTCCTTGCTCAAAACCAACATTTATCTATACCGACCGTGCATTTATACAAAAACAAACGTAACCAATCGAAACATTCTGGAGATAACGGATTCAGCTCAAGGTATACAGATGGATCTTTTGACACAATCGGATGTGGATAATGAATGATTCACATAAGCATCCACATTGGGGCACAACTGGACGTCATGCAACACGGGAAAATACTCTTGTGTACGGATTCGCTATAACTGCCATAGCTATCATTGGACTTGTTGCTAATACACTGGTACTCGTCACCATGATTAGGTAAGTACAATATTCAACAATGGATCAATACGTAGCCCATGAGCTGAGCACTCCAAAGAAAATTAAGTGTCATTGCCTGGTACTCCGCCACCAAAAAATGAATATGCCGTTCGAAAATTCTGATTTTCGTTAAAAAAAATAGACTATAAAAATACGTTTACTTCGATAAGAATACTTTAGATTAATAAAAGAATATAGAATTTGGAAAATGTAAAACAGATGGTCCCCACAGAATTCAAAACGGGTAAAACGTCTGCAATAGTGGAAATCTGCGTGGCGCAATGTTTTGGTGTCACTATTGTAAGTAATAAAAAACAAGGGCTAATGCTAAAAAGGTGACATATATAAAAGGTACAGGGTGACACAAAAAAAGATTTACCCAAAGAAATATCTGCATGCACTGAATGTTAATCTTAATTTTCTCAGTGAAAGCCCCTATCGCTACTAGCCTGTTGTCGGATAAACGAAAAATAGTCCAGGGTAGAGCATTCGTATAGATGAAAGAACACTGCAGTAGTCGGTTTTTGTGGAGGACATCCGGACAACCACAACTCCTTACAGTATAGGATCAAGAAAAATGTCAAATGATCCACCGTGATGTTTCTTTACACAACTTTACTTAAGTTACTGCTTTAACTAAATGCAATTGTTTACTCGCTACTGAGGGCCAAGGTTTTTTTTATTTTTTTTATTTATTAAAATCATATAAACATATATACATATAAGTGATAATGACACCCTAGTGGGTGTAGGTCTTATCACAAGCTAAAATATTTAAAAATGGCATATTGTTAGTTACATTTATTATTGATGTTACAAAGTGTCTCAAAGTATAAATTATGTAAGCCAAACTGGGAAACAAATAAAAATAAAAATGATGTACATTATAAAAGATGTAATAAAACATTTTAATGATGTAGAATAGCTAAATGGAAAAAGATGCATCTGTTAAAAATGTGTACAGGGTACTAATCATAGAGACTAATTACATGTCTTTTGAAGGCTCGCTTAAAAATAAAAATGGTTTTTGAATTTTTGATAACATCTAACAAATCTTTACAAATTCCAATAATTTGTGCTGTTAAGTCTGATCTTACTTTTTTAAAATCGTTTACTAATTCTCATAAGTTCAAATCTGACTTTATATATGAGCTATGACGTCCTTCAAAGTTGTTTTCAACTTACTTCAAATTAACCATTTTTCAATATCATCTTCAGGTTCTTAGAAGTTCAAATCTGACTCTAGATTTGAGATTTGACCTTTGCTTCACATTTAATGAGCTTCGAAAGGTCAAAATATTGACTTTTCAAGGTTAAAGGTTTTATCACAATCAGCTTTTAGCATGGTCTGGATAATGGTCCCAAGTTCAGATATAAAATATTACAAGGGGGGATTCTTGCTGTAACACACAATTACTATAATCAGCAGTTATAAGAGGCGGATGTCTAAATTTAAACATGGCTAATTTTTGAATCCGGGTAGAACAGCATGCGCAGCAACTCATGTATCATATCAGGATAGAGTGCGTTTTTCTAAGTTGAAGTCAATATTTCTACTGTCTTTTGATACAGAAGCTGGAAGCTTCAGAAACATGCTAAATTTACCTAAATCACAATACTTATACTTACACCAAAATATAAAGTATTTGTATTACTTTCCTTGAAGTGGACCGGACTTAATGTGAATTTGTGTTAGGGTAATCAACTTGCTAAATCAACCAGCAAATTGAAACTTAATGGTGTCATTTGATCATGCGGCAACGGAACGGTCGCCCCATGAAACATTTTATGTTGCATAAAACATAACAAGATGTGTGATCATGAGGGCAGAAAACTTTTTTTTCCATTTGGGATCTTTAAAAGGACCATATTGTATTTCACGAGTATGTGTGTGTTCATGTTCTCCGCTGACACTTGTACATAAATGACGCCGGTCAATATGATTTGGGGAATAGCACAAGGATGATATCAATGTTTCCCGAAAGAATGCAGTCACCGAGGGAAATATCGATATCATCCAAGGGATATTCCCCATATCATCCCGACGGGTGAATAACGAGCTCATACCATGGTTAAGAGCAATATCTACCTCAAAAATCATTTGTTTGATGAGAATACCATTAACTAATTTTAGAAATATGAACACATATATTCCATATAACTGTCAAAACATAAAAAATGATGACTGACTTAACATGGGAACAGAATAATAGAAATAACACTATATCTGTGACTGTCAATAATTAGTCTTTTCGACCTCTTGGTCTTGTTTGATCTAGCCATGTTAATGTTGATGCAAACTTAAATGAAGTCTCAAAAGATTTACACGGGAATAAATACTCGTGATGATATCGGAATTAGCGGGATGATATGAATATCGAACCCGATATCATTCCGCTAATTCCAATATCATTCCGATATCAGTTCAGATGCTAAATAAGTGATACCTGATATTGCTCTGACGATGGCACAGATAGAGGTTATTTACTAAGAGGGATTTAATGTAGTTTTATTCCGAGGACAATATGTATGAAATATCGTATTGTCATGAGGAATAAACCAATATTTAATCCCAACCAGTAAACAAGCGTTTTATCTAAAAAAACAAGAGTAAATATTTAGTCTACAAAATATGACTTAACTTAATGACATTTTGAAATATAACGACTTTATTGTACAACATGCACATCAACATCAAAAAATTGACAATACGTAAACATGCCCATCACAGGGCATTCGCATTTTGCTCGGATTTCTATGACGTTGACCATAAGAAATGAGTAGCTCCAATAATTCTTTCATATTCTATCGTATTCGGGGATTCCCCATTACATCATCTCCCGCATCATCTCCAATCAAATCGCAGGATGTGATCACGTGAACAATCATGAGCACGTGCTCTCTCAGTACTGCGCATGCGCAAAGTTAAATTTGAACTCTTGTGAATGGCGTTAACATCAGTTCAACATCATCATTTCAAACCTACGGTAATACTATTGAAGTTACTCGATTCATACTTGTAGAGAATACTCATAAAACTGCAGGAACATTTGGAGATCCATTTCAACGGCAAATTGAGGCCTGTTTATAAAATTTGTTTTAGAACGTGCCAATATGATAGGTCATCTTTGGGAAATCTCCCCCCCCCCTGGACGTTGACTGTCCGTGTCAGAGCATGATGATGAAATTACAATTTGCCTAATAGGTTTAATCCACATAGTTCTTACGTTTCAAAATTATATATTTTCCATTTTGTTTGGGTCTCACATAAGAACATCATTATAGCGTCGCTATATCGACCCAACTGAACGTAATTGGAAACTTTCTTTGGCAAAAATTCGCGGAATTGGGTGGTGATTTCGATTTTCATGAACGGGATTGGGCGGGACAATACGATATTTTTTTAATATCAATAATATTCCCGAATGTTATTCATCAGGAACTATATAGTAGCATAATGAGATAAATTCAAACTTCTTCAACTGTACATGGATATAAAATAGTGGCAGCCAAGAATACAAGAATGGAGAAATGCTGTCATGTCACACCTAAAATTCAAAATAGTATCCCTGCATGAATGATAACCTAAACGTTATAGCACCACTAGTTAATGAATACAACACATGTTGAAAAGCAATACTCCATCGTTTGCTAGCTAAATTTGAATCAGAACAGAACGGATGCCACTTAAAATAAATATAAAGGACGATTCTCGGTTTGGAGAACAGTCTCCTGGGCTAATATTTTTTCATGAAAAATATAGAAATATTACCCAAATTAAACTATGAATATTAAAAAGAGGACATTTAAATCTACAAGATGTAAAAATAACTTTGTCTGAAGCAGGGATAACGCTCAATTAGACCGATTCAATAAAATACAAGTCTCGATTTGATGAAAGAAGTTCATCAGTGTACTGCGCTTATATTTTTTGCGAAAAATTTAAAAATATTACCCAAATTAAATTATGACTATTCAAAAGAAGACATTCAAATCTATATTATGTGAAAAAATAAAATTTGTCCGAAGCAAGGATAATGCTCATTTAGATTGATGAACTTCGTTCTCCAAACCGAGAATCGTCCTTTGAATCAACATAACGGATGCCACTTAGATAAATAAAAAGGACGATTCTCGGTTTGGAGAACAGTCTCCTGGGCTAATAATTTTTTTCATGAAAAATATAGAAATATTACCCAAATTAAACTATGAATATTCAAAAAAGGACATTTAAATTTACAAGATGTAAAAATAACAAATTGGTCTGAAGCAGGGATAACGCTCAATTAGACCGATTTAATAAAATACAAGTCTCGATTTTGGGAAAGAAGTTCATCAGTGTAATGCGCTAATATTTTTTTGGGAAAAATCTAGAAATATTACCCAAATTAAATTATTACTTCAAAAGAAGACCTTCAAATCTATATTTTGGGCTATATGGGGTTTGTTTTTCTTGACTGGTATGCACTTAGAGTTTGCTTTTTCTTGCTAAGTTCCATTACAACTTTTGGTCCTTTCCCTTTGGCACTAGTGCTTATATATTTATGTAAAAAAATCAAATTTGTCCGAAGCAGGGATAATGCTAATTTAGATTGATGAACTTCGTTCTCCAAACCGAGAATCGTCCTTTCCGTATTTTGTCTGATCTCCATGTATCCTTTGCGTAGAGTCTAGCTCTAAACTACCCTCACAAATGTTAAAGGGTAGTCTGTATTATGTGCATTGGCTTAACATTTGGTATATCATTAGCACAAGCCAAATGGTATGCATTATTACAAATGAATCCAGTCACATGGCAGAACGTATAAAAACATATATATTTGTTAACAAAAAACAATCATGTTTCACGATCTAAATTAGATTTTGTTTGGGTGTTGAGCACAATGATGCTGGAAGTGTTAGCCATATAACGAACTGGACCATGGTATTCACACTTAATACCCATGTGGTAGCAGAGAGTGGTAGACTGCTTTATGCAATTCTGCAAGTGGTGTATGGTATATGCACTTAGACCATCATTTATTTTTGAACTAATATTTACCCCGGAATAGCCTGACTACAGTAAAGTCAGATACCGTTGTCACAAATGGCGGACATAACCGTCGCTTCAATTAGATTTTCCTGATCTGTATGTTTAATAGAGCACCTAGACTAAATTCCTTTCGAAAAACAATCAATCAAAGTGTCTTAATACTCATTGTACAGTTAATAATGTTCTATCATCAAAATAAAGTCTTCAATTTAACCGATCAAAATGAGATACGGGACAACGGACACTGTAATTACCATATGCCGTTGTCTTTCTAAATTACTCAAATTCAGATTCCGTTGTCATTGACGATATCGAAGAAGCTATATTGTTGCGATTCACGACCCAATTTGATCGAAAATGGGATTTCCTATGATCACATTATCACAAGAGCTTGATGCATGCACAGAATTAGCGACGATAAAATCCCATGAAATGAGGACCAAGTGATTAAACAATTGAAGCGACGGTTATGTCCGACATTTGTGACAACGGTATCTGACTTTACCGTAGTCAGGCTATTCCGGTGTGATATTGGACTTCCAATTCTGTTCGGTTAGAGAAATAGATACATACTGTAGCCTCTGAGAGAAATTATTTGTATTTGGTTTCTTCAAATGTTGCCCTTTATCCTTTTCAAACAATCGAAATGTTGTTTGATTTGAGTTATCCAAATTATAGAAAGTATCTTTTCAAGACATATATCATATTTCTCTAAGATAGGATTCCATCGAGTTGATCTTTTGAAATGTCAAAAGGTCGTAGAGGGTCAACACAACCGAACCGAACTGAGATTTAATCTGATTTGAAATTGGTAATCCCGAGAAAGTTTTGAAACATTCAATTCGGAGTTTTTATGACGTAGAAAAAAGGAAAAACACTGAAAATACAAGATTTGACCTAGATTTAAGGCCTACTCTTTGGATTAGAGAGAATAGATGATCTGATTTCCGAGCATAGCAGATAAATTTAAGGAATAAATAATGATAGGCCATTCAATATGGTGAAATTCAGCACGAGTTGGACAGAATGTTGTACAAAGCACGAACCGAAGGTGAGTGCATTTGTGCTAACATTCTGTCCAACGAGTGCTGAATTTCACCATATTGAATGGCCTATCATTATTTATTCCGATTCAAACATAAAAATTAGTAAAAGCCGTGTCTGTGGAACGGGCATGAAGGAAGAATACGAACAGCTATCCCCGGACAGAGCCCCAGATGTGCAGCTGAGATGTGACGTCACTCAAAACAATGCAAATTGCAGATTGAATAGAGCATGGTCGTGCATCTATGGAGAATTAGAGAACGTTCTATATTGGCTATGCTGCATTCTGATTGGTTGAGAAATTCGAATAGAGCACGGTCATGTTTGAATTCTTAACAAAGTATGATTCTAATCAAGAAAGCTTTTGAGAAAAATAATGTATATTACAAGTCAACTGGCAACAATATATTTCATCTAGTAGAGTCTAATAACAGTATTTTAGAATGTAAATAAACTAAAGTGGTTAAAACGCCTCATTAGGGAAATCATTGTGAGTAGTTTTGACGGTGTGTTATCTCGAAGAAAGTGTCTATCTGATTTATTTAGTAATTCGCAACCAGTTGGAAAGGAAGTCTGGCTTATAATATATTTGGCCCTGAATAAAGTGACGAAGAAGAGGGAAAGCCCCGGAGCTTTAGAGATCAGCCATGCTTACGTCTCTTGCTTACCAACTTTCGTTTGTTCGAGTTTTCACAGACTAGTTTCCAAATACTACTCTTCGATGTGATATTTATATTTTACTTGATGCAGGCATAATCCGTACACCTTTCTTTTTAATATGAAATAAGAAAGGAACGTAATATTATTCGAAGCGTATTTCGAAAATTTTGAGGCCGCCATTTTTGTTTGTCGATTTTGACCAATCAGAGCCGTAGGTCAACTCAATACAGGTTTACATTACAAGTGGGTCATCTTTGAACCCTGGGGTTAACCCCCCCCCCCCGAAAGTGACGAAAGGTTACACTGCATTTTCGAATACGATCAGTTATACCTCAATGTGTGATATATTGGAAAATAAATGTGGCAAAAGTGATGTTCCATCTCTTACCCCTCCCTTGGACCCTTTCAATTTGCTTCATCTTTTTGCAAGGGAAGTCGCAGAAGTGTTTGATTTAATTACGGAACGTCATCAAGGCACCACTATTTGATTTTGGACTATATATTCCTCAAAATACACTTACCAGACTTTTTAGCCTAGAAACTTATATATTCAAATGAAAATTATGTTGCTGCACATGTGGCATCCCTGATAACTAGAACTATCGCTAGCTACACGACATTACCTTTAATTATTGAAAGCAATATATCTATTTATTTTCAATTAGGTACAAGACACTGAGAACGACAGCCCATCTACTGATCTTCAATCTGTGCTTCGCCTGCCTTGTTATTTCCATATGCAGTACATTCCTCACTGCCTCTACATACCATGGCTCATGGGTATATGGCCCATCGGGTAAGATTCCATTTAAAATATAATATTAAACACATATAGTAACAAAAGTGTATAAGAATGCTACAAATCATTGGGGTAGCAAAACTCCTATATCCCAATGTAACGCACTCAAAACAATGTCTGACAGTCCCAGCATTCAGAACTCGTTTTAGCAAATCAAAAACCTGAGACCTGGGGAATTCCCTTTTGTCCCCACCACATAGTGTGGGGCCATATTGTCGGCCTAGGCGCGTCCGTTTGTCTGTCCGTCCGTCTGTCCATCCGTCCGTCCGTACGTCCGTTTTCTCCAAAACCGCTACAGATATCACCTTCAAATTTTCAGTGATAGCTTATGAGTGCATACAGATGTGGATGAAATTTTTTTAACTCGAAACCTACTTCCTGTCGGCCATTTTGTCAAATGCTAAAATCCTTGTCTGCAAACTTTAAGAAAAACGGCTTCACAGTTGCAATTAAAACTTTAACATCTTGTTCAGCTCACTTCATTCTAGATCTGATTAGGTTTTGTATGGTGTTAAAACTGTATCAAAATTGGACATCTTATATTTATGTGATATCTCTAACACATAGAATAGCGTTTAGTAGAATACATACACAATCCGTGTGATTTCATACACGGTTTGTTCGAGTTTGCACACTTTATGTTTGTAAAATCACACTTGTACATGCGTATTTGTGTATGCATTATTTAAAAATGACATCGAACAGGGACACAAGTCGAACAAATGCTTATTCGGCTCGCACAAAAGTTTTTCCCTTCACAAACCATGATGCACCGATCACACACCTTGATGTACCGATCACACACCTTGATGTAACATAAATTGCTTTCCAGAGATGTTCGAGATTTTATGATGCGAGTTTCGAATCATATGGTTCGAGTATCCCATCATATAGTTCGATTTTTCCCATACATCATGTAATGTCCAATTTTGATACAAAATAAATTCCATAGTTTTGAACCTGTTAGCTCAGTCATGGCAGCCATTTTGAATGTCTTAAGAAAAGTTAGCGCGCGATAATACTTTGTATCATATCGAATGGTGTTTTTGAGTTTTCATACTTTAACTATTTAGTAGCTTTATAAATAATTTCAGATGTTCTTTCTTGTAAAAGCCTATGTTGTTGTTAACAGTAGTTATATGTGATCATTTTGTAAAAAGAAATCAGCAAAAACTCATATTCACTTTTTTATTGTCGGCCATTTTGGATTTTTCCGTCCTAAAATCTTGTCTGTGAAGTCTTGTCTGCATGTTTTCAGGTGAACCGTTTGGTGGATCAATTTCAAATTTTCAGGGATGATCCTTAGTATAAAAATCTAGATCTGATTAGTTTTTTGGCATTCTGGGTAAATGCCAAGGTAGCCATTTTGGATTTTCCGTCCTAAAATCTTGTCTCTAAAGTCTTGTCTACGCATTTTCAGGTGAACCGTGTGGTAGAATTTCAAATTTTTAGGGATAATTCTTAATATGAAAATCTAGAACTGATTAGTTTTTTAGCATTCTGGGTAAATGTCAAGGCAGCCATTTTGGATTTTCCGTCCTAAAATCTTGTCTGTAAAGTCTTGTTTACATGTTTTCTGGTTAACTGTGACGGATCAATTTCAAATTTTCAGGGGTGCTTCTTAGTATGGAAATCTAGAACTGACTAAATTTTGGGCATTCTGGGTAAATTTTAAGGTGGCCATTTTGGATTTTCCGTCCTCAAATTGTGTTGGTAAAGTCTTGTCTACTCATTTTCAGGATAACCATTTGATGAGATCACCCATTGGTGGGGACATTTTGTACACATTTGTGTTCTTGAATCTTTATGCATTAAACCAGTGTAGTCGAGTGGATCACCAGTGAAGGAGCGCGCCTCGAAGCTCCATTTTGCGCACAAGTAATTCATTCACGCATGTAATTCATGCGAGATTACTTCATTCATACATGAGTCCTCATAAATTGATATGAATAGTGTTTTTTATATTCCGTTTCATACAAGATTATAATCTTTTTCGAGTAATTACAAGTTACGTATTCCATTCATCTAAAAATGGTTGTGCATCATGCGGTATATTCTTGTAGTTCATTTATAGTAGAGGTTAATTTAAATCTCTAAGGGGCAACTTGAAAGTAAACGTGTAAAAGGCTCTTTTGGGATTAGTTCTCCACTGTAGTATTATTGTATTCGTTCGATTGAAAATAGAGGTAAGACTGAGCCAAAAATGTTAACCCAAACAAATCTTAATGACTCGGTCATCCAGTATGGGTTTTAAGTCATATTTAGTTGACCCTTGTTCAATGTTCGTTTATTCTACAAAGTGAAATTGGTCCGGACCCCTATTGATAAATAGTATTTTCCCCTCTCCTATTAACGGTTTTCTAGATATAACGCCGAGATAGCCACATGTATAAGAAATGCATAAACGCAACATTAGGCAAGTTAACATAAAGACCAGCGTACGGAATCATACAATTTTCACACATTGGACTTTTTTGTTTCAGGCTGCATAACTTATGCCTTTACGATGGCTAGCATGGGCTACATGTGCATGAACACTTTAGCAGCGATGGCATGGGAGAGAGCTCAAGTCTTAACAAGGCCATTCACTAGTTACAAAAGGAACAATGGCGAGAGGTGCATCCAAGTCATCGTCCTCGTTTGGTTATATTCAATTACTCTCGCTTTGCCCCCACTTCTAGGTTGGAGCAAATATATCTTAGATGGCTATGGCGTCAGTTGCACATTTGACTATCTCACCCAGAGCCCAGCCAATATAGCATATATAGCTACTATATATGCAGGAGGTTTCTTCCTACCGCTTCTTATTATCGTGTATAACTATACAAAGATTATGCGGTATTTAGGAAAACACAACAAAGAACTGGACCAGGCATCAAAAGAAATGTGTTCCCTCAGAAAGGACAGTATAAAAAGAATAGACTCTCGTCGCCCATGTTCTGCCAGTTCAAACGACTCTGGAAGAACTCACGTGCACATGTACTCTTTCAAGGGAAGTTCGAGGAAAAGAAAAGTTTCTATAGGTTTGAACGTTAGAAAGAACGAACTTAAAGTTCTTAAAATTTCAATTGCAGCTGTATTTTTATTTTGTCTGGCGTGGTTCCCGTACGCGATTGTTTGTCTTATATCAATAACAGGTCATTACGATTTGATCAGTCCCTCTAGCGCCGCCATTCCTGGTCTATTTGCCAAAGCATCGGCTATCTACAATCCATTCCTTTATGGCGTATTTCACCCCCGGATACAACCTAATTTGCGGCGCTCCTGGAAAGCGCTAGTATACGCTTGTATTGACGCAAAAGGAGTAGCGGTTCATGTTTCCAGTTGGTCAAGATCTCGCTCACTTTCACGGTAATATAATTGTCAGGTGATAGTGACGTACACTCCCAAATGGATTGTTTGACTTATTCGTTTTTGACTGAAGCTAGTAATTTGCCTGAACATGCAGTGTGAACATAGAGACAGAGTCAAAAACTGCGCGCTCATGTTAGGACACAAAATAACCTAGAGAAGAATTGGCACTCATGAAAGTAAGGGAGAATAAATTATGAAATGTAGAATTTGTTAACGATGCTAAACTTCGTGCACTGGTTGAAAACCTAAAATAAGAAAAATCAAGTCATACTTTGCCCAAGGGTAATATTCATTGTATTACATGAGCTGTTATATGAAAGTAGTGGAGGACCCATCTTGAGGGATGAATTAAAACTCTCGTTCTACATTAATAAGACAAATGTATCTAATGTAATGCAAAGCGCTCCATGTATTATTATAAATTATCAATTATAGATAACACAACTACTCCAGGTATTGAGTAATATGTCTTGTTTTGCTTCAATTTGTGATTAAATTATCCTATAAGTTCAATAGTGCACAGACACATTTAATAACTAGAATTACGTAATGAGGACTGATAAGGGATTACTGTTACCATTATCAGGGTGAACTTACTGTAATTATCTTTCTCATTATCAATACAATAATTAAAATTTTGCTCTCTTGTTTCTGTCTTCATATAGATGAAATTTATTTGACAAAGTAATTGTTCTTGTGTTTCTCATAATGCAAAATCACACCTCAAACACCAAAGTTATTTTTAATAACACCTTCATTGCCCTGTCCATTTCATTCCATTGTTAAAACATACGGATATGATTAATAAAAAATAGACTGCTTTCCTATAAATGATAATTCTAATTATTTATCAGAGGAATAATTTGGTCACTGTGCTGGTGCTATTTTACGTGTTTCGCTATAACTGGAAAAGTAAAGAAGCGAGTTTTTAAAATTTTGTTAATACTCGAAAGCATTATAACATTATACTGTCTTTATGACTCTAACCTAGGAGGCGGCAATACTGAAAAATAACGGCGATTTGTATATGTGTTATTTCACATTTTTGTTTTAAAATTGGAAAATTAGTATCTAGCGATTTTGGAAACATGCGACATTGGCCTAAGAAAAATAACTGCCGTTTTCAAGCTATGTAACATTTTTTACTCCGATCCAAAAGTAAATGAAGGACTCTGTTGATATTCTATATGCAAGAACTTAGAAGCATGTGACATTGTCACAGTTTGTTCAATAAGTTGGTCATACGGAAGGCCATTTTTGTATGTTTCATTTTACATTTTTGTTATATCTCGAAAAGTAATTAGTAAAGGCTATGTTAATGAATGCAAGAATGTAACATTCTTTTTGGCAATACGCCTTTGGTGATACGTGGTGTTTGCTACGCCGTAGCGTTGCTGTTATCTAGTCTAAAGTTTACGGTTATTCAATGTAAATTGTAAGTACAAGCAGTTGCTTTATCATTATCAAGAAAAATCTATGAAAATTGTTCATATGTTTATTACTTTTCTTATACAGTTCATCAAGTGACATCTGATAATCCAAATATTCAATAGTGACATAACTGAAATAATTCATGGTTTAAACACTTATTTCCTAGTCGGTAAATGAATATGGGTTTTCTGTGACATCATTTTGGTCCTCGGTGTAAAACCCATATTCTGTTTATACAGTAATTTGCTTGAACCCATATTCTTACTTTTGAAAATGGATTCTAGCAATACTATCGAAGATGAAGCTTAACTGAGCCCTTTTAAAATTGTTGTTTTGAACATTCACGTTTGTGTGTACAGCAATATGCCAACGTCATCTCAATCACACCGAAATAGCCTGACAACGGTAAAGTCAGACACCGTTGTCACAAATGGCGGACATAACCGTAGCTTCAACTCTTTAATCACTTGATTTTCATTTCATTTTATCGTCGCTAATTCCGTGCATGTATTAAGCTGTTGTGATGATGTATCATATAAAATCCCAATTTCGATCAAATTGGGTCGTGGATCGCCATAATATAGCGTCTTCGATATCGTCAATGACGACGGAATCTGAATTTGAAATAATTTACAAAGACAACGGCATATGGTAATACAGTCTCCATTGTCCCGGATCTCATTTTGATCGGTTAAATTAAAGACTTTGTTTCGATGGTAGAACACTACTAACTGAACAATGAGTATAAAGACACTTTGATTGATTGTTGTTCCGAAGAAATTTAGTCTAGGTGCACATACAGTTCATGAAAATCTAATTGAAGCGACGGTTATGTCCGCCATTTGTGACAACAGTATCTGACTTTACCGTCGTCAGGCTATTCCGGTGTGTCAATGCCAATTCTTTTCCCATACTCCAAGAGTTGTCCTAGTTCAAAAAGTCAATACTCACTCTTGCAATTTTCCCCGGCTTTTATCTTTAATTTAGCTAAATTCAACATTAGACATTGGACATGCTGAACACTGTCCCTAATGCTTGAAGCTAGGTAACAAATTGGAATTACATTGATGATATTATCCTATCTGCATAAGTATGTGCCCACACTTGTGAGTTCCAGTATTTTGTTGAATTATCTTGTACTATCAATCAAGGTTGAGATTAAACTCCACTAACACCAAATTGATGTAAGAATATAGGCTACGGATAACGTTATGTTTTCAAATCACCTGTGATCATCCAGGATGACATTGAAATGTAAACAAAATACAATAGTACCCCAGACAGGTTCAATCATGCAATCTTTTTTACTCTATATTTGCAATGAAACAACCATTTTATAATTAATGACACTTTAAAGATTGATTCTGGAGATAATTCCAATTCCAACATGGAAATTAAATATTTATCATAAGTCTTGGTGCAGATTTAAACGTATAAACGGAACTGTTAAAATGTGCAGGTGGTATCAGCTTTTTTACCGTACCGTTCACTACGTAACAAACTTAAAATTGAGGAATAATATTAATAATGATTCTGGCGTGTCGTGTCTATAAGTAGCTATGGGGAGTTTAAGCTAGCGATATTTTTCACAACATGAATGCATTTGTATAGTGCAACTTGTGCATACAGGTTGACGATTCGATAGTAATGAGGGAAAAGATGTTCATAGTTTTCATAGACTTTTCTGGTATCCCGATAGTCAATGCTGAACCAGAGGGCCAGAAAATCAACAAATAGTATTATGCTATGGTAAGTTGATAAAACTTAACCATTCTCTAAATTTTTCCACCGGCGTGATAATGCACCCAAGTCACACTGCTAATATTGTGAAGGACACCATTACAAATAACTGGCAAAATAGATGGCAAAACTGCCCCAAGCTCCATACTCTCCAGAAGAGACAATCCTTGATTTTGCTGTTTTCAACATGATGGAAGATCAACTAAGAAGTGCACATTATGAAAAAATGCAACAACTTTCGACTGCAGTCTAGATTGACCTTCAGACAAGTTTTCCTGATGGCTTCAGAGCACAGTTTCCTACTGAACATCAGCGATTGTACATTAACATGGGGGAGAAAACTTCGAACACCGTATGGGACAATAGTTATGACTATTCTATTAAGTTACATCACCTTCACATTGAAAGTGGAGAAGAGAAAATGCAGGTGATACACTCATAAATCTCCCTACTATTCTGTTTTTTTTCTATTGAATAATGTGACTTAAGTAGTGCCCCGCCTACCCAAAAGTCAATTTACCATGGTAACCATTATTTTTTACCATTCAAATTAGAGATGCTGATATCTAATGAATCAATAAAAACATGTTTTTTACACATGATGTGAAACTTTCATGAGAAAACATCAAAAATCTTTGAAATGAAATCATTTTTCTGTGAACTTATTGAACGACCTGGTGTATGCATTGCTTAATATTGTTGTGTTCTACTCGGAAAACAACGAAATACGAGTAGTTCAACTGTCAACATCTTTAGATATAGCATGGGTGCTGGCAGGCCAAGAATACATAGAAACATAAACAAGAGTCACTTTTCTTGATCTAACAAGTTGTTCCATTCGCGATCGATCAATTTAACATCATTGTAATGAGCTTATTGACATGTGGATTGTGATTTAACATTAGAATTGTGATCCTTATAAGAGTAATTGATCTGCTTTTTGAACAATGTGTCAATGGGGATTTACCCCGACCTTTTTCAGAGAATTTCAAAAAAATTAAACAAAGGCACATAACTGTGCAAATCAAAGTTGTTTTGCTAGAAAATTACACCCAAAATTCAAACATGCCATCGAATAAAAGAAAATATTGGTCTTTAATGGTTAAAGTGCAGATCTTCCAAAACCTCATTAAAACAAGACTTTAACGATATTTCAAAGCTATATGGAAAATACTCTATTGCCCGTGTTTATAACCGCCAGTTTGTTAGCTGATCCTGACATGTAACAGTTAAGGTTGCCCCATCTTTTCATTTCGTTTATTGACCCTAGTTAAGGTTTAATTAAATAAGTTTGATTAATTAGATATTTATATCATCTCTATTTATCTGAGAAGATCTCAAATCTAGCAAATCGTTGCTATAATTGCTTTTTGCATCATCATTTATTTATTTTTATTTACGTAAAAAAGTACGGTTATCGTGACCTTGGTGAGCAGGCTGTGGGCGTTTCAGACAATTTCCAGACAAACCTTTTGTTGGCTGATTGATATGTAACAAATGATTTTTCTTGGTATGAAAATCATGATTGGATATTTTTAAGATCACAATAACATTTAATTGGTAATTGTTTTTAAATTAAAAATGTTGTCATTGTTATTCAATTTTATTCTTTTCTCAGTGGACAAACTATTCATAAAATTTGCTATTCCTCTCATTTTAACGCTCAATCATATCGACACGAATGTTTTATAATTATGCAATTATAATCCAACGCAACTGTCCAACGACGCCAACTGGAAATCTTCGATTCACTAATCTTATTCCCGTATTCCTTGATTAAATTTTTTAGTGTTAACTACTGAATTGCATTTGGTATTAGGCTTCATTCGATTGTGTTTGCTCAGTATGTTTCTGTCATTGATCAGACCTAGAGATCACATTAAAGGACGGACGGTTGGTGTCGATTTCCATATTTCTTAGTTTTCATCGAATTAAACCATTTTATAGTTAACATAAGGCTTTAAAATTTGTACCACACCAGGCTTATATGACATAGTAATTCTGGGAGTACCATAAATTGTTCTAATATCAGAATGGGCATGGGTGTCACAGTTTAACGATATCTTCATCGTTTAAGGGAAGGTACTCACAAAAAGCAGCTTAACAAGAAGCCAAAAGAATGTTTCGAAGTAAAATTC